TTATAATTTAAGTGATGAATTCCAAGTTGCCATTGATACTTCTAATTTTTAGTTACAGAATAGTCTGAGGTTGTCTTATTAACGTTTTATATTAAATATTTGATGGTTTTGAAATGTGAACCATTCATCTTAGTTGAATTCAACATGTATGTAGAGATGAAAACAATATATTGACAAAAATGATTATGAATATTTTTTTGTGAAAAATTATGATTATCAGTAGTTTAGACTTATCATAAAATTAAATTTATTTTTTGGCATTATTTTTTCAAAAAATGGATAATGATGATATTTATTTTCTATTAGAGTGAGTTGAAAAGCACTGAAACTTTAATAAACAAGGACAAGGTGTTAGAAGTAACTTGAGTCTTGGACTAAATTTAAGTGAACCTAACTTGAATTGAAGTTAGAATTATGATATCTTAGTTAGACATAACTAGATATATATAAGAAGTTTAATACACAACTCGTCTTGAATGATTGTAAGTTCTTTCAGCAAAAATATACTTGTTTCTATAAACGTAGCGCGAGATTGGCAAACCACATACTTTCTTGTTGTTGATTTTTTGCCTATGAGGATGTTGATTTTCATGTCTTTTATTAATCGATATGATAACGATGTGATCTCGCAAAGAGGATTCATCAGTCTCTCTTGCACTCACGTAACATTGTTCATTGATAGATTGATGTACATAGGAAACGCTCCGTTTATTGCTTCTACTTGTCGTGACTTACCAAGGATGTGAATGATTTCAGCTGATAGATCGAAGTCTTTGTCGGTGCAGTCAATGCGGATGTTGAGAACAAGGAGCGCGTTCATCATGCTATGACTGAGTCAAAAGTATTTCCAAGAGATCAAAACATAGACAACACATCCGATTGAAAGAAATGAATGGAAGAATTTGGAAACTTTGTGCAGGTGAGGATGTGTTTTCTGATTGTGTCTTTCATCGCAAGCGGTCAAATCTTAGAAAAACGATGATGGAATCTCTAAGAATTTCACATGCCAATGCAAACCTTATTTCAATTCAAAATGTAGCTGTAGTGAAATTTGCAACCGGTTGAAAAATCACCACAACATTGGATGGGATCAATGATGTTGTCATTGTTGCTCGTATTGTAAAGATTGTGTAATAGGCAAAAGCAATACACAACATCATGAATGAAGATGATGTTGTCTTGGATTAATTGTCTATGTTTGCGGTGAGTATAAGTAAATGACCTTCTCATCTTTTGTGGATATGAAACTTTACTTTGATAAGTAGTGTGGTAACTTGAAGGGTAAAGAATTAAAAAGAAATACAACAAAAGTGATAAAGAAGCTGCAATTGAAACTTAGATCTTTGTATGTTGTTTGAATTTTGATACCAGACGGATGTGAAACTAGCATTGAGTTTCTTTAGATGAGCCAAATAGTTGTTTAACTACAATCACAAGTCATTGTTTTACAATACAAGGGTTATTAATTTGGACTAAGTAAAGATTTTTGTTGAGATTCAAATTTTCTTCGATGAAGTGATTGCAGCAGGTTGTCTAATGAATCATGAATTTCACGCTAGGATGACTCAAAATCAGAAAATGATTGCTGCTTGTTGTCAAATGATCATGACTTTCATACCAAGCTTGCTTAAAGTTATGGATTGCTGACTCAAATTTGTCAAAGCACTGAATCATGGATAGCAGCTATGGCATGTTTAGATGGAATGAACAGCATTGGATACATATCCAACGCTAGTACACATAATGAGTACATGAATTCTTTAAGCTTCAATCTCCGGGCTGACTCTCACTCAAGTTTACCTAAGATGGTTTTGCGATAGCTCATCATGGTTCTAAAAGATTAGAATTGTTCCTCATAATCATATCCCAAACAATCTCTCACACATTCTCTCAATTCATCACTCAAATTCACACACATACATTAATATTCCAAGATGCTGAAAAACGTCACTCTTTCATATATGAAACAAGTCTTTACACATGGATTCACTAAACTTGTTTAACAACATCTTCTCTGCCTCTCTATATATATTATTTGAGAATTTACTATAGTAACAAATGTTAATTCTTATCTAACTTACTTTTATAAAGATAAATCATAGTAAGTTTGACTAGTTATCAATACGTGGCAACATGAGATTGATCTCCTAAACCTTCTAGATGTTTACCAATTTTTAGATTGAGGTGCCGACATGCCATTTGTGCTTCTCTAACTTCTAGAACTTCCACTTGCCACTAAGTCAATATTAGATTTAGTTTGACTAATTAAGTTCTCATTACTTAGTGAAACCAATCAAAACTAAACATGAATTCAAAAATCTTTTTTCTTTGAATCTAGACTTTTGTACAAGATAAAATAGAAGTGCTCACTCAAAATTTTAAAAAAATCTCGAGTTATTTTGCCAAGTATAAAAATTATAGCTAAACATAGTTATAATTTGATAAACTTAGTTATAACTAGCTAGACCTAATCATAACTAAACTAATTATGATTAACTCCTTGACTATTACTAATTCTATTTCACACATATAACATCTGATCTTACATATCAAAAGAGTACACATCAATAAATCCTATATGATGTGCTAAAAAATCTTACATCAAGTATGGAGACCAGACTTTTACACTCTAGGTATATTTATAAAAGTGTTTTGTCTGGAAATGTAGACAAAGAATTAGTTCTTTTGAGTAAAATGAAAGGTGATTTTGTTCCCCAAATCAATGACTAAATCATGTCATTCTATGCATTAAAAAGAGCCAAAAACATTTATGAAGCTTCAAAAACGTTAGAGTAAATGGTTTCAAATGATTCAAAGCTTCATGTGATTTCTTACAATACCATGATTGAAATTTATGAATTATTTGAAAAAGTGCATGATGCTCTGAATCTATTCAAAAATTTAAAAAAATTAGTTGTATTCATGATATAGTTACCTACTCTAGTCTCGTAGACTTCCTCCGGAAGAAGTAAATGCTAGATAAAGCTTACAAAGAAGAAAAACAAAGAACATATAGTGCATGTCAATCCACATTGCACTATTAGACAACTTGTGCAAGATCAGACGTGATTATGAGGCGCTAGAGAGCTTCTGTAACCAATGGAGGCTCATGACTACATTCTCAATGTGATAACTTATCGATTTACATTTTACAATTTGCAAAAAATGGTAAGAAAAAAATATTAGGTTATTAGGTTTTTGTTCTCTCTATGCTAGCAAATTTTTAATTTACTTTTTATATTATTATATTATTCTGTCATGGTTACGGCTTAGTTATAGTCAATTCTTGTGGAAAGAGATATGTTGTGTTAGGTTTCTATCTAGAATTTCCAACTGATTGATAATATAGATTATAGATGTTATTATTTCATAAACACAAGTTAAGAAGAATATTGCTGAGATTAACTTAGGTTAAGGATTAAATTTAGGTCCTAGCTAAAAATAGCTATGAGAGTCATCGATGTTGGGGTATTTATATCTTGGTGTGTGCATTACTGTACTTAGAACATTCAGTGTACTCTCATGCATGCACTTCCCCGAGGACGAAGTCCTTTTTCGTAACCCAAGTTATATCTTGGTGTGTCCTCTTGTGTGTTTATGATTCTCGGATAACGCCAACAACACACAACAAACATTGAATTGTTAAACGAAGCAGAAGAATCTGCAATCATCTCAAACATAGAGCTTAATGCCAAACAAAAATGTGTTTTGTCATTGTTGATTACATACAAGGTAACATGGAGGTCTTTAATGTGAGTGTTCTTTGACTGCAAATTCTTCAAGGCAAGTTGTGTCTTGACACTCTGTATATACATTGTAGCAGAATTTCTAGTTCTGACCTAACTAGGATAAGCCTAATTCTAAACTTTAAAGTTAAAGTTAATTTTAATTACAACTCTAGCTTCATTAACTTTAGTTCAATTTGAAATTTGAATTACTGCTAACATGGACGTATGGAGTTCACCACTGCCGACTATGTTTTCTGAGACACTCTAGAAAATATCATCAAGGACTTTTGTGAACTATCTTATGGAATGAAAAGTTAACAAACTTAACTAATTGGGGTCTAGCTATTCTGAGATAAATCAGAATCTCAGGTAATTGCTAACACAAAACTCAACGAGGCTGAGTGAACAAACCTGATGAACTACCCACCTTCTTGAGTAGAATGCAAAACCCAAAGCCGAAGACATGACTTCCGGTCATGACTTCTTCAAATACAGGACACCTTTAAACGGCACAAGCGGAAGAGCTCGAAGGTAAAGAAGGAATAAAATCATTGTGCATTCAAATCAACGCATTTCAGCTTGGAGAAATTGTGGTAACACATAGTTTAATCCCACATGTCTAAATATATGGAGCATCAGGGTGCGTAAAAGGTGGACACGAGGTGAAGACTTCCATGCATAGATCTTAGAATACTACCGACATCATTATTTTCTCTCACAAAAATGTCAAGTTATCTAAGTCGCGGCGGATCATAGATTATATAACTTCTTCTGGCAATGCCCATTTGTACCTACCGAATCATGGAAGTCTTCACCTCCATGCATAGATCTTAGAATACAACCGAAATCCTTAATTTCACCGACAAAAATGTCAAGTTATCTAAGTCGCGGCGGATCATAGATTATATAACTTCTGCTGGTAATGCCCATTTGTACCTACCGAATCACGTTAGTATTAGGATTGATTGATTGACACTAATTTCGTATGGAGCATCTCGAGAAGCGTTAGATACACTCATTGCTATCCAATCGTTTTACAACAACTGTATGGCAATGTGTTCGGTTTGACAAAATATTCTACATACAAAAAAACTACATGCAGAAGTCTACATTTGATATTGTAGTAAAGACCTTTATCTTTTGACTCAGAGGTGACATCTGCGGTGCATGACTATTTCAAGGAATATTCTTTCTGATTTCATAAACAATGATGAGGGCTTCTTGTATTGTATAATAGGAGCAGAATTGGCTTGTGGGGCTTATGGGCAGAACTGGAATCGGGACGATTGTCTCTTCTCTGTCTGTTTCCTTCACAGACTCACTCTGTCCCGAATCCCACTGTGCGTTGTGCACGATGTGGACGGTTCAAAAGAGGCGAGAGCGAGCGATACTGGAAGTTTAAGGTGGAGAAAAGGTATACACTAAGAGCTTCTTCTCACCACGATGTGGACGGTTCAAAGGAGGCGAGAGCGAGCGACGCTAGTCGTTGCTCTGCTGGTGTGCTGTGCTGGAGCGATACTGGAAGTTGAAGGTGGAGAGAAGGTATACACTAAGAGCTTCTTCTCGCCAGTATTCGAGAGTTCACCTGGAAACGTGTTCGATCCTCATCAAAATGTTGAGTTTCCCGAGGGCCATTTGGCACTTCGCACCTTCACTTGCGAAGTGGTTGATGCGGACACAGGTGAACCAATTCCCTTGTCCGAGCTGTACGTGCATCACTGGTTCTTGCATAAATTTGGTGTGAAGAAAGGCTTCAAGGCTCTTCTCAGCTCAGCTCCTCTTCCGGCGCCACATTTACCCCGAAGATACGCTACCCACTATCTGCGCAAACCACTTCACCGCATGGCCTTCAGACCTGAAGCTCAGCCTGTCCAGGGACGGCTCAAACGCCGACAGGTATGTGCGGACGACGAAGATGACTTGGGCGATGACCCATTTGCAGCTGGGGCAGAGAGCAGAAATATAGAATTATCCTTTCCTGCTCCCTATGGTATTGTGACTGGAGACATGTCAGAGTACGAGGAAGGTTACGAGGAGGCATGGTATTTAAACTTACACACAATCGATCTGAGAGGTGTCGTGGACCCCAGAGGCTGTTTTGAATGCCGGTGCGACTTGTACAACGTCACCGTAGATGTCGACGGTCACCCACTCCCTGATGACTACAAAGGTGGTCTCAGATGTTGTCATCATTTGACAAACTGTGCACTGAAACCCGGAGTCCAGGCCAAGCCCAGAAGAGCACAGTTCAAGTATACAATGAGCTGGGTGGACTACGACGAATCCGTGAGGCCAGTCCGCTCATACTTTCTGGACGCGACTGATTCGCGTGCTTCAGTTTATGACAGACCTGAGTGTAAGGTTTGTCTCAGATAACTCATTCTCGAATTGTCCTGAAGTCCTGAATTGTCCTGATTCCATGAAGTGGTCTGGCTACATCTGTGTTCGCTCCTTTCGGATCGTCCTTGATAATCCTTAGGTTTTTCAGACCAATTGTTTGCACATCTGTGAAAACATATCGCAACCGAAGCTCGTCAATCTGACCTCGCTGAAATGACATGTTTTGCATTTAGCATCCAGTAATTTAATCCGCTCGGGGTTTTCCAGGGCCGGTCCCATGTCTCTTTTTTTCAAATTAATATTAATTGTTGAATATATACATAAATAATTATATATAATAATCTATGTATATACACTGAATCTGTTATCTCGGGAAAACAAGAGTTCGTGGAGTATACTTATTATCGAGAACAATCGCTGTCATGACAGGGCGAGTATGATATTCCGAAGTGCACCAACGGGACAACACATGAGGAGTGCATCCACACTCTTCAATCTGTGGAAGGGCTGCCCATGGGAGGAGATCTCATATTCGCCGTTCTTCACCAACATTCTGGAGGTCTAGGTGGCAGTCTCTTCAACGAGGTATGTTTTTCCTCGTTACAACATCTGCAGAGGCCACGTACCAAATTGAAATAGCAAAGTCAGATGGGAATAGAGAATATGTGCCTAGCCCCTTGATACCGGTTTCATTTTATATAGTATGACTCATTCCATGAGGTCTTTCCATCTTTCCATTTGTTATTAAGGCGTAAAAGCTTAGTGCAATTTGATCAGATTTTGCCACCTTTCAGTCATTGGTGAAGACAGCTCGTTTGAACGTTTGTCAATTTCGAGGTATTTTAAAACGGGAATTGTCATGAGCGACGAATGCAATCTGAACCTGTTGACGTATCATCATTCCAGGCTGGCGAGAAATTATGCGAGTCCCTGCCCATATACGGACAGGGAGACGAAGCAGGCAACGAAGCAGGCAACGAAGCAGGCTTTGTGGTAGGCATGACTTTTTGTAATCCCAAGCCTGGAAGCGTCAACATTCGAACAATGGAAGCGCTGCGCTTTGAATCAAATTACAGCAACATTTTGAACCGAACGGGAGTCATGGGTATTATGAAACTCTACGTTGCGCAAACCGTCGCCGAGGAAATGGAACCTTTGGCTGTGCGGGACATTGAGCAGGTCGTGAACAGCGCTGAGTGAAAAGAGTACGTGCTACATGTTCATTCTTTCGTTTGTCCATCGGTTTAGTTTACGAAGTAAACGCCGATAGACAAACGAATTATAGTTGTGAATCTGTCGTAATGTACTTCAGAACTCGCAGGCAACGAGGCTCGCTGAGCATACTTGCTAGGGGTCCAGTTTGTATATGTGGATCGAAGCAATCGTTATGATATATAGAGGTACCCTCTTGTGGTTTCCACAACCGAATTAGTAATAAAAGTTCTGGAGATTTGTCATGTCCCCAAAACCTTCGTCCCACGACCCAGGAAGTTGTCATAATTGGAGTACAGAGTTAAACCTACCAACAGTGACACATAACCGTTCTAGGGTTTTATATCACTATTCGGAGGTGTCACTCACAAGAGTATATCTAATATTTTCCCGCATTATTTGCGTTCGGTGGGCACTTCTTCCTCTCTCGCTGCAATCTGAAAAGTGAAGGCGGCAGAAAGGCCTTCACTTTTTCACTGAAGGCCTTTCTGCCGCCTTGGGCAGAAAAGGCCTTGACTTCTTCGGTCGCATAAGACCTTCTCCGTTGGATTTTTTCAGTGTTATGTGACAACAGAAACTCAAAAGAAGTTCCCATCGACAAATACTGCGAAGCCATGAAAAAGGATCGTGGTATCACACGCACGTGGTTACCATGATAGATTTCGGCTTTTCTGCCATCGTTGGCATAGTCTGATAGTAAATGCCTTGCCTTCTTCGGTCGATAAAGAACTCCTCAGACTGGATTGTGTCAGTCTGATGTGACAACAGAAACTCAGAAAAACTTTCCATCGACAAATACTCGATCTCTGTCTTCAGCACAAGTCATGTACAGTAGTTACAAGCGCAACTCCAGCATTGGGTACTCGGTTTATTTATCTCTACTTTATGTGCGCCATCTATTCTTTCGACTTGTTTTCCCCCTCATGGATTTGGCTCCATCCTGACCAGCTTGAAAAGGCGTGAAAATATCCCACGGGCAGAACCGACCTGTTCTTCTTTCGACTTGTTTTCCCCCTCATGGATTTGGCTCCATCCTGACCAGCTTGAAAAGGCGTGAAAATATCCCACTGGCAGAACCGACCTGTTCTTCTTTCCACTCGATTTGTCTCAATTTCCTTCCAGCTTCAGTGGTTTCATGGCCCCTACAAACTTATGATGCCATCTACTACCAGCTTGAAAAGGCGTGAAAATATCCCCCTGGCAGAACCGACCTGTTCTTCTTTCCAATGGATTTGTCTCAATTTCCTTCCTGCTGCAGTGGTTTCATGGCCCCTACAAACTTATGATGCCATCTACTACTACTACTAATTCCGGAATAGCCTATATTTAATATGGCTGAACTTAATAGGTTTTAAAGGTTTGTGTATGGAAATTGAAAACATATTGCAGCATCCAAACTCACCTAATGTAGAAAAACTTAGGATTTGAAGAATCGGTTTCAAGTAATGCAAGATAATTTCGTACGCATTTTTTGTTCGAGAGTTTATGAATTATGGAGCATATGGGAGAAATTTTTGTGATCTGATTTGAATAAGATCCTGTTGCATTTTGAATCAAATCTTATTTGAAAATAAAATTTGAAAAATTGTTCACAGAACTACAACGTTAAATTAAAGAATCAATATATAAACTCCTTAATGATATCAAAGTATGCAAGTAATATGCATCTTAATCGATTTGTTCTGTAAGTGTCTACTCCGCATACGCTTCATTGATCTTCCAAGCAAGAATTCTTGAAATTCGGAGCTCTAATCAAGTAATCACACTGCCACCAAGGCAATCGCTAGGTTGATGCGAGGATATAGAACCACATTTATTGTTGTTGTAGTTTTACACATATATTCGCTAGCTAGATTACCGAGACCTACTACTAATGTATAGTATCAAAAGCTTTTTTTACGCCACGTTTGATCCATAGTCTAGGGATAATTGTCCCACTTGATAGGCTCATTGAATTCGAGTACTATAGCACAATTCTCACCCGCGTACTGTTCGAACTCCTTTGCACAAATCACAATTGTATCATGGTTTCTAAAACACACCAAATGATTTTAAATTACAATCATTTAGCTGTGCGTTGTTGGAGTATATACAAACATAATTTTTTTCCCATTATCTTTGCAATGCATTCATTACTTCTCTCTGCGTCATGATGTGAGATAACTAACAATTTGGAAGATATATTTCGGCTGTTTAGATGGTTACAAAACATTTTAAGAATTATATTCCTGACCATCAATTCTAAAAACTTAAGGTTATTGCGGCCTGCCATGCAATCCACCAGCAATAATCAAATGTAGTCAGCATTACTGGGATTTTTTATTCTAGAAAATGGAGCCAAATGAATTAAAATCAGGATTGAGAGCATCACGAGCCCCTTAGTAATTATTACTATCAAGACAACAAATCCACTGTTGTCAACCTTATTGGAATTTTCAATCCTAGAATATGAAGCCAAATGATTAAAAAAAAAATTATTGATATCATGAGCTTCTTGTCAATATAATTCTTTAATAAGACTCCAATGAGTTTCACCTTATTGGAATTTACAGAAGTAGATTTTGTTGTCAAATGGATACAAAAGACAAGAGGAAAAATTTGATAATTCTTATGTTAGATGTAGATGGACATCAATGAGATATAGTTGGTGATGTATTTCAAGTCATGTTTGGCAAAAATTTATCTTGAAGTAAAATAAATACAAGATTTTGTTTAGGTTAAAGATAAACATCTTTTGAAGGAACAGACTACACTTCATCTTATAACGACACTGACTACTTGTGGCCCTCAAGATTAGGTCACATAAATGATGAGAGCATGTCAATTGTTCAAAAAAATGCCTTATACTTACATTACTGTTTGATATGTTAGAAATGTTTTAGCATTGTATGCTAGAAAAACGGCGTCAAAGTGAAAGAATTCATATTTCCAAAGAATATGCTGAATATATTCATTCGTACGTGTAGATAACATCCCATATCTTCTCAAATCTAGAAAGTTGTATTATATGTCTTTCTATTAATATTATTTAGGGTCTATGTGATTTAATTTTCTCATAACAAGTCAGAACTATTTGTCATTTTCTAAAATGTTAAAATCCAATTTTTACTTAGGTTGACTAGAAAGTGATAATTTTACTGTAGACAACGGAAAAAAAACACCTATAGAGAAATTGAGATGTATTATCAAGAGGAAAATACCATTCGTCATTTCACTACAGTAGATAATCTACATCACTTAAAACCTATTAAAGTAAATTGAGCCGATTGAATTTATTAAAACAAATTTTGAACAAAAACTGTGAATATAACAGGTTATTGGTAAAGCTTTCATATTATAATGATATATATATATATATATAGAGGGATGAGTGTAGTCATGAACGGCTAGCAATCACAATAAATTTTTAGTCCTTGAAAAGTAATGTTTATAATTTATACTTAAGTATAGTAGATTTGACCTGAAACCTATTTAAAACAAAAACGTTTGTTTGGATTTAAAAAAAATTCTGAAGATTTACATATTGTCAAATCCACTTAAATCGAATGTGATTGTGAGTAATGATTTTTTTTACAGTTGATTCATAATTGAAAATGAAAGAAATAGAATACCTCTTTTTTTATTGTTAAGTAAGAATGTACTCAAAATATTGAGGGGAGATTTTGATGATTTTCATATGTGACACAAACATGTGCTTACAATGGAGGATGTTCACTCTGTAGATTTCACGTGAGTGTTCATTTTCACGTAAGTAGATTTCACAGCCTCAACATACGCCAATACATCTTAATCAAGCAAAACCAGCAAAACGTGTAAAGTCTAAATGCTCTATTTATGCTTTTCAACAGTTCTAAAAATGATTTGATTCAACTAAGTTACGAGATGAAAATATTTCCTTGCCGATGATACCTATGGCTTTGATTTGGAATAAATCTGCACTTTGTTCGTATAAGAGGTCCCATCTTTGTTGTATTATCTTCAGTGAAATACAACAATGTAAAGAGTGCAATTATCGATGTATGACAAAATTTGAAATTAAGTGACAATCTCAAACTATTGATAATATATAGGCATTTTATTGACGTAGTTCAAAAGGTCTACTCTGTAGGTCAGATGACCAAGGAATTTTCATATAGGTCAATGGTGTGAATTATAGTAAGATATACAAGTAGTTTATAAGTATGCTATGATTTGTAGGTTGTGCCTATGATTTGTACGTTTGGTTATATTTCAGAGTATAATTTGGATGAGATTATCTTCATAAAACACAATATGAGCTCTGTGAAAAAATACATATTATGTAGATTGCTAAAATTGTTGTATGAGTTGATGTATTTACTAGGTAATGAAACATGATGATATTGCAAGGACTTAAAAAGATATAAATGTTTGATCTTTGTGTATAGATTAAAAAGTTTAAAATAATACATAAAATTTTGTTTTGTTACTCTATATGAATGACATGCTTATTTTAGCTAGTGAAAATTTTATATTATTAACATTCAAATGCTTTTGAAACTTTAATTTGATGTGAAAAATTATGGTGTACGAAAAGGATTTTGAACATAAATACAAAATGAAACACTTGAAGCTAAGAAAGCTATGGCTAACTTAAATCAAGCATGTTAGAAATATACTTTCAAGATTCAATATGCAAGCATGTGAATAAGCCTTAAACTTATTATTTAAGCTTTCACTAGAATTTTCACCATACATTACATCAAGAAAGTTCTTATTTTGAAGATTATTTACGATAAGATAAATCTTATGTTTTTAATTCTTTTCATTTAGAACTGACATTGCTCTTGCTATAAAAAAAGTTTGCAGATTCATTTTTCTTCTAGTTCTTAAAGTCTTAGAATTATACATTAAAAAGTTGTGTAATGGGATATGAAATATTTCAAAAATAATTTAAAATTGGATTTTGTGTATGATGTAAAATCACATAATATCAAATATTTTGTTGAAAACGTACATGATGAATAAAATTTGGATAACAAAAAAAAAAGACAATTGAATATGTGTTTACATTTGAAGTTGGATTCATAATATTTAAACTGCAAAATTATGTAACTCAATCCACTACGGAAGTTGAGGTTAGTGGCAGTATAAGTAACAAATGAATCAATTTGGCTGGACAAGCTTGTCACTAAGATGATACTTATTCAAGATACTGTGCCATTTATTTTAGAATTCTATCAGGTTAAAAATAAATAAACATCAAATTATATGTTTTTAGAAACATGAGTACTTTGATACAATGATTGAACTTGTTAAATTTCACATGGGCTTAACCCTTCTATGATTTCTATATAATTATACAAGAATGAAAGCTTTCATTTTATTGTGCAAGAGTGCAAATTTGCATATGAATTTAAGAAAATTAGGCAAGAAATATTGTTATTTTTACTTAAAATTTTACTCTATCTTGTTTTGATTTTGATTTAATTACAGTTGAGAAAAAATTTATGTGAGTTTTGCTATTAAGGAGATTTGCAGTAATAAGGATATAACAGTTATGATTTTTAAGACATGAAACAAAGGGTAAATTTTATGAGTTAATTTAATCGTTGAATCAGTTTGACTAGCTTTACCAATAAATTGATTTTGTTAGCTTGTCATTATACAAATTTTTTTTTACATAATTCTTAATGCCAAAATTATAATTCTAGAAAGACAGTATTGTATTTCAGTGAATTTAGCTGCAAGAAAGTGTATCATGTATATCGTCTATCTGCTGTGTATGGCTTTCTGGTCTTTACACAAATTTGCACACAGTCAAACATGTTAAGTAACTGCATATCAAGCATGACAATATCTTAAATAAAAGTGGAACAGTGCACAGCCCCAGTTTACGGGGGACTGTGTTGATAGCCTAGTATTTTAGTATGTATATTATTCGGAGAAGGTGGTGGATATCGTCTGCGAATGAGCAGTAGTTGTGGCATCCCCGGAACACAGTCGTCTAATCAAAACTTGATGCTAGAGTGAAATACATTGAATGCAGGTAATCAAAACTAGTCTTACAAATACCATGTACATAATTAAAAACGTTAATTCCAATTTATATTTCGCTGATAAATATCTCTTGTTTAATCTATTTGTTAGTGATTTATAAACATTTAAATCATAAATATGAAAAAAAAAAATCAAAATGAATCAAACCTTATTTCACAAATATGTGAGATGAATTATGATTTTTAATTAATCAAGTACATTTTTGATGTGATTGACTTGATTTACGATTCGAATAACATTTTTGAAGCAAAGAACAAAATTTTGCATAGCAAAACAAATTTCAAAACAGAGATAAATCATGAGACACGTTAATTGATATTTGAATGCCAATTGAGCATTAGTATATATAGGCTTTTTTTACTAAAAGTCATGTTTGAGCTTCAAAACTATTTGATGTTTTTTCATCATGATAATGTGATTTAGATGATTAATTTACATGCAGCTATGAGTGACAGTCAACTGAAGCGGTGAAATGTGAATAATCTTGATATATGGATTCAAGATATTTTCAAATAAAAGACACTTTTGTGATTATAATGAACATGATGTTTAATATGTGACAAATTTGCTGTTGGGTTCATGAATATTTGATATTTATAACAAGTACACAGAATTCACAAATATGATTTAATCTCCATGAAATATAAAACATAATGGACGTTAATAATAATTAAAATTATATATATATATATATATATAAGATTTTGTTAAAATAGTTTTAAATTGGGATTGTAGTCGTATAAACTGAAATAACTATATGTATAATGATGCGCAATATCATCATACAACACAGATGGTAATGTGGATAAGACCTGAATATTTGGAGACATGTGACATACATGTATAGAATACACGGAAATGCTAATATGGGAGCTAGCGTGAAAGCTATCAAGATAATTTGACGCTTTTACATAAGTCATGTTTTACAACTCTACTCAAGCTGAGATGCAGTTAATATAGAATGTGATTAGGGTAATGATGCACAATCTCATCATACAGCACTGACTGTAATGTGGATAAGACCTGAATATTTGGAGGCATGTTTCACATGTGACATACATGTGTATAATACACGGATATGCTAATATGGGAGCTAGCATGAAAGCTATCAAGATTATTTGACACTTCTTACATAAGTCATGTTTTACAAGTCTACTCAAGGTGCGATGCAATTAATGTATAGTATGATTATCTGATTTTTGCATAATATTTTTTCATAAAAAGTGATCAATTAAGCTAGTCTTTAGTTATTTATCTGGGGCAACTGTGGTATATTAATTACGCGATTTGTTATTTCCCTCCGTTTGGACACGATGGTTCCTACGTTTAAATGTGAAAGTAGACTATAACCGACACACATTTCAGATCGTTGCCGAGAGAGTCGTGATCCGGTGATCACCAAGTCAAACAAAGGAATGTGTCCCCGTGCCTTCACTAAGACGTGCACACGGTGCTCTTTAGTAAAAGGCGAAAGAATAGTTTGCTATGGGCTGAACACGCGGACGAATATAAACAGCACAGTGTAGGAAATTACGTACATTCAACGGCTTCAGTACATCGAATAAACTTGAGCAAGAAATTACGTACATTCAAAGGCTTGAGTATATCGTTGAAACTTGAGCAAGCTTGGAGTGCACGCTAGGAACAAATGCGGTCTGAGACTTGTCCGCTTGGATCCGCAGAATCTATGTCGATCTATGTGAGAATGGTCACCCTACTGACGTTAAAGCATTGCGATGCTTCCAACGAAGCTCGTATTTGTCGATATAATAAAGCCGTTTGCTTCAGAATTAGTCTTCTCTCCCGTGCTGTGGTCAAATATGAGGAGCATGTCCATAGATTAGGGTCCAGTAACAAAGTTATGGTACTGACAAAGTTTCACGGAGAGCATGCTCGTTATGAGTGGATTCCCCGACATGTAATCAGACGCTTCTTCTTGGGAACTGCAGAGGGTTGAAGCCCTCGCATTCTGACGGCAGTCATGGTTCAATGGAGGCAGCATAAACTCAAGATCAATGTTCCGTAATATTTCGTCATCGTCGGTGACACTATTTCTCATATGATTACTTCTCGTTGTTTATAAAAACATCTGGTAAGTCCAGCTCCAAGTTCAGATAAAATAGTAAGGATAACATGATCTATTCAGAATATCATTAAAAATTTGAATTATTTACAGATTTTTACTAAAAGTTGCCCCAAATTAGGCGGTGGGACTGTTTGTTTACTTTAGGATTGATATATTGTAATTATTTCCTCTCCATTTTATTTCCGTGAAACAAGCCGTATGTGTGCGCTTTCCAGGATATTGAAATTTTCTACTATACGTTTTTATTTTCTTTGGGGGAGTTGACAGGGACGATCAGTATTGAAGATGATTTGACCATATCGTTTAGGTGCGACAAGCATACTGTTCTCTTTGATACGTCATAGATACGCTCTATATTATATACTTCTGGGCACAGCTTTCGGGAAGAAATGGGTAACAATTCCTTCGTTAAGGTTGTATTAAGGAGTATGTTCTTTGAATTCATTCTAGACCAGTTCCGAATTAAATTAATTATAGATTTTGAAATCAAAATAAATATTCTTTAAATATAAAGAATTTCTAATATCGGACACATAACATTGTATTCCAATCTTTCTTACAATTATTTATATAAAAAAAAAATTTTCTTATTTTTGTTTCAATCTTTCACTTACGGTTAATTAATTCTCACCTTATTATATATTCAAATTTGATTGATCGAACACCCTATAGTTTTTATTATATCGTTATTACACTATATCGACCAATAAGATAATTGTATATAGTAGAATGAATACTAATTAGTGATAACTAGCAACTCCCTTTAGCAAAATTAATATTGATGTTATATGTAAACTATATGACCTGCGATAAATTAAATGTCTAACTCTAACTGCTGTTGACCGGAGGGGATTGGATTCAGAACAAAAGTGCCACCACTAGAAGGCATCAAACTGAGGGTCTCTTTGAAGTCTCTTTCGAACTACGGGGTTTAATCATTCTGTTTTAAGTAGTGAAGTGATACACCATGCATACTCATAATACAGCATATTTGATTCTCACGGGAAGAGATTAGGTTCACGAGGATTATGGGAAGATAATAGCATGCATCACTTACCTTGGATTTACAGTTGGTAACAGTGAGGAAAACGTCATCACCAGCAAAAAGAACCCACATGCAGGATACTCTATTCTACAGTTTGAATTGTATAGATTATTGAATAAGATACTTTCCATTGGGCATGCCCAACTTAGGAACTGATCTACATATATTGTTTGACATGATAACGTAATTCAATCTTTAAAATTTGACACTGATTTTCAAACCACTTCAGTAGTATTAAAGCTTTTATATAGTATTAATAGATATGCTGAATATTTTTCCAATCCGCTCGACGGTTCCACGAACCGCCAATCAATGACAGATGGTGCGTACCTTTTTGCCCCTCCAGCAAAGCCCGTTGGACGACGAAAGTCAACTAGGAACCGAAAGTTGACGCACAAATTTGTTTCCAACCTTAGACGCTATTGACACTTCGACCTCGGCTAGCACAGTTCATGCACACTCTTCTCTGTCAATTAGAATATCTTGCATGCAGTGAAATAGTCAATCGACCAAAATTTCTTATACGATTCTATCCATAAATGGCCATGAAGGTATGTGGCTTATACCATGTGTTGAAGCCTGGAGATCACGTACCCTAAAATTCGGAGCTGGTGACGAAAGCTATATAAGCTGTAACTAGTCTTCATTTGCAAGTGGCTGGTTTCAAGCTGGACTCGATTTGAAAGCTCTTCCAGGGATAACAAATTCGAGAAAGGATACTTCCATTCTGACACAGTCGATCGTCGTGGGCAGTAGCAGATCCAGACTTAGAGAGCCTCGGCATCATCGAGTCCACAGCCCAAACATGGAGCTAGCGCTAGAGGAGCCAGTATCGAGAACAAGTAGAAGTTTTCGAGAGGAGCAAGTATCGAGAACAAGTAGAAGTTTTCGTCGAGATCAACCCGTGGCCCCGAGCGATTTCATCGATGAGGGATGGGATGTGTCCGAAAGTCCTACCTACAGTTTGCAAGTAAAAAATCTGTCGTACAAGGTTGGTGCAATTCTCCTCTCTGGCATCGTGTCCCGCTGTCCACCGGAATTCTCAATTGCAGCCTCATCTCAGCCGACGAAAGAGTCTTTTCTCCGCTACCAATTGGTCTTCCCTTCGTGTCTTTCTCAGCTGCAATTATATTTTGCATGGAGGAGCCGGAACTAACATGCCCGGAACTTTGTGGAATTTAAGGTGGCGGTGAAGAACAACGGCGAAGGGCCGGGCCAGAAAATTCTCTTGAACGACATTTGTGTCGAAGCGTTCGCTGGAGAGCTCCTTGCGATAGTGGGGCCGTCGGGATCCGGCAAGACCACCTTTCTCGATGCCCTGGCTGGACGCATTGTTCGCGAGAGCTTGGAGGGTGAAATTCTCGTCAATGGACATCCGATCAATAATTCTTTCAGACGTATTTCCGGATATGTCATGCAGGATGATGCCCTCTTCCCCATGCTCACCGTCCGGGAAACTCTCCTCATCAGTGCACGCCTTCGGCTCCCCGCCTCCATGCCTCTCAAGGAGAAGAAACTACGCGTGGACAACATGATCGCCCAGCTTGGACTCGAAAACTGCGCCAACACTCGCGTGGGCAATGAGAAGGTGAGTCCCGATGGACATATCACGATCGGAGGCTTTCGACTTGCAGTGATTATTTGAAAAAATTTCTGTCCTTAGCTGCGCGAGATTATAAGTAATGGATTAAGAGTAATGGTTTCAGGTCCGAGGAGTATCCGGTGGCGAGAGGCGTCGAGTGTCGATCGGATCCGATCTCATTCACGATCCTGCTGTCATATTTCTGGACGAGCCAACTTCAGGACTGGACAGCACGTCTGCTCTGAACGTGATGCAAGTGCTTTCGAGAATGGCGAAGACCGGCAAACGAACCGTGATTCTGACCATTCATCAACCGAGTTTCAGAATTTTAGAGACGATCGATCGAGTTGTTGTCCTCGGGCGGGGAAGTGTGCTCTACGAAGGCGCACTGCAGCAACTGAAACGCTACTTCGGCCCTTTGGGAAGAACCATGCCAGAAGATGTAAACCTTCCAAATTCAGTTCACATTTCATTCCGTCGATTAGCCCATTAGCCGCCCTCAGCATGTTATGCCTTACGGATTGACGGGCTGACATCAGAACTCTAACTGTGCATGCGGGCTGAAAATTAATCGGTGGCTTATAAATCGCAGGTGAATGTGTTGGAGTTCGCCCTCGACACCATAGAAGATTTCCAGAAGTCCCCGGCTGGCTTAGAACCGCTCATCAAACTTCAGGTCTGAAACCTTTTCATTTTGTGATGATGATGATGATGATGATGATGGTGATGCAAGAGAGCGATTAGGGAGATGATTCGTCATATGAACTTTTCGGATGTCGGGACTGCAAGTAGAATCGACGACTGATCTTCTCTTGACTTTGGGGCAGTTGGAGAGTCGCAAACTGGAAGTCGAGAAGGGAGAGAAACGCGAGGAGCGAAAGGTTCAAGTGGGACCTGGAGGGGCCTCGAGCTCGTATCCAGAGTACGCGACGTCGTTCCTCGCCCAGTGCTACATCCTCACCGGACGCAATTTGAAGAACGTGCTCCGCACACCCGAGCTTTTCGTCTCGCGCGTCATGGCCATGGTACACTCAGTTCTTCCGGGTATATAGATTAGAGGAGTCAAGGAATTTTGTTCGTCGAGATTATTCAGGTTCGTTGCTTTCGCTTGCAGTTGCTGACGATGTTGATCGTGACGGTTCTTGCAGTTGCTGGTGGCCATCACATTGGGGACTTTATTTCTGAACAGCAAGGTGAGTGAGAGGGGAATTCGGCAGAGAACGGGGTTCATCTCGTTCACGCTGGCCCTTCTGATTTTCTGGTCCATGGAGGCGATGGCGGCGTTCATCGAAGAGCGTCAGATTTTCATACGAGAAACTTCTCGAGGCGCCTATCGAGTCGGAGCGTTCGTCGTGGCCAAGGACGTGACCATGATCCCGCTGCTGCTGCTGCTGGGCACGATCTTTTCCGTCATCTCCTATTTCTTGGTCGATCTCGTCCGCGAAGCCCCTGAATTCTTCTTGTTCACCTTCACTTGCTTCTTGGTCCTCTGCACGGCCTACTCTTACGTCTCCTTCGTCAGCACTTTGGTGCCAAACTTCGCGATCGGCACTTCTATCTGCAGCACGACCATCTCGTACATGTTTCTGTTCTCGGGATTCTTCATTGAAAGGTACGACACTTTCCTCGTGATCTCGATTGTCAGCAGAAATCACATGATCTCTGACTGAGTTCTCGGCACGATTCACACTGAAACTATGATCTGTACGAAGAGGGATCGGTGTGGTGGGTTCATGAGCCTTGCACGACTGTACTGTACTGATTTACTTTCGTCTCGTGCTCGTACAGGACTGCGATTCCCAAGTACTGGATATGGTTGCACTATATTTCATTGTTCAAGTACCCTTACGAGGTAATGCTGCAAAACGAATTCGGATCGAAGCACTTCGAGAATACAATCTGGTACGGGGATGTCGACTCAAACACGGTGTTGTCAAATCTCGGCGCGGGTAAAGTGCACATTTGGGTCAACCTCGTCGCAATGCTGGGCATCTTCGTCGGCTACCGACTCTTCTTCTGGTTCTCCTTGTCCTTCTTCAACAGGAGCGTACGCAAGTAACTCTGGCCAATACGGAACCCCAAAAAATAATTCGCTGTGCGCGAACAGTAGCTTGACAATTCCAGACCACGACATCACCGACATCATTCGTTCGTTCAGCTGGTCCCATCCATCACCATGTTCACTCACGCTCTTCACTCGCCGGTCGAAATTCAGAGGCCACTTGCGCATGATCTGCTCCACCGACGCCGTCATGAGCAGTGAGGTCGAAAACTCCGGGGCTGCCCGGGCTGCGAGGGTCAAATCTCCGGATCTGTCTCGTGTGTCGCTCGGAGTGCATTAGCGTGCACTCCGAGCATTGTGGAACCAACACGAGGCCTCGATCGAGGACGACATGGGCGACAGCAGATCAGATCGGCGGACGAAGGATAAGAAGTCAGAGGATGGAGCCCCGCAGCCGAACTCTCGAGAACGCGGGGTCGACCGGAATTGCCACAAAACGGGCTTAGACTTCCCCCCTATAGAAGCGGTCAGGTGCCGCCGTCACACGAAGAGCGTACCACGTAACATGGCCCCAGAAACGTAGTTCCTTATTATGTATGACACGTGCTTCGATCTTTTACTAGGTAGCACTCGACCACCACGTAGTTTCATAGCTCGACCGCTGGCCACAGTTACTTGATTTATATTGTGCAGCAGGTATTCCTGAAATGGTCTGAAAGTGCTCGAGCAGAACCTTTAGGCTATTTCAGGTATACCTGCTGCACCAATCAGACCCATGTCTGGTCTTGTCCCCATGCTGTCTTATGTGACTCGAATTGTTTTCAGTTGAATTTTGGATACTATATAGAAATGCTGATTCGTCTTACGTCGTGAAACCTAAGAGTAATGAGGAAATCATCGGGATGTAGAAATATATGAGATATTTAAATTTGCAAAGCAAAATCTTCTTAAAGCGTCCTGGCGGTTTTTTATTCTCTATCTGAAAATTTGCTTCGTTCTACTTTTTTCCAGATATATTCGGAAAATATGTCTCAAACCAGGCTAAAATCATGACGTCCATTTTGAAGAACTCGAACTAAGGAAATAGTACCTTTACATTAGAGAAAAATGTCAAGACTTAGAAATATGCTTTAAAGGCAGAGACTCTTTTCAAACAATGCAAGTTATTAAAAAACATATGTCAATGTTATATTATGTAGATTTCTATGGATGCTATTTATATAAACAGGATATAAATGAAGATCTATGTAAACACATTCAAAGGAATTCATCTGCGTTATACACATGCAATTTCACACATTCTGCATGCAAAGTTCATAACAATGGGTTTTCAAATAAAATTTTAGAAATTTGACGTAATTTCACAAACTATCATAGACTTGTAAATCAAAGACTTGTATGAACTTCTCACAATGATGATTTATTAATACGAATGAAAGACCCATATCAAATCTTGTCATAGTAACGAAGCAAAGAAACATTGTATGATCATTTATACCTTTACAAAATTCTCTTGAGTTTGTTCCCGAGCCTTGTATTAGGTCTAGAGACCACTAAAGAAAGCAAAAAAGCAAAAGTACATTGATTATTACAATATCAGACTCCTTATAAATTAAAAGATTCATATGAACGTGATGACATTGAAATGGATAATGTTGACAAGAAAAGTGATGTTATCAAAATAATCGAAACAACTATTCTTATACCATTATCACAAAGTTTTAGATATAAACCTGGTTCTCTTGTAATAAATATTTTTCCATAGATATTTACTATAAATATTTTGATAAATATTTTAATATTACTTGAATTTTATATTTACGATGTTTTTAATATTTTACTATTTTTTTGGCTTGGATCTTGTCACTCATCTAGAGTGTTGATTTATGTGCTACCCTCTTCAAGAAAGCAGAGCATTCTGCGATATATTCACATGCATACGCAGATCTGATATGTGCATGAATGTTGAGAGGAAGAGCATTAAGACAGGTTTGCGTTTCTTGTAAGTTCCGGTAGCAGCTGTTTTAGAATCAGCAATCATTTAAGCTGCGATAGAACGATCCAAAACACAAATGTGATCAGATCAGATCTTTGAGTACATTACGCATTCCACTGAAACTTATGACCTACGATACAATCGATTCAGGGCAAAACTACAGAACCTGCTTGGTTACGTCTGACATGGTATGCAACGTTGGCACATCTCCTGAACCCCCACTGGACGCTCTTACCGATCTCTAACAGAGGCCGCGAATATAAGTAATTTGCTCCGGGCTATCGACTCCTCTGAAGCGCAGCCTGTAAGAAAGTTTCCCGATCTGACTTGCCCGCCCCTTGAAAGCTCAGACAACGGCTAGGGCCTTGCCTTTAATTTGAGCTGCAGTCACAAAGATTCACTCTCTAGATCTGCTGTACTTCACCGACATTTCCCATCATAATGCTATTCGGGCCTAGCCCAATGTGCATCCATGTTCGACTCGATGTGGTCTTCCTATTTTATTCGCTTCCCTACCATTGTATATTCACATTTCGGCTTTATCAATGTATTGTCTGGTTCCAGAGGTCGTATACTACTTCAGAGGTCTTACCATGTTGACTCTCTTTATGCCAGAAATTATTCAGCAGAGGAAGTACTGACGAATATAGGAAAAGGATAGGAGGACCCCATGCCATCAAGTTGTACAGTACAGGGATGAGACTGAATGGGTAAGAGTATGTCGTATAGTACCACTAACAGATGCAGTGTATCGGTGACGTCAGGCGTTTGGAATGTTGGAAACGTCCAGGGTCATGAATGCACGACGAGCGAGTAGTTAAAACCGGAAATGGATATGGGTTTGGGATGCTCCATTATCCAGCTGGGCATGGCACGGACAACGAGATTTAGCTTTGCGAGGGGGACCCCGAGGCCGATAGCACTTTCTGTAGACGACAAAGAAACGAGAACGACTTCATTGGAGTTCAACTTCAACGTCCCGTGGACTAATAGAAGATCCAATTGTGCACGCAACAAATGGCATCGGCGATGAATCGGAAGGCAGGAAAGGCAGGAAGCTTGATGATGTGACTGAATGAGTCATGCGCATACTTCAGCGGTGTCTTCTACTAAACGTCACTCCCTGACGAAGAATAGTAGTTCTCAGCCCGAGCCTCGGGACTTCTTCGATTCAGGAGTGCGTGTTCAAGAGGTTAGGGATACACCAAAGCTTTCCACAATCCCAAGACGCAAAGGACAGTCTGTATCTGACGAGGTGCATTATTTGACAGTAGAGAGTATTTCCCAAACCAGAATAATATGTGGACCGTTTTTCCATGGTCCAAAGGCAATGAATTCATAACATATGTGTCTCCACCTCGACAAATCTGTGCCCCCTCGATAGTTGAAGCACGTAATTATGGGCCCAGGACTCTCGATTCTAACCGACTAGACCCCACTACTAAAGAACTGCTAACCAGTAGCGTTTCTCATGTACATGTTGTACATTTCCTCTTGTAGCGGGGTTCTAGGCCCTGAAAGGCATTGACAACCTGAGCTCACTGTAAACCTCATCGAGAGAGCGATTGACAGCAGAGTCAGTTGTCTACTTCGACTCTTCATATGAAAATCCACTTACAGAAGAGGAGCAATCCAAAAAAGCTTCACTGCCACAGCGCTAAGCAAAGAGCTTCTCCAGTGACTTTCAAATCTGCGTTAAGCGATTAGGTACACGACTTCGTGACGTCGCTACGTTGCAATGATCTTCCCTGATCTATCTGTATGTATGTTGCTTCCACAGACGGCTCACATCAAATCAGGTCAAAAACCGTCTGAGCAGATTTGTATGATTAAGAAACTGTCAATTCTTCAGCTTCAGCATTCAAAGCCATTGATATGTGAGAACATTGTGAACGGAAATTGAGAAAATTGAGAACAGGTCACACTCACTTGCTGCTTCCAAATCCGAAATTGCTCACTTACTCATTTACGTTCACGAGCATTTCAACGTTGCATTGTCCGCAGGAAGAGGGTCAAATTGTCATTTCGTTCAATAACCACAAGCTGTCCTTGCTCGTCCCTAAATCAGCTGCTGCCTCGTGTGATGTCTGTGCTTTCCTGACAATCTGTCTGGAGGAATTCATTGAACGAGATTTATCAATTCATTTTCTTGTGCTGTCACTCTCACTGATTATCGCAGCCAGTGGCTGGCACTCACTGCACATTTGTCGTTTACCGTTTAATATAATGTATTCGGATCCCAAAGATGCCAATACTATTCAAGGTATATCAGTATGGTTCTGCTATTATTTGTTGTCAGATCTTGTGGATGTACAAATCACGTCAAATTACAATGATAATTTGTTTGCAGTGACATGGATTGCCAGATTGCGAAGAAGTGTGATAAGATTAATTAACTTTGTAATAATCTGAATAACTCCGAATAATTAGAGCAGATTCTTAGGAGCGAATAGAGTATACTTAGCTCGGACGAAGATGCCTAACCGCATATCAATTCTCCTTCCACTGAGTTGGATATATTGCATCGAAGCTCGGAAAGTAGATGTGCATGCCTTCTGAAGCTGGCCCCTCTCCATCCACCACGGTTACTTGACGCCATTGCTCGTCTCTTGGCATGTCATCAAAATTAGCCTGCCTTCTGAATCGTCATTCACAAAGAGCCCTTCACACTCAACGTTAGGTGCACAAGTCGAAGCAGATACATTTCAATTGGGCTGACAGAGATCTTTCTCCAGTCGGTCCATCTGAGAGAAAGCAGCAGTCAAGGAGTACTTGCAATTTTGAACACTATCCTGAGCTAGAAGACAGTACTCGGACTAGCTGCGTCCTTCTGCAAATTGATGTTATGGTGCTGGAACGCCCTATACATAATAAACTGTTGTCGACTGTCCTTCGGGCTCTTCAATTCTCGCCATCGTCCATCGCTGAAGCCCAAGGACTATCTTGTACGTCATCATAAACAGGATGTAAGCAAACAGCAAACTAAACCGGGATAAGGTTGTATCTCCATCATGGTGTAATCTTTTGCCCTCCTCACTTGACCGATCGTTCAAACGACATGACCCTGTACGTATTGTAAGATCAGTCTCTGCTTTAAGATGGATCTTCAAGTTTTCATATCCACCTCATCTTTCTACGTATCATGATTCAATTCACTCACTCCACTGTTCCCGTGACAAAAGTTTCGGTTTGCTTTTAGAAGCCCAGCTTCGTGTGTATGGTACAAATATGATATATTAGTGTAACAGGCCGTTCAATGCTTCTCATCAATTCCATTGTTACACTTCAATCGATGCAACTAAGCTTCGTTTCTTCGACATCAAGAGTGCCCATAAAATTAGCTTCAATCTTCAGCAGATCACGGATTGCTTTTTAAAATTTCAGCTGCTCCTGTGCGTTCCAGCACAAGTTCAGATTCAGAGCAGCACCGACGGACGAGCGAATGCTCGGAATTGTAGAGTGAGCGAGTATTCAAAGAAGAAGAAGAAGAAGCAGCAGGCGGCCAGCGAGTCAAAAATATTGTTCCGAAGGGACGCCACCAGAAGCTGCGCAGCTTCCCTGGCCTGCGGCAGAGGACCCTCGAGGACCCTCGAGGCGAGTCGAGGCGAGGCCCTGGGAACTGTGCCACTGTTGGGCAGCGAGCAGAGAGCAGCGCCACAGTGGGCTGAATAAAATTGTCTGAACCTTTGTCTTCCCCGGCACGTCCTGCTGTGAACATCCGACGATTTGCAACACGTGCCCTTGTCGATCGTACACGTTTGATGCACGGCCAGGAAGCCTCACAGCAAAACCAGTGCAGTGCAGTGCAGTCCAGTCCAGTCCACTGACAGGCTCGGCCTGCCACCATGGGCTCCGATACTCCATGCTACACGGACGCGATGGAGTCAGTTGCAGTCAGATGGAGGCAGCTCGTGCAATGCAGGTCAAATTGTTGCCGGGGAGGTTCATCTTGTTGGTGCTGCTACAGAGCGAGTGCGTCCAGCTTCTGCTCAACTTCTGCGCGCAAGGTCCACGTTTAAGTCTGCATTCGCAGCTCTAGATGTCCCGCGGTCGGTCATGGGCCTGTGTGAGACGACATCTCCAGGTCTGGACCTGGAGGTGCTACTCGCTGACAGCAGCCCACGACAGTAGAGCACGAAATTCGCTTGCGGGAATTTGCTCGACGCCGACGACGTCAGCAACACCGCAGACGCTGCGTACGAAGCCTCGCTCGAGCTGGTTTCATGGTGGATCTCGTCGACTATAATCTGTTGACACTTTTTCGAGTGAAGTGGTGCAGAGGTGAGCACAAGTTCAGATTCAGAGCAGCACCGACGGCTGCTGCCAATCTTCCGGTGCGGACCCGCTGTCGTCGATTCCAACGATGCCATCATATAAGCAGAGCACCCGGAAAGGCAGTCATCCACATGCAAATCTGCTCGGAGGCTCGATGTCGATCACGATCCTCGTCATCATCCTCGCCGTGCTCTCAGTGCATGCAGCAGAGGCTGATCGACTCGATCTCCGGAGGCCGTAGACTCAAGAGAAAATTTGTCTGTCAACTCGCACAGCGGAGAAGAACTACTTTCGCATACTGATGAGATTCCGAGAAATCGAGGAGGTCCGAGTCCGAGAGAGAGCTTAGAAGCAGGAAGAGCCGCAATGTCGAAGTCGTTCAAGAAGTACGCATGTATAGGCCTCTGCGTGTCCATCTGCATCTTGGGGCTGGCCCTCTTCGGCTTCTACATCGGAGCCGGAAGGTATCTGGCAGTGCCCTTTTTCCAGGTGCTGGATTTCCAGCTCGCGGGCCTGGACGAGAGCCTGGCTTCGTCGAAGGTGAACACCGAGAGCACGTTCACGATGGAGACTCGCAATCAAGGCAAGAAGATGCACCTCTACTACGACGACTTCTATTTCTCGGTGCACTGGAAGCAAGTGAACATGGGCCATGGCAAGGCTGCAGGATTCGATCAGGGAACCAAGAATTCCACGTATATCCATGGGAGCTTCAGGTCGAGCCCCGCCAACATCGAGCTCGGTGCGAGCGAGGGAGCAGAATTGGCAGACGCTCGAAACAGTGGGCTGCTCACGCTTTCCATCGATGTGGACGTAAGAACCCAATGGAAGGACATATCTGGCCTGAAGAGCGACAAGTTTGATGCACGCATAGAGTGCAAAGTGAGCATCAGTCCCCAAATTGCCTCCGGGTCCCAGCTTGTGTACCAGAAATGCGAAGTCCTGGATTTCAAATGCCTCGCGGGCTGTTGAGCACTGCAGTATGAGTAGCACCTTTTCCAGTGTAGGTTGTATATACATAGATTTGATGAGCTCCTCTGAACAGCCATCCCTCACCCCCCATTGTGCCTCAGACATGGCGCAAGGTCCATCCGAAGCTCGTGAAGGTGGAAGTTGTACACTACACAGTTGGGTCAAAGGAAACAAAAGGCTTGCACGTACCCTGTTTTCCAGATCTTCTTTGCGGCAAGAGGACTTCTCACCAGCTGTATCAATCTAGGTCCGTGAAGGAAACATACACAGAACTTATCAAATAAAAATCAGAAATATATGGCGAGTGAAATCCCACGACATGAAGTGGACGCTGGCTCGACTCCAGGAGATGACGCCCGATTCCGTATGAGAACATCGCCTGAAGCAAACGAAAGAATCATGATTGACCCCGTGTAGTGGACGTGAGTCCCTGCAGTGCCTTCCTTCGATAGAAAGATTGCTCAAGAGGGTGCGAGTGCTGGGCACCATTTCCAAGTTGAGGTGACAGAATGGTTCGCAGCTTCACGAGTAATTTCTTTGACGTCTGCTACGGGCATACTGAGCCGAAAACTCAACTTACATTTCGTCCTCCGAACATGCTAGTCATGCACAAGGCAGGTGCCATACTATGACTTGAGACCGAACGTGTCAAATCCGGAGTTTCACAACTCCTGGGCAAAATATTTTCGTGTTCAAACAGCTTCTTGGACTCTGATTGATTGTCAGAAGACAGCCGGCAATAACACGTGAGTTCCCGCTATCAACATATCAAATTTGGGCCATGAACCTCGGCTTCTAGGAAGACAGTGGTGGCGTACTTCAACTTTGAGCTGCGGCTCTTCACTTGGTACGGACATTATACACAGCTCTGTTGCTCGATTCGTCCGAGACGTTCAAAATGACGAGTGAGCCTTGAAGATGCGGTTTACAGTGGTGATATTTGTAGCGCCATCTTCTTGCATGCATGGTACTGTGATCAGTCAAGTATGATTGTAAAACACCCTGAAGTTGTTCCACGGTTCAAAACCACGTTCAGCTCTTCAGGACCATATTAAACCGCCAAATAATTCCACCATTTGTTATAACGTCGTGTTCGGTTATAAGATCTATATTCGAATAAGCACCTCTGCGAAATCAGGTTCGGAAATGAAGCCCATGCATCACGCAAGGTGAAGTCAAACACGCAATTTTTTATCTTGCACATAGGCACAGACTGTCTGCTTGATGTTCTTAGCCTAAGATTCTAAACAAAGGTCTTACTATATCTACTGTGCCGATCAGTGCTTCAAAAGGTGTGTCCCAACCGCACCACTTGACGACATTCTTGATTTTTCTTCTACTGTACATTGTGCATAATCTAGCCTAATGTGAACTTACACATGCTTATAATTTGGCTATTTAGCCAGAGAGAGTCACAACCAGTAATTATATACAGACAGCATAAAAGCGAACTCTTGAATTATTGACATCTCGTTGATGATACGCATGACAAATACCAACGCTTCGTCGTTCACCGGGACAAAATCAAATTCACTCGTGAACAAGCTGAAGAAACTGTGATCTGGAAAGGATCGGCACTAGAAGTATCTGATGGAGAGCCGTCGGATAATATGTCCGTTTACTGCCAAATAAGGAAATAAATTTTCTATTAGGAGTCAGTTCATGGGCTTCCAGTCGCTCTAGAACATTCAGTATTGTGCTCAACAGTTTTTTATGATCGAATGGACAAGAAGGAACAGACTGAAAAGGCAGAACACCTGAAAGTTCATCCAGCTTTGCTTTACCAGAAATAGGTGAAATTCAACATGTACTAAAAATGATATTAGAAAGATCTATTCGTCAGGGATATTGTAGAACATAATTCGAAGCCAGGTGTCATCAATGACGATTTTGTCTATAATCTAAAAGCAAGTCATATTCTGTTACCCATGCGGTTGTTCATGAATGCAGGAAAAAGATAACAGGAAAAGCGTAGGAACACTCACAAGCACTCGAATTTTCAATGCGTCATTGAACCTGATCCGTGCATGATGAAGCCTGACTTCTGCCTTATCTGTTTGCACAACCAATAGAAGGGGTTAAAGAATTAATCCTGTATGAACTAACGAACGGAAGGGTATTATAAGAACAAAACGTATAATGCTAAGTATATACCGCCCATAGCCTTTGGACCATCAATCCTGTAAGCCTAGAAGTAAGAAAGAACCACTCACCATGTGGATCGTGCAAAAGGGTTCAGAAGCTGCAGTACTCCAGCATTTCCTTGAAACATATACACTTGAGCCGGTATATACTCATCTTCATCCACCGACTCCAGAGTTAACTCATTAGAGAAGCTGAACTTGCAGGTGGGCTGCAAAAGCCTGCATCCTTCAGTGCACTTTACGATCATGAGTCGAGCCCCGTATCGCATCTGCCATACCTTCAGAACATGTGTACAAGCGTATAAGATAAGTCCAGTCGGTTCACAAACAGTCGGTCACACCAATTGAGGTCAAAATCACGCAGGGCCTCAAGCTATATGTAAGACACTGGAGGGCTATTCTAGAAATCTAACATACGGATTCAAAGCATAGAGTGAGGTAGCAAGAAGCTTCGGTTATCGGTAGCATGGAAAGAAATATGCATACCTCAACGACACCCCTTCGAGGAGCGTGTATTGCCAGGCAGAGTTTGAACTCATCTCTGACGAATCGTCTCCTCCTCCTAGACTGCACAATCTCGTATTCCGCTCTTCCATCCACAGGTGCTTCCAGAAACACGCAGTGTGCTTCTCTATACCCCTGCGCAATTTACCTTATCTAAGACTTGGCTACCGTTGACGTGGAGGTATCTGAGCTAGATCAATTATTGCGCTGTCCACAGATTGACGAGTATATTCCCAATATTGATACATCTCTACTTCATCATCGCTAACTTGTCGTATTCTCTAGAGGTATAACATGCTGATTTCGAAAACCTAGGGTGACACTACAAGGTGATGTTGCAGAAGATTTCATTGAGAAATATTATCAACATTCGTAGCGTCTCTAGAAATCTTTAACGGAGAAAATTTCTGCTCCTAAAAATATTCAGGTCCATCATCATCCGAAGTTTGAAACAGATCACGAACATACGGAACAGAAAGAGAAACGACTCGTTAGTCGTTTCTCAGTTTGTACAGAGAAGAAGGGCAAAACGAGGGCACTTAAGTACGCAACCGGTTCTAGACCCAAAAACATCAATCATCATAATCTGGAATACTACCTTCCACAGCCGCACAACGACAAGAGCTTGGACATCGATCAATGATATGCGACCAAGAGAATCCGTAACGGCTGCCAACGAACCACTCGAGGACAGTGCAAGACTCAATCCCTTCCTCTGTTTGTCACGTAGAGTCGTTATCAACGTTGCTGCATCACAGTTAAGAGCTCCGGTGAAAAACGTGAACAACAATATCCAAGTACAAATGACTTGAGTTCTTCAACAGCTAACCTGCTTCCAGAGTTAACCCGAAATCAGGAACTGTGATTAATCTGACCATCAGTGCCGGGGGAAAGTCCTCCAAATTCAGAATGGAATGAAAAATGCCCAAAAAGCATGAATAGAGTCAGTTATAGGCAGGTATAAAGTACTTGCACTTACCTCGTCCAAAAGCCTGGGAGGCAACTTCTGTAGGTCTGTTCGCTTCCGACGTTGGGTCAGTTTTCCAAAATCTCTTGGTTAGATGAGAAAATGTCGAAATGGCAGCAGGCATTACCTTGTCGAACACGATACCTGCGAAGGAGTCTCTCTTCTCCCCTGACACCCTGTTGGCACGTAACGATGAGCTGAGCAATACAAATTGACAACTTCCCAGAGAATTGGAAAATTTGCGAAAAAAGTTTTGGAATGGACAATTGATCTTTTAAGGTCCTGCTTGTAGTCCATTTACCATTTACCATTAATCAAGTAAAAGGTGAGGCAAGAAGAGAAGTACCTGAACGCAGCTAGGGTACAATCCTCTCCAACGGTGAGTGCACAATAATGGCGTTTCAGCTGTCATAGAAGCGAATCTCTTTAATAAAACTGAATGTCCTGTCAGAAGCTACTGAAAATAGTCCGTAAACAGTAAACTCATTCCAATCGTCCGAGGATATACCTGATGCTCCAAAAGTGGAGGGGCCATGACGCATGCAAGAGCCCCATCAGCGATGTAACTAGATGCTGTTGACTTGCCCACGTTCCACATTTCATACGGCAACCGCAGGCTAAAGCTTTCGCTTCGATGCAGCTCTCCCGACCTTCGATTAACTCTATCATATCGCGCCTGGCACTTCCGTAGCACAGTCTGATACATAAAACAGTGTGAGTCTGAGTGTTGCCCTAAGCTGCACGTAAGTCACAAGCAAACGAATATCACAAACAGTTCAAACTGAAACCCTCAGTTTTCTTGCGGACAGATTACACCCTGACATGTGTGAAAGGTTGGACTGAACTTGCTAAGTCCAATACTTGTGGACACGACTCCTCATGTCTGTGAGACTTCCAACTGAACATCATACTTCACACCATTCCTTGTGGACATGGATTGTAGCTCATATCAGCAAACGATGCCGTGCATAACGGAGCTTGGTTATGCATGAAACAGTGGGCTCGAAAGCCTTCTAAGTCAGCACACATGAGAACAGAGTAAATTTGTTATCCTTACGTGAAGATCCACAACATCAATTCTCGCTATGGCCTTGGGAAAGACGAGGCAGACATCCTCAGAAGCGGTAAGACCCACAACAATATTCCCATCCTGTCGTGCTCGTAGTCGAAGCAGTGGACCAGAGTTGAATTGCTGCAAAAGACAGTAAATCCCAGTCAGAATATTAGTTTCTCCTCAGTAGTGAATGAAGGACTCTAATTACAACTCTATCATCACAGGAGTAGTGAGCTTCCTACTTAATGTGATCTTCAAAACATGTGGACGCAATCTGCTGAGCATGTTTACGAGCAGGACAACATCAAGAGCGGCGAAAATCAATCTCGAAAGTGAGTCAGAGTATATTCTCTCCTTGTAGAAAGGAGACTTGGTGCACAGGATAATGAGAGAGAAACTCGAAGTTGCATTACATTTCATTATCTTCCTCCAATTTACATCATCTCCGCTGATAGAAAATGTCAAATGTGGATTTGAATAATTGGCAATTTCTTCGTATATCTGCTTTCCCTGCCTCATTCCATCAAGTTGCCCCCAGACACAGCAACCGTAAAGAATTCTCCATCCAAGGTCTTTTCTTTATAAAACAGCCAGGATTTCCTCTTGAGAATAGGGATTCCGGAATGGAGTTTCAAATTTGAAGGGAATGTGGGGTCTCTTCCATTAGGCTCAGCTAGTTGACGATCAATGCAGAAAGACTGGAGTTAATTTCTCAGGCTTTACTCAAAACCTCAGCTTTCGCTTCACTGCTGTGAAGAGAGCAGTTTGCATTCATATTTCGAGGTCTACAGATTTATACGCAGTTTCCACACAAGTCTCAGTCCACTTTGCGGTTCACAAACCTCAATTTTAGACCATATATACATACCTGTTGAAATAAGAGGGTGCCCTGCTCCGTATAAATTCTGAGAGCGCCAGCGGACGTCCCCACTGCTAGGACAGTGAAATCGCTGAACACCAGCCACTCCATACTCGTCACATTCTCTTCGAACACATCAGGGTTTCCGACCCGGATGGTCACAGGAGTAAAATCACCGTGACGTTTCCATTTCAGTTGCATCACCAGAGTGTATTTTTTGGCGATCGCCATTTGGGACCACGTCATGGCGATTACCAGGTCCGGACTGTCCAACCATCCCACAAACCCGGCACCCACATCCTCCAGAGGCTCATTATCTGCGATCACCCAGCCGCAATACTGCACTCCCTTCACAGTAGCCATACATCCACTCTCGATCGATCGAAGAATGGACGAATGGAAGGATGCCGAACCCTAGGGACCGTCCTTCCCCTGGTCCTCGCTTCGATGACCTCTCACTTTCCTCGATGAAAATGGGGTCTCCGCGCACCCAATCTTGCTCCTTTTCCAGGCTCCAAGTTCCTCGCTACGACCCTCGCTCTCCTCGAGGACTACTGTCCCTCGACGGGACCCACCGCGGCGTCCATCGTGGGTCCCACCATCTACGCAGTACGCACTCCCATGTTCACACCAGGCCTCCAACTTCGACCGCATCCACTGGACCGTTTCTGTGGTCCCCACAAGAATCACTTCTTAGTAAGAAGTGAGTCCTCTCCTTCTCGTAAGAAGTTCTTACGAGAAGGAGAAGAGCACGTGCAGCTCTTACTTCCACTCACAGCGGTCAGATCAAATTGTTGTAATACCTGGACGAGATTGTACCGTCCGATGATACTGCGGGCGTCGGGGGGGCAAGACTTACTCTGGTAAATATAGAGTTCGTCTTAAGATTGGAGCCTTTTCGATCTGATGGGCGTATTTTGTCCTTGCGTTATTTATCACATCGTGTCCGTGGGATGAGGGGGGAGATACATCTCCCACCGTTAGATTGGAATGTTTGGCTGTTCAGACCAGTTTCTGTCGGCTCGGTTGTTACCCTCAGGAGGGTAAGATTAATTACAGAACTTACTCGCGAATCACGGGCCGCCAGAACACCTCAAACAGGACCTATGATGGTGACGCGGACTCGATCTTGTTGCCAAGTGCCTCAACCCATGCACGCCACGTGGTGGGCAAACCGAGAAGGAAAACCCCTCTCCAAGTATGCTCATTACTTATCATGCGAATCAACAAGACTGTCCGTTGGATCTGAGATCTGAGGGTGTAGATCTGCCTTGCGATTTCGCGAATCTAGCAATGATTCCCTCACTCCCGAGTATGGACTGAATCCACTCCATCTTTGCTTCGTATAAAGAGGACTGAGCACACACATCAAAATTCAACAAATTGTCTTCGATCAATATTGTGCTCTGACAGGATTCAAACGATTCAGGTGCATCAGTCTTGAAAAGTTACTGACTTCGGGCAAGGATTTCTTCTTATACGGATCTGACAGCATTCTGCAACAATGTCTCAAGGAGTGCCAGACAAGGAGGTGCAGCAGATGATCAAGGACGAGGAGAAGCTGATTCAGGAGGACCCACTTCACGACGTGAAGGAGGAAATTCTTCACGAAGTTGATGTCACGAAGAGCGTGCAGGACTCAGGCGAGACGTCGCCACCCCCTCAATCCGTTGCAGGGGAGGGAGTTGTGAAGAGCGATGTCGCACCCGTGTTTGCTGAAGAGTACAAGAAGGATCACGGGGCGGAGAAGCAACCGGAGACCAAGAAGGAGCAGTAAGTGAGTTCATCAGAATTGATTTCAAGCATAATGAGCGGCTGTTCTCCAAGCTCGTGATACCCAGTTGTCTTGAATCGGGAAAGACCAGACAGGTGAATTCGCTCGAGCTAGGGAGGCAAGAAACGCGGGGATTGTCAGGATTGGAAAAAGATTTAGTCTGAGATGGAAGTGTAGCCGCTAGATTGCATATGAGGTTTGTTTTGTCATAACTCCTGGATTCCTCACCAGGTTTGATCGCAATCGCGGTTGATGTAAGTAGCTTGTGTACATAAACATTGTTTCGCTTGTCTGCAAAATTTGTGTGGTCAGGATCTGGTTTCCTCCCATCTCTGCCTTTACTATGTGGCATCTTATCGTCTTTCAATAACAACACGAGCTCTTTGATTCTCCTCTTTCCTATCTACTAACGCTTCTCCATGAAGCCTCTATGCTGCTCCATTGCCGTTCTCCTAGTCTCGGCAGTACTAAGCTTCACATGTTGTCTCCATGTTTGTGTACCGTAATGGATTGTTCGTGCGCTGGGGATCCTGAAAATCGCAGTCGTGGATCCGGAGTGAGCTGAAAACTTTCTGTGTACTCTCTCATTAACAGTATAAATAAGATGTCGCTAGTAGGCATCCCTGCCGCAGACATCAGAGAATTCATTGCGCACGCGTTTAGCATTCTGCCGAACGTGATTTTCATTGAACTCATATTTTTGATCATTTTGTTTTCATTTTGCTGCATCCTTCTGTAAGGGTGTTGCAAAACGGGGAGGACATAAATGTTTGTATTTTGAGAGCAGTCTATGATAGTTTCTCGAATAATACACCAGAAAAACCGAAACGGTCAACTTTGATTGAATATCGTACGAATGGAACATTCCAATTTGCAGCCTTTATTTGCAAAATTGAAGGGCTTCTTACGAGAGAATATTGCCAAAAAGTGAGAACAACTTCAATCTTCAGTAAACGCTTAGAAATAAAATGATGACTTAATATAACATTATATAATGTGCATCAACAGTTAGTACAAATTTAAATATCCCGAGACGGGAAGGAAGTAGTAATTATTGAAAGTAGACTCTATTCTGACATGTTAGCAGCGATTAGTATATACATTGTAAGAAAGTTATTATTTCATAACAGTTTGTGACGAGTAAATGCCACTCCTGAAAATTATAGGAACTTGATCATCCCCATCACTAGTATTGAAAGCGTCTTTGCGAAAAATTGCGTTTGGTTGTGTAATCAGCACTAATCACTGCTTCCTTTCCTTGATAATCAGCGGTTATGATAACTTCGTCAATGTAGCAGTTCGTAGAGTGAGTGGTCAATTCCGACGATACGCTCGTCACGCTGGATTCTACCTGTTTGTCAATCCATACTGTATTACCACGAGATGTGAGAACAGCTTTGTTAAATCTGGATAATATGTAGAAAATTCAGCGTAGTTTCTGTATGTTAATCTCTTGCTACCTACAAAACAGTGACAATCAAATTTTGACTAAATAAAATCATCCTTTGCTACACCCTGCCTCTGATTGTCACCGCTTGTTGCATTGAATAACGAGGAGCCACAACCCTCTCCCGCAAAATGTACATACCACACCCATCTATAGACTTATTCCAGTGTTACGCACTCTGGATATTCTGTATCTCCAATGCCTCTGATTTATTCTCGTCCGGGGTGAGAATCTTCCTAAAATAACCCTCCAGACATCATCAAAGTCTCTATAATGTGCAACAGCACACACTACTAATCAGGGCCATACAGCTCTCAGAAGCTCAAAGCTGAAAGCAAAGGTGTCCAAACGCTGAAAATCATGAACGTAAACAATTGGAATTAAATCCTGTAACATTACGATCTCTTTAGTTCCAATCTCGAAGCAGAGAACTCAAACCGATCAACTGTAGCACTTGCAATTCCAGCAATCTCCACGAAGAAAGCGTCCATCAGGCACACGGTATGTACAATGCGAGTCAATTTGAGATGAACTATGATTTGAGACTGAAAACAACACGATAAGATCTTTTGTGGACATTGATGATTTTCGTGTCAACAAATACCTACTCCAGCAAAGGCTGTCTTAAAAACCGGGATGCTTACGTGTTGTCGATTGTAATGTCTTGGTTCACCGTGACTTTTGGTCAAGACTTGCTGAATAGATTTGAAGGTCAAAACATTGCACTGATCTACTCCTTTACGAAGTGCTCAAGGATCGAGTGACGACAAGATGGACTACGCACGGCATGGACGAAGAACCCTCGAAACAGTGCTAGCTCTGGAGTCCTTCGATTCAATCGATGTAAAGGTCTCCTGAATTTGTATAGTCACATCCTAATGCTCATTAAGACTTGACTGAAAGGGTACACCTGTGGACAGACAAGCAGCAACATTGATGTCCTGGTGTAATTCCGTTGTAATTAAGATTCATCGGTCAACTCCTGAGTGATTTCAAAGTCTACTGGCTTATTTTACAGCTTGTAAGGTGGCACTAATCAGACATCCGTGATCAATTTCTGTGCATATATGCACAGACCCATTCATACGCATCCCATCATGCATCAACAAGAGATTTTCAACTGTAAAATGCTGTAGACTTTGACCTTGGCAATCCCTCCGAATTGACCGGGTGTTTTGACTTTACTCCGGCAGGAAAGGCAAGGACGTTCGATAATTAGCACAGAAGCCATCCGATGAATTACCACCTGCGAATTCAACAGTAAAACTTAAAAGGTGCAAAAGTTGGCCTTTCGATGCCAGCATTATTTATTCACTCAGTCGAGCAGAAGTAATGAGTGAGCGATGAAAAGGAAAACAGGGCATTCAGTGCTAAATGCACCCATTGCTAAAGTTTGACTTGAGGATGAAAGCTGAGCCGCCTTGCACAAGCCTTTGCATGTCATACTGTAAATCAACAGGTCTTGGTAAAATCAAAGCTTGATGTCAGTGATTAATTATGGTGAAAAAAGGCACAGCATAATTTTAGTTTCTTGGAAGCTCTGTGGATTCCAGACGAGCAGCATCTGGAGCTGTAAGTGCAGCGGTATACTTGTGTGAAGATCCATTATCATGTCTTCGATTACGGGTGACGTTACTGAAAGCCAAGGAAACGATTTGATTGACCTTACATCGATGGCTGAGCCAAGATTAAAAACCAATTGGTTGCCGAATTTGAAATCTAGTGCGCCATGTGTAAGACCTCGTTGTTTATGGTGTCAATTTCTTGCCTTCATGCGAAGATATTCGTCGAATTATGAATAATGCATCCACTTGAGCACGAGATCTACATCTCTGGCGTGTTCACTTGCTGTAACTACAGTTTCTAGTATCTGAGTGAAATAGCCTTTTGACTTGACACCGTGTATCACAGCAACATTCGACAAGAAATGTCATAAGATAAGCATCGACTGTTGATCAGAACAGAAGTGGTCCATCCTTGCAGATTAATATCCTTAGGTTGGAAGATGTCGAAGTCTTGACATCCTACATTTCACATTTATACTCGAGCAAGTCTTCTTTTGAGGGTGATATGAAGAAGTGCCTCATATTATACCCGAGCTTTATTCATTACAATATTATAATGCTTTACAAAGTCAATGTTACCACACTAGTGGTAAAAGACAAGAAAAAGTCTTCAGTTACTTGTGAATGTACATATCATAAGCAGCTTAGAGTTTGACAAATTTCCCGTCAAAAGCCACCGATGTGCAGTGTCGAAGACTTGAAATAAGTTGATATGATTGCGCACCTGTAGCTGGAAACAGCGTAACACAGACTTTCGAGCTCTATTATCGTTCATAGCATTTGCCAAATATCATGATAAGATTGCGATTCCATTGAAGATATGCCAATTGGGGTCAATTCTATTGTGGATAGTGTTTAGAAGGAATTGTAATATGGATTCTGCGAATGTTTACAAGGAATGACAACTTAAATTAGAGATTTCAGACTCCTGGAAAAGATTTTGACACATTGTTCTAAGACCTTAAAGCTGTATGCGAGATTTCACAGGAAGTTTGTCATTCGTGTTCATTAAGACAAAAACTAAGATTTCTTTGACTACCTATCTCCTAAACGGGAAACCCACTTGAAGATCTAAAAGGCCACATCCGAACTCACCTCTAACAGTTTCGAAGGTCAAGGTGGCAGTCAAGTTGTAAAGCGTCCTCCGTTCCAGGGCAAGGAACCAACGGTATTCTAAATAATTTTGTTTTCAAGTATAGAAATTCTGATTTCCTTCGATGTATTATAAGTGAAAAAATCGACTCATTCAAGATTTATTTTAGTATATATACACACATATATGATTGAGAAAATAGATATAGATATAGGTTGACCTCTCCTCCGCTTCGATGGTCGCTCGGTCGTCGACAGCTTGAGACTCGTCGTCCGGATCGATGAGCTGCGACCCTTTGAATGCTTGCTTGTGCCTTCGCATGATCAATGCATCGACTGCTTTGCCGTCCGAGATCCTTTCCGCCGCACTTTTCTCTAGACCACTGCGTTTTGTATCGTCCATCAGCTTGTTCTCACCCGGAGGCCGACATCCTTTCCTCTTGTGATAGAGGTAAAGGGCTTCATTCAACGTCTTCATGCATTCGATGCTCAACCTATCTCTCCCCTCATCGTCTTCGGTGTCAATGTCTAAATAGATATCTACTTAGACATTAAAATAGTCATCAGTAACTGTTGTAATTACCCTGTTCCAGCATGCACGGGTGAATGGATCATAGACAGCAAAAATCCTGTACGAGTATGATTCCTAAGAGGGGCTGGTTCCTTGAAGAACGATCTATTTGCTACTCTCGAATATTTTTTCAAGGAAGGCGACGATGAACATGGTTTGTAAAAATCTTTTTTTTTTTGCAAGCAAGTGGACGGTCGGTACTTTAGAATCTTGCGATCATTAAACAAGAGTATTATCAGACGAGTCCAACTTCATCAACTTAAATAAATCACAATGTCAGTACTATAATTACATATATTAAGTTCGAATTCTTACTTGGATTGAGATGAAACATCAGGTGAAACTTCGTTGAATAAAATTAAAATGCTCGCAAACTTCAACTAATTACTAAAGTTCTACAAACGAAGTTCATTTTATACATCTTTTCTGGATTTCATGGCATTCAGTACGCTGTGACATTTAGTCGTACTGAACACACTGTTATTACTTTCTTTAATAACAGGAACCACTTTACTCAAAACATTTTTTGGCAAAATTTGACTTCCGCTCATGCTGATGGGGATGACCATGAAACTACCTAAACGATTCGCTGGTTGAAGTCTTTTAAATATCAACCTTATGTTCAAACGTGAAAACGAAGCAGTAAAGCAGTTAGCTTTACAACCCTCGCATAATAAACTGAAAGGATCCATATCGCGAGTTCACGACGCATTTCATTTAATGTCAAAGTCAAGAGTTTGAAAACTATGCTTCATCTGGTCATTGCCGGAACACCCGTACCGTCATTAGATTGTCAGGACATAGCTTCTTGTGCAAAACTGGTCGTACTGTGGGTACATACTTAAGACAGGAGTTATTGCAAATAAGTCCTCTGCTTCCAGTATGATGTTACTTCATCTGCAACAGCTCAATACAATGACCACATGCAACAGTACCGGATGAATTGTTGCTGCCAATGGACCTGTAGGCTCCAGCTTCAAGTTCCATATAATAGTCAATAAGTTATTGAGTTCTGACGAGTGCAATTCAGATTCGATGTCAGAACAGTTTCTGAAATGGCGAACTGCACTAATTATATTACAGATGCTGTACTGGTCACGTCCCGGCTGTCATTTAAAAACTTTGACAATATCACCTGGTCTTGGGTCAAGAGCAAAATATGCTCTTGAAGGAGCAGCACAGCTCCCCCGCCTGACGCACCACTTGCACGACCACAAGGACTACTAGAACTACGAGTTCAGTGACCTTCACGTCCTGTTTCATTCGTAAGTTCCCGCAGATCAGGACTCATATTTTCAAAATCATGATGTTCAGAATAAAGACTAGCAAAGAGCTACTCCTCATTCCTAACCGATATGAGGAAAACAGAAACTCCCGTCGCTGGAATTAGATGCGACATTGAGCATTGCATCGGAGCGCAAGAACTTCGACATGTTTCGAGATTGGACAACATAGTCCAGTGAATGCAGTCGGAAGTGGAAGCTGCCATGCTCGTCTCTTCATGATTGAGATGGCATCATCAGAACTTTCAATCATCTAATTGAATAAGCAGGCATGATCTCATTTATTATAGACTATCAGTTGCAACCCAAATTGTGCCGATGAACAGGACATGTACGTCGAAGAAGTTTGGATGCTCTTTTCCAGTTTCTAGATATATCTAGGTTGATCCTCATAGCTAAATGTGCTCATCTTGCGCTGCCCTGTCTCAGATTTTGAAGCCGAGAGCCGCCTTCAGCAACGATTGCAGATATGAAACGGAGCGCTTTGGATCTGGAGTGCGGCTCCACTACTTGCTCGAGTGAGTTACGTAGACGATCGAGCACCATCCTCTCCGTCTTCATGGCGATAATCTCGCTCATCGCTCTCGGCCTATTCTGGTGGGCGTTGGACCTGCGTTTGCGCACCAGGGCCGAGTACAAAGAGTATGAGTTAAGCCTTCCTGGAGAGTCCGAGTTTATCAGATCTGGCAATCTGAGATACTTCTGAAAATACGAGACATTCTCATCGAGGTGGGCTTCACATCGACCAAATACCCGAAAGCCACAACTCTGGAACACTCCAAATCTGTTGGCTAGCTCAGAACTCGCCCCATCCATCCTCATCAAAGTAGATAGAGGTGATTCTCAAGTTGAGCCACATTATGCAGTCTGCATGGAAAGCAAACAAATTTGCATATTAAGCGCGCAGACGTAGGTAACGAAGGATCTGTGAATATTTTTGAGCTGCCCCGACCGACAGGTTTGCAATTTTACACTCTCCGGACAATGAGTTTCAATTGGCTTGGATCCTCTCCAAACTTTTGATCGAATAAATTCTTGATGGCATGAGTTCTAAAACCCTGAGCATGACGTAAGACTTCCTTCTGATTCCATTGTCTGATCATAGCTGCTGAAGATTGGTCGAATGGAGACCGTTATATATAAGCAACGTCAGTACGCTTCGACCTTCTGCTACGTCTTCCATGCGCACGACGTTGCTGTGACTCTTGACAGATTCAAAGCCCTTTGGAGTATAGAATTTGTCAAAAGTCACCTTGGGGTTGAATTGGCCCACATATGATTCAGGGCGAGCTCCAGATTATGAGTTCGGATTTTATCCGAACTCAGCTTGTGTTGTCTTCCCATCCTTTTGATTTTGCACATTCCTCGTTCGCGTAGTTTATTATTCCCTTTCTCTATATGCGTTGTGCATCTTCATGTCACTCCGAATTTTGCTTCTGGTATTTCTTTTTCTGAGCTTAAGTGTGCATACATTTGTAAATGGTACGAAAGAGAAATATTACAGTAGGGGTGCTGTACGCAGAGTGGAAGTTAGAGATTAAATGCTATCTATAGAACTCAGCAACGAGATTGATTTCCTGTTCAGAGAGGAAGGTCATCGTAAAGTAGATTCCTATGTGCCATGTACATAACCATAATAAATGTATTGAAAATATTTTATATTTTCAAGATATTCAAAAAAATAAGTAGAAATTTCCAATCTCAATGATGTCTGGCATAAAATTCTATTTATAATATATTAAGAAAAATGTGAATAGCTGACATAAAATACAAGGTCCGCATCATTTTTTATACGGGGACTAAATTGTACACGTGTATGAAAGGTTTGTGGATTACAAATTGCTATTATTACATAAAAAATAAAATTATATTCAACACAAAAAGTCACCAAAACTGTTTATTGACGAACTCAAATGAGTTGCCATTTCATAAACCGTGCATACTGTTCTGTAACATTGTTTCATTATATATTTATTTTTTTAAACGGGTAATGAGCTACTTAATTGCACACAGTCAGTATGTACGGACCACTAATTAAATGCATAGGATCCAGACTACCCTTCCTTCAGTACTTTTATCACATTGATATGATAATCGAAGAATCTGTGCAATTAAGAAAGCAAAATGTGCTCGAATAATTAACTTTTCAATGTAGAATATCAATTAGTAAGAAACATATAACAAAGTGGCCAGAGATCTCTGTAATTTAAAAATCTAAACAGCGGGAGATAAAACAGTTCCCAAAAAAACATAAAGATCAGTCCTCCAACAGCTATGCTGCTAACACCAGCCTCCCCTGTTCCAGACCTCTTCGTTGAGAATCACGGCAGTGCTTGCAGCGGCAAAGCCTACGAGAATTGAAAGTATGGCGAAGATGGTTAAGACAAGTGCCTAATGAGTGCCTTAAGTTGCAACCAGCTCAACAACGTATTCTTCTTCAACTGGGAGCTTAAGTGCCTGTATTTTAAAGGAAGTTGGCATGAGGACCACCTTAAAGGAAAGATACACGAACATTGTGCTCAAATCTGTTCACTTATGATCGTCCTGTGCTGAGCGACTGCTCTCTCTCCATCTTTAGCAGAATTCCAGACTTGTGTACCTGGTCGGACTTAAAGCTCTTCTTTCGTAATCCAAGTGACCGCTTTATGTGTCCAGGCGCGAGTGCAACCAGCCTCTTCAAGATGAAGGCCAGATAAAGTATTACGGAAATGTCGTAATCGCTTCAGACCAAACCACGACTCTAGTCTTGGGAAGAAATAAAATGCCGAATACGATGGAAGCTCCTGATCAAACAAAGTCCTGATTTGAAAAACGTATTCTCGACTACGTACAGGATAACGTTCGTCAGATCGTGTGATAGATCAGGCCTGTGGCAAAGTCAGACAGATGGTCGAATCGTATGGTGTTTATATATCGAACAAGAGACTGTGCCTCGTAACTATACATAGTTTTTTTTCCATTCGACAGGACAGGGGAGCAGATTGGGAGCTCTCTCCTTTCATATCTAAAGCATTCACTATCAAGCGTTCTTATTCCATTTCCATGATCTGCGAAGGCGACAAAAGTTGTTCCACAAACCACTTCCTAGTGCGTTTCAGATTTCTGATCCTCTTATTTCTACACTACGTTAATATATAGTCACCATACTCTGGAGTTACTGAACTGATGTATCCTCCAGATTAGTCAGTGGGTCTAATCAAGGCGAACACACAAAGATCACATACATATGCCGACCAAGCAGACGACGGAACAAGCTGTTTTTTCTCAGGTTTCAAACTAAGGCACCAGACAGTTCAAATATCTGCAAGTCATCAAAGGTTTTACCAGAATATGCACCTAAACGAGGAAAAGCTCAAAAACCTACAAAGAAACAAAGCAACACAGGATTGCCAACCGAGGGAAAAGCAAATCTGCTAAAGCTGAATATTCTTGAGTGGCTTACTTAAAAAATCCTTCTCATTTTGCAAATGGAAATCGTGGCAGAGATCTTATAATAATCTTCTAAGAGGTGAGATATGGTAAGATCGCCGTGAAAAACAGGAACTGAACATGTCCCAGCTTCAGTTCAAGCACGGATCTCATGGAACTTATTTGTTGACATAGACGACACAATTCAGAGGAATCCGAATGAGAAACAAAACCAATATGACATTCATGGGGTTCATGAACGTATGTCATCCAGCCCACTGGAGTTGCTGTCACCCAATCTTGCTCGTTGCAAGAAAGACAAAAAACGGGACAAAAGCAGGTAGGGTAATTTTAAGCTTGAGATTTAAAAAAAAATTGATGGACAAGAAAACAGACAAGTGTCTTGTACCATGACACCTAACAACGCCTGCAAACTAATTTCCCGAGTATGGGCCTGTATGGGATACGTGAAGAACATAGATTGACTAGCATTGCCTGCGACTTTAGATTCCCAGACACGGGTGGCCTCTGAGGACTACATCCTATGAAGATTAATCAGCCTAATCATTCTTCTTCAGCATTTCGCCCAGACTGTACCCGCCTCCTGTCTTCACACGTTTGGGTCCCAACTTCCCCATAATGAAAGACGCGATGCTTGGAAAGTGCTGACGCAAATACACCATTGCTAAAATCGGCTGCTCCGCTATCCAGGATTCATCTAGCTCATGGAAGATCGACTTCATGATAAGCTCTACAACTCTGTCCAATGATTGACGCGGGTCACTTGAGGTTGGGTCTGTCTTGACAGGACCTGGGCAGATGAGCGACACCTTGACGCCAGTGTAACCGATCTCACTTCTCACAGCATCGAAATATGCATATTGTGCGGACTTAGAGGCGCTGTACACTGACTGACCGGGTGCTCCGATTTTTGCTGCAACACTGCTCAGCACAGCAAATTGACCACGGCCTCTCTGTGCCATTTTAGGAGCTAGAATCCTCGTCAGCGTTATTACACCAATAACGTTCACAGCGAAACTTGTTTTGGTGGTCTCCTCTGATATCTCTGAGTATCCATGTTTTGGTCTTGCAGCTGATGCATTGTGTACCATGATGTCAACACCCTTTCCATCAAAAGCAGCCTCTGCCTTCTCTACAGCTTCCCTGAGGACGTCTTCACTTCCAGTAACGTCCAAAGGTAGCAACACAACAGAACTGGGTGCATGCAATCCTGAAAGTGATGCCTTGACTCGTTCCAGCTCTGGTAACCTTCTTGCAGACAAAATCAGCTTCGCTCCATGACTGGCAAACTCCTTTGATAGGGTCTCTCCAATGCCTTGACTGGCACCAGTGATCCAAACTACCTTGTCTTTAAATGCATTGGGTGGTAAGGGTGCCTGGCGTAGTATAGTGAGATCGCCATCGGCTTTTGCAAAGAAGTAGATGCCCCACAAGAAGAACGCCAACCCCACTACTAGGAGCGAGATGGCGAAGTATTCCATGCTTCAAACTGATCTTCGTATGTGAAGTTAAGAGACGTTTGATCTGCAAGGAACATTCAAAGAGTCAGTCAAGAGGTCACGCATATCCAAGCTATTCAGTTTAGCTTGTCTTCACACTTTTCTTCTCTTGACATCTTAGGATGTCCATGACTAGACCTCTCATCGAAAATGTACAACCAACCTGGCTAGGAATTACATCGTTTCCTTCATGCAAAAACTATTTCCATATAACTCACAACAACCGTTCAGATTTACCCAGTGCTCTGCAATTGACTTATCACATACCCCACATCAACATTACTCCCACATACCTATGACTCATCGACAGCAACATCAATAAGTTCTAAGTCCACTTCCTCCCAGAAAGTTACTTCAAATCGATAAACTTACATCTTACTGGCCATCTACGCGCAAGAAAAGGGACTCTTTGATCCAGAATCGAAAATACAGTTGGGCTTTTCCCACCAAGCCCACTTTTTCTACTAGATACAGATTAGATACGCGGAGAAGGCACAACTACTACAAAGGGTGACTGGAAGCAAGAGAAGGAATCAGGAAGAAGCACTATAAGTTACGGAATGTCTATAGATTCTCAGTATCGCAATATGTTTTGAAAGACTACGCAATAATTTACAACGAGATAATCAGGTCTAAAAAGCTACACAGGAGAACAGAACTTACACTCAAATGAGTAAAATGCTAACTACACTTGGGTTTGTTCAGACTGGACTAAATGGACGGATAGACTCAAAATCAATCAGGTTGTCACAAAATTTTCCAACTTAGAGTGCTATTAAGAAAAAGCACGTTTTAGTGGTAGAAAATTTCGGCCCAAAAAAAAAAAACTTTCCAATTACCAGCGCTCCGGACATTAACAGATGCTAGTACGTCCATTCGTACATCGCAGCACACCATAACTATATCGGTCTGAAACTTTTACATATTTGAAGTACGAAGTGAGCTTACGGTTTCAAGGGCAGATAAACAGATGAGATAGAAAGGGAAGCAGCTGCCACAGCTCAAGTGTTTTAGCCTTTGACGACCTGAGCAGTTGGCCAACTTCGAGCACTTAACAAATGACTGTGGAGCACTCTGTACTGAGAGTAGAATGAACATCGAGCATACTTTTCAAATCTTCAGTTCTATCTCTGTAACATGAAGGATCAACCTCAAATGGGAGCAAACTCTCAGAGAAATTAGACCCTGTCAACAACAATCGTATAGATTTGATTAAATTGTAGTGCGACGGGTCAAGCAAAGGCAGAGAGCACCAAAGTTGAAGCACACCTTGAGCTACGAGCTGTGAAAACAACCCGATGACAATTATGAACAAAAAAAATACAAGGGCTTATGCAACCAAGAGCAGCACGTGCAAGGATCCTGTTATCGAAAAACTGGCAAAGGAGGCGTCGCTGTTCTCAACAGAAAGCAAGTTCCAGAGGAAACTATTCACATTTCTCCTCGTCGTCCCGGTTCAAAAAGAACCAGTGCATGCTGGATAAAACTTTCACCCTAAATTCACTCGCAATAAATCGAATCGCCTAGCGTCACCAATCTTCCACACTCAATGATCGACTGGAACAGAAATTCAAACGAACTCAAAATGAGAATCCGAATCATGCGATCGATCCCCAGAAAACCAGGGGCAAACCAACCACGAAACCTCGTTTAGCTACATTTATGTCCACTGCGAAAATATGTGAACACAATTCCAGCACTCACCTCTTGAGACTGTGTGGAAAATCTCCAAGAATTGCAGACGGAGATGCCCACGACGTGACGAAGAAATGGTGACAGCCCTTGGTCACTGGAGTGATTCTTGTACGTTGCTTTTTCGACACATCGATGCCCACTAAACTGAAGTACACCTTGGCCTGCCAACGTCAGCTGGTCATCCACGTGGCTGGCTTCGTGAGTAAAATCCATGGTGGGTAGTAATTAATTGATTAGATAGTGGCATCTCGGTTTGACTTCTCCCAACTGCAAACGGTTAAAATGTAGACATGTCACTAAACAAGCTCTTGTATCCGCGTCTGAATTTCCCTTCCTTGTTTGAACCTGGATTCGCGCATGATTTACGATTAATTTATAACATTTCTGGATGGCGTCATCCGGGATAATGCTTCAGGTTTTACCAAAAGAAAACAAAAAGTTCGTTGAGCTCGAGATTCACAATTAGAGTGGATGGGCTTCATGTGAAGAATGCATCAAACCCAATAAAATTCTCAATATGCGACTAAAGGAACGAGGACAACATCGGACACACTATGGGACATCATAACAGAATAACCTATATAATGTGTAATGATATCCTATATAGGTTGGTATGTAATCATACATATGATGATAGTCAGCGCATATTGCTCTCGGTTAGGCTTGGCCACTGTCCGGGAAATGTGCGGACCGGTTAACCGGTAAGTTAACCGGTCGGCATTTTGCCATATCGGTTAACCGAGGTTTTAACCGGTTAACCATCTGTCCCGACCCTACGTGGCCGGTGGGAGGGGCCGGAGGATTCATTCACGAAGGAGGAATTGTGCCATGGCTCGTGGGTGGAAGGCCTTCGCCCTCCAGGGCATCGGTCAATACATTCAAACCTTGTGCCGGTCCGTTTAGTATGTGCCTTAACTTAAAATATACTATAACGAACGCAAACAAGCCCCGGAGTAGAACATCACGAAGAAATCCATGGTTTTAAAAAAAAGCTAAACCAAACAGTTGTCCTAAGTTAAATCTTATAATTAAGGACATCAAAACGGACTCCTTGAATAATTGATCCATGGAAATACATTGAAATAACAGGTATTGGAAAATATTAGAGCCAAAAATAATGTGTGAGAGCCGTAGTAAAAAGACTTTTCCTGTAACTGTAAAAAAAAATAAAAAAAAATTACGTGAGGACTCAAATGAGTACCCACTCGGACGGTTGAAAATGTTTTATTGAAAAAATATTTTTCAAAAATCATGATATATTTACTAAAATTGAAATATGACTAAAAAATTTTATTGTGAAATTTTCATGAAATTTTGAATCTAAACTCTATTTGAGTCCTAGAATACACTATACAAAAATGAAAAAAATATAATAAATTTTCATCTTAAATTTTAAAAATCATTGTTTGACACTAATAAATTAGACAACTGATCTCTATATATTATAAATTAATTATATTTAAATCAGAATATTTTAAAATCTATGCATTTTTTTATGATTTTAAGTTTTATTTTTTCCAAGATAAAGATTCTGAAAATTACATTGAAAATAATAATAAATTTGATAAACATGAGTTAAAATTTTCAGTAACCATTTCTTGTATTATTGAAATATATGAAAGATCTGAAAAAATTAAAAGTGATAAAATATTGAAACAATTATTGTAAATATGTATATTACATCGATGTAAAATCTGAACCGTTCAATATTAGTTTAAGTATGTATCCAACGTATATAATAAATATTAGAAAGATCTAACGGTCAGATTTGATTTTTTTTACTTTACAAAGTTCATAAAACCTGAACTAGTGTAAGAATTTGGAATAAAAACAACTAAGTATTAAAGATATGTAAGTAAAGTTAAACGAAATGCACATGAAATAAAATTAAGTATTGATTTAAATATTTTCTATATTATAAATCACATCTGAAAACAATGAAGACATATAATCTACATTGTAGAATTTTTTTGTTATTTTTAAAAATAGGTAGATTATTTAAATCTCATTTCTTATATTTTGATTCAATTTCCATAAAATCTTGATATTTTGACACCATCTAAATTAAGAAAAATATATGTGTTGATTATTGAGAAAAAAATGTTCCAATTTGGAAATATATTAAAAAAAATAATGAAAAATGATTTTTTTATTAAAAAAAACCCATAAATTGTTCTTTAGTGAATAGAAAAAACAATCCCAAGAATTAACATACATTAAATGTAAAATTTAAAAAATATTCAAGTACTAATTGGCAAAAAATGAAACCTTGAAATATTTAATTCATATTTAAAACAGAAAAATGACTTCTTTTGTGGAAAAATATATCAAAATCAAAATTGGACGATTTGAGAAGTCTATAAATTATAATAAAACATAAAGAGTTGAAATTTATTTAGAAACCACAAATTGAAGATGAATAGATAATATTTTCAACCTAATTAAATTTTGATGCACTCAAAGATAAAAATTGTATATATGAACTATGTCAAAAGTGATTTTTAGCATATAGATAGAACTCAAAAGAAAAAAGAAAAATATTCAAGTACTAATTGGCAAAACATGAAACCTTGAAATATTTAATTCATATTTAAAACAGAAAAATGACTTCTTTTGTGGAAAAATATATCAAAATGAAAATTGGACGATTTGAGAAGTCTATAAATTATAATAAAATATAAAGAGTTGAAATTAATTTAGAAACCACGATGGTTAACCGATTAACCATCGGTCCGGACCCCTACGTGACCGATGGGGAGGGGCCTTAAAAACCAAAAATTCTCGATGGCGGAGGGAAAGAGGTGGGCCGCGACTCGAACTGAGTTGTACCAATTCGTGAAAAAATTTTCTCGCGAATTTTTTCACACTAGATCACGAATTGGGTACCTCGCTGGTCTAATTCTGCTGCCATAGGAAATTTTTGTACTAATGACATACCGATGGTTAACCGATTAACCATTGGTCTGGACCCCCACGTGACCGATGGGGAGGGGCACTAAAAACCAAAAATTCTCGATGGCGGAGGGAAAGAGGTGGGCCGCGACTCAAATGAGCCCACGGCTGGACTTTCAGAGTTCAGCGACTCGAGATGAGTTGTACCGATGTCAAACAACTTAGATTCTTGAATTCGGAGGGGATGGTGCAGGCCGGGCCTCGGACGCGGATTCAGTGTCAAAGATCGGTTTCTCGGCGCACAGAGACTTGTCTTGGACGAGGAATCGGCGAAGGCGGGGGATTACGTGGCGCCCTCGGCCTCGGCGTTCATGTTCTTGACCGAGGAGCGGAGGCATCTTACTAAGCGTGAGTTATGATATTTGGAAATTTTTTTCCCAGACCGGTTAACCGTCGGTCCGGACGGGACCGTGGCCAAGCCTACTCTCGGTTAATTTTGTGGATATTTTTTAAAATTCCCCACTGTGGAGTGTTAGTTGTAATCATTGATTGATAACAAGATGTTGAAGCTAATGAAGTGTTCAAGAAATTGATATAGGATTTATAATAAATGATTATACAAATTAAAAAATAACCCAATAGATAACAAGAAAGTAGTATTCAAATTTTTTCACATATAGTAAAGTGTGTTATTATCCAACTAATGTGTACTTGCTGTAATATTCAATTAGATTTTGAATTAGATTATGTATTTATAATCTTTTTCTATAGAAATTTGAAATAAAAAATATACATGAGAAAACTAGTTGATTTTTACAAGAGAATTCATGATACATTGACTTATATATTACTGAAATAATCATATATATTAAAACAAACTTATGGATAATAAAATAAAAATTATGTTGAATTCATAAAAACACAAGAATTGTTATTGAATTTATATGATCCATGTATATACATGAATAATAAGATATTAATCTCATTATTTTAGTATTCACATGGATTCTACACTCATTTTGGCATATAATAAAGTAGATGTTAATAATGGCAAGAATCAATCAAAATATACATTTAAGATGAAAGACTTGGATAAGTCTAATAAGATATTTCTATTTAAATTTTAAGAAATTTCATAGAAATTTAAATAAGATAAATTATGATTGCGTCAAGGTACATACATTCAATTATTGCTTGATACATTTAACGTGACAAACTCTGAAGGAAAAAAAAGAATTGTGGCACATTTCAGGCTTTCAGCAACTCAATGTCTAATAAATGTCGCTGATGAATGATAGATGTTGTCAATTTTGTATTACAAAGCAATGTAAACCCTAATGTACATGATAGCATGCAGAATGCATGATATAGTCTTACCTATATGAAGTCAAGATGAAAAAATATATATCATATCAAATCACCAAGGAAGTGAAGTTGGATGGTGAAATTTTGAAATATATTCTCATTCAACTCAAGATTATTAAAGACTATGGTATTTTTATTATGATTAATCAGACAATGTGAAATTTCTTCTTAATTTGATGTTTATTATGAACAAGATCTAAAAAACTAGATATGTATTCACATTTGATGATGATGTATGCTTTAGTTGGAGAATTATTTTGATGAAAATGTAGCTCAATTCACACCAAAAGCTAAATATGCAATACCAAAGGTAGCAACAAAAAACCTTATTTGGTTGAATAAATATATCATTGAGATTGAAATTAAAAATAATCAATCTTTTATTATGACAGTTAGAATGCACTTACATTTTTGTTGCAAATTATACAATAGAAAAAAGTGTAAAACACTTAAATCAAAATACCCTTACGCACTGCTGGCTGCTCGAGTCTCATCACGCAACATCGTCTTGTTGGCTGGTTTAACCTGGATAATACTCGCACTTACATTATCTATGTGGAGGACACATTGCCGGACTAGCAAGAGATGGGATGGAATACGCTCAATGATTATCTCCAAGAAGGAAACAACCTTCCATTTATATCCAATCTATGGTATGTTTGGTACGGGAACTTGGCGCCATCCGCCTCTGTACAAATTCTGATCACAGACGCTGACATTTCAGATGTCCAGATCAAGCTGCTGAAACTCATCCACATCTCCTTGTGAGGACACCCATGCCACACCATTCAGAAAGTAGAACACTACAACACTACACGCTCTTACCAGAGAGTGTCCGCAGGAACCGCTGAGAGACACGGCAAACTCGGACAGATATGAATCTAATGCAATGCAAGACAATCTGTCAATTTGAATCTCACGCGAGGGGAAAACGATAGCTCGCAGAAATACATCACATCGTTTCTAGTTCATATGAGGAATTGACGATACCAGTATTAAGTGTTTTGGCGACCTTAATCAAAGACTTTCAGTCAGGAAGAGCGGTTGATGCGTGTTCGGCGATATTACGTTACAAGCCAACAGTGAATTAACTAAGCTTCCCCGCGATTATCTCTAGCTTACCTCACCTTCCCCCAATTTCTGACTACGGCTTCCATTCCAACTTCGACCAATATGAACGCATCGCGTGACAATTTCTTACTTATGTCGGTTTGTCCTTCTTTCATCTGTGGCTGCTAAGTTCTGCTAATATCACCGAAAGAAGAGAAAAGAAGAGGAAACGTGAATGTACACAGTGCGCACAAAAGAATTCAGATAATGTTTACTGAATGAATCTGTAGTATTGATACAGCGGAGCAGCTGTGAACAGAAATTTCACATCCTATAACGTATAAACTGGCCTCACTGTTAAAGAAAGCCTCTAAGTGACAGCTCTGTTCGGGTATATTAAATATACTGCAAACATGAATTGCTTTCATGTTCTATCATGACTATCAATGACGGTGATGGAAGTGGCTCGGATTTGCTCACTACATACGTTTAGCTATGCAAGAATTATTTACATCTACCATAAAGAAATGCCTATTGAGTCAAAAAATCCCCCATAACCCCAAGGACAACTCTCAGATATCTCAAACAACTTGGATGATAGAACTGAGGTACTACCGTGTATCCCTTAAAGCTACCTACCTCAATGACACGAGTTCAGCAAAAACTTGTGTACAGTGAAGCTTTGCTTCGGACAACAAATAATTTGGGATGAGGTCGAAAACTATGTTACAATTGGGGTTTTATTGACCTCTTGTACATACAGTTGACAAACCCACCTCGGAAATCCCTACGTGCAGGCTCTACACTGGAGAAATTGCAAATCAACTGGCACCTGGTGTTTGCTCAACATGCTCGCCCCCGTTTTCCATTGGCCCTGAGTGCCCAAAACCTGCCCTTTTCCTTAGATTAGGTCCCTCCCCACTGAGACCAAACTTCGGACTGGTAGCATCTTCAAGACCATTGACAATGGCACCCAACTGAGAGGTATCCATGGAACTCGACCGTTTGCATATAGCACATATGGGGATATCTTCTGATGTCAGTTGGACGTCTCCAAAAGATGTGGACTTCGTCAGAGGCGAAAGATGCCTCCGCTTCGCATCAACGTTCTCACCATCCTCAATTTTGTCAGTGGCAGAATCAGATTTCACATCCTCCCCGACCATCGGACTATCTACCACTGTCTTCGTGGATTTCCTTTTCTTCTTGGTCTCAATATGTTTGGGCATAACCTCAAAGAGATAATTGCCCCCATTCCAAACTGCTGCAGTCAGCTTAAAGATTTCGAATAAAATATGCAGTCGATATGACTTGAACATTGGAACAGTCAGCGCCATGGTGGCCACTGTGAAAACGGCTTGCAGCACGGCGTACATGACGACACGATTGTTATCGCCCAGAACGCCACTTACTCGCCACCATATGTTATTGGCACGTGCTGCCTTGCGAGAAAGTTCCCTGCCAAACACGCCAACAGAATTTTTAAACTACGCTGCAACTCAATCCTGTCGTAAATCATCTAAATCATTGCAACTTGACCAGCCCTTCAAGTCCCATCACTAACCGTCAAAGTGATTACAGCAGTGAACAGACAGAACGCGAAAGATTGTGCGGGGATTGCAAAGGTTGTAGGTTACCTGTAAGATGTCATGATTTCAGGATCCCTCAACATTCGCTGCCGGCGCAGTACATTGACAACCAGAAAGTACAACATTTGCCAAATGCTGTAACATACTAGAGGCACAACAAACAACCACGTCCAAAGCGTGCGGTCACTGGCCACAAAAGGCCAAGCTGGCCATGGACCAGTCTCTTCTTGACTGTGAGGTGAAAACGTTATAGGATCCCACCATCTGATGATGAAAAATACGGTACCTGAAAAGGTAGGTGAAATATGAGATCAAGAAATTGTTAACATATAGAGCTAAGATGTATGATAACTATCATCAATCACAACTATCATGCACGAGCATCACCGAAAAAAACCGCAAACAAAAACTTGATTCATATACCTGGCAGCAAGTGTATTAGCACGCTGATGATTTTGTCAATGGAGCTAAACACCAAACTGCACCTCCAGACGATGAGAGCCCAAGCTAAAGGTCCCTGCATGATTGAAAAAGGAAAGGCTCCACATACTTCAGAAGTTGGGTTCTTTAGCAAAAAGAATAAACTCACATAACTAATATATGTTAGTACAGATCATCGCACTGGGACTCTGACAAGGTCCGGATGCCCACGTGAAAATGTAGGCTTAGGAAAGCTATCAAACTGACCAGAAAGGAAACATGTTAGAAGAATAATCGAGCTCTCTCAGTATATGGCATGTTAAATGTGTTAAGGTTCGTCAAAGACGATATCCATGTTCCATTCACGCTTTGAACTGAACCAAAAAGCGAAAAAGTAATCACAAAGAGTCAACTATGCGAATACAGGAAGAGCTTCAGCAAGGTGAATAAATAGACCACCGTCACGTAATATGTACTTCAAAGCCTAACCAATCAAATGCAAGTATTATACGAAACAATCGTAGCATGGCCCAAAATGAGTCTGAAGGCAAAGGTAAACGCTCTAACCTCGGAGAATGAAAAGCAGACAAGAAAGAGCTTGTCATGTTTTGGATAAAACAGCAACATCCCCATGAAAATAGCATTTGCGTAGTAGCAAAAGTCCTGCACGTAAAAGAATTCAAATCACTTTTAGCAAGGAAGATAGTACATGCATGACAAAACTAGATTTCTACAAACTAAAGCACCCTAAATGCCCCATAAAGGACCACATATGCAACTCTTGTTTCCACTCACACACTCTTCCTTCGGCAACAGTCATGGTTAGGTTTAGAAATCATTATGTGTTTAACGTAATGTCTGCAGTTGCATCAAAGACGCTTTTCCCAAAAAAAACTGACTGAACACTTTATCAATGAGCTGCTTATTCTTGAAATAAACCATTAGACTTTAGCCTTGCGATCTATTTATTTCTGTACGCATCATCAACTTTAGCCACGGGAAGAACCCTTGGCAAGTATTAATGGTCACAAAGAGTAAGTTGTAAGGGAATCCTAGCAGTACAAAGAATTTTTGTGACCATATGACGATAGTGAACATACACTGGCTTTCAGAACTTACCAGAAGATAGTAATGCCATTTTTTGATGCGGTAGTAAATCCACCGAAGGGGCGCCACAGTGATGAAGAAGAGACAATATAAGTAGGGAATATCTTGTGGCCCTGCTCAAAAACAAGACGAAAGGAAAATAATCAATACAGCCCCGATTAAGTCAATCTAGAGGAACTCCCATTACTCTAGGGAAAAAAATTAGAAGCGACGTCCCTAATCGAGCCGCAGACGTAAGGATGAGGCAGAGCATTCAAATTGGAGGCCGTTTCTACAGTTTGAATGAAATTTTTACTCACTTGAGCCCAGTAAAAAACAGAATGTTCCGAATGAGACGACTCCAAGAGAATACGTCACCTATACAGCCAGGACACAACAATCAGATCAGTAGCAGGAAACTCTGCTTAAAACATTTTGCTAAGACACACACTGTGCAAGCTTAAGCCAAATTGAAGTAGTGGTAAAGACACTGGAAAAGAGACAACCTTATTCAAAAACTGCTCATGCTCATCCGCTCGTTTAGCTATCTTCTCAGCGTGTTTCGATAACATTTCCTTCGTTTGCAACACGACCTGTCGGTGTAAATCAAGAATGAGTACGTCTAACCACCTAGGCCGGCTTTCCCTTAAGTGAACAGTTCTCTCACTCCTTTCTCAAAGTAGATCTATGCGGCCAGCGATGATCAACTCTGATATGATTCAAGTGATAAGGGATGAAACTAAAGATCAAGATGCAGGAAGCTCAAGCCAACGGAGATCCCACACAGTTTTTCAATTTCCGAATCTGATGTACTAGAAGCTTTTGCTGAGGTTTATCAACCTTTGGAGGAGAGCGCGAACCCTTCTGCCCACGAAAAACAAAGTGATCGACTGCGTCCGGCCACACACCATCTCCACTCCGGGGAGGCATCATTTGCAAACAGATTTCTGGCCTGATCCTTTGTTGACGAATTCTCACCTCCTAATAACTCTGTTCACATAAACAAAAAATATACATCCGGATTGGTTTCCCTAAAAATGCACAGAATCGTTCTGACTCCAACACGTCCTAGATGCAAAGTCCAAGAAGCAAGTACATTCTACTTCCAACCGCTTTCACCCGAGCAAGACGGCCATTTGCTCCCAATCCAATCCCATTCAGCGCGTCTCTGATCCATTATTGTGAATCAGCAACCGGTGTCAAAGCAGGCAAGGAATCCATGCAATCAAGCAAAATGCATTGTATTTTCGCAAGGATGTAATTCGCTGCTAAATGCCTCCAGCATCAGAGTTGTACCTTCAAGCGCGACCGATGAGACGCACCACAGCTGTGGTGGCAGGCACAAAATTAGATGAGAGGACTCGTGAGAGCGAGAAAGAAAGAAGAGGGTGATGGATGACTACACAGCAGCAGCGCAAGAGCGATTCCGGTGAAGGGAACGGACGTGGAGGTGGGGGCGGGGCGGGCGTGCACGTCTAGAGCAGGACGGCTCAGAGCAAGGCCAAACAAACCAAACGAAAAGGAGGTAACTCTACAACACAACTCAACACAACAACACCCGACAGACTGCAGTCACTGGACAGTACTGGAATGGGATTGGGATGGGGAGCCCCAGGCACTTGAAGCAGCAACCTACGATGAGGACGAAGCTAAAATCACCACGACGGAGGTGGAATGAATGAATCGGATCAACAATGTGGCCACCAGGAGGACGCAATCATGGTCTGTCGGTCTATGCATAAACGTGCACGCCTTAGAATGCAGGTGGTAATGTACATAAGACAGAGGACCGACAGCCACACACACGGCCGGCTCTCCCTCTCTCGCTTCCTTCCTTCCTCCCTCCCTCTCCCTCTCCCTCCCTCGCCACTGCCCACGACAGTTTCAGTTCTCAGTTCTCATCTCAGTTCTTAACCTCTTACCCAGCCAGCCAGCTTCTCCTTCTGCTATGCACTTTCCCTCCATCCATGAAACTTGCTCCTCTTTCTGATTCCCACCACAGAGCCACCGCATTCCTCTGCTTGCCCTGTGCAAGCAAGCAAGCGAACTCGTCCTGCGCTCGACCGCTTCCCTTTCCCTTTCCCTTCCCGGGCCCCAGACCGAGGAAGAAGCAACTGCAGCGCCCTTCGACCTTTTGATCGAGAGACAAGCCGCCACCGGTAAAAGTCAAACGGGGAGGCATATTCACGGATCCGTTGAAATATCTGCCGTCAAAACGGTGATGAACGGTGGAGATTTAGATCCCCCGCCCCCACGTGGTTTCGCGTCACAGGTTGGGTCACTGCAGTCGGGGGCTTCGCTACCGCATGGTTTCGGAACAGAGTTTGCTGTTTCCGGCAGCCGGGCCACGTGACCGCCCGGCGTATATGCGAGAGGACAATTCCGTAGATGCGGACGCTGGCGGAAGCTGGCGGAGCATATCCGGTGGCCAAGAGCGAAAAGTTCGCCTCGGTGAATCGACGCGTTGCTCCGTCTACGTGGCCCACCCCTGGGGCGATTTCGATGTCCACGGATGCATCGACAACCGGGGCCGGCCACATGGCACGCACTCGAGCACTCGAGTTGGTTTATCGGATTCATTTTGCATTATCTGCCCAATGACATACGTCTGCCCCAATGTGCCATCACCATGTGGGTAATCCATATTATCCTGTGTATCCTCAGTAACTACCCCGAAGTAAACTTGTCCAACCTCTTCACAGTCCACACTCGGTCTGTTCCTTCGAACCAAAGCAGTTACACATTTTATTTTATCTCATATTAGCGCTTTTCTAATCATTTCTGTACTTCCAAAAAATGTGGATGAATAATCCAAGGCTCATAGTCTAGGTAATCCAATATTGATGGATGCTAAAGACATTCTATAATATTTTGATATATAATACGGACTCTTACAAGACCAGAAATGGACATCTCGTTAGTATTACGAGATGTTCGAATCACGAGATGAAAATCCACGGCCATTATTTGATTTAGACCGCTTCTACTTCGGGCTGGACCATGGGCGTGGATCTGAAAAAATTCCAGAGTCGGATATTCCTTGCTCAAGAATATCTTTTGAATATAGTACTTTGTCCTGAACTGTTGCGGTGGGGGCGAGGGCGAGGGCTACGTGTGATGTACTTCGTGTACCCGAGCGCCAGATACGTGGAAGTGAGAAGGAAAGCCCGCCGCTCGAGCGCTGGAGCGCTGGGTGGGGCAATCGGTCGTCAGGTGCTCGGATTTATTTATATCTCACGGCACTTCTTTCGAGTGACAGGATCCGCATCCGTACAGTGAAAGGAAGCTGTCTCGCTTTCCGACGATACATCGGTGTCGCAGGATATTCTACCGTTGCCAGAACTCGACTCGCAGAGATCCCGGCCAAGGAATGGCCGTTCCCGTGAGGCCCAATCGCAATGTTCTCGCGTAGGTGGAGATTCCCTTGCAGTGTGGCGCTGTTGCATTCGCCGGCGCCAGCCTCTGGCCATACTCGTCAGGAGCTCTGAGGACGGGCTTGCTTCTGGTGGAGGACGCTTTTCGGATCTTCGAGGGGCCGCGTACCCCAGGGACACAAGAACACAAGAGATCCGCGTACCCCAGGGACACAAGAACACAAGAGATCGTTTCCTTTTAAAAACTGGTTGGGCTGTCGGTACAAGGGTTTAAGAAAAATTCGAGTTCTGCATATTTGCGAATGCTATTATGCAGTAAGTCGACGTGGCCGGCGATGTGGACCTTCCGCGTGTAAATGTAATGGCATTGAAGGAGTCCACAGACCATAGTGTACCAATATATGACGAGCCCACGCACAATTGTAAGGGCAAGCATACGTGTCAAGACTAACTCAAGGGGCCAATAACACCAACAAAAATAGCTCCAGTGGTTCCCGGTAACAACTCAAGAGGTGGGGGAGAACTGACAAGTCCTGTGTGCAAGTCTTATGGTGCCAAGTATATGATTATTCGAGTCTGCCACGGAGACTGCACAATGAAAAGAATAATTCAAAGCAAATCGGCGATTATGATTATTCGTGTCTCCTGACACGGAGACTGCACATTGGAAAGAATAATTCGAAGCAAATCGGCGATTATGAGAGTTTCGACATGGTCTGTTGGTGGAGACCACTCCACGAATCATCTGCGTGAATAAGGGCCTACAACTATGTCCTCCGTGAACACGATTGCTATCTTGTAGTCGAACTGTACAGCTATCTCCTCTCTAATAAGATCCTAACCAGCCCTTTCTCGTCTATTGTACAGGTCTCTGGAAGTTCAACTAGTGTCACAGGAAACGAAATTGGTACTACATCCTAAGACTTGCATCTTTGGGTAGACGAACACATATGATCGACTGCTTACCTTCTAGCTTGTGAAGTATTTCATATTTGTCTTCCGCCCATTTTTGTACTCTATGGTTAAGGTACAAAGAAATGCTGGGTTACCACATTAACTAGAAGAAAAGGAATCATTCCTCTCTATCTATCAATCCGTGTCTTCTCCCACCGTGGGGCCACGTAGAAAATTTGGTGGATTTACTAGTATTAACTGGAATTGGGAGAAATTTTACTGCAACTCTTAAAGGAATTGCCTTCTGAATAATCTCCCAATTTGTTTTCACCTAGTGGAAGAATGAACCAGCAAGGAGAAAGTCCATCATATGGTGTGCACTGAAAAATGGATTGTGTTCTTCTCGTCCGGCGCCTGTTGGTATAGACGCTTGTAAGACTATCAGACGCATAACCGCTTGATAGTTGCCCGGCAACTATCAAGCCTCCGAATCATTTCATCGTTCCCTCGCGTCCATTCAGAAAAAGGATGAGAAATACTATGAATGAAATGTTCTTTCGACTGCTTCTGTCAACGGACCAGGAATCTTCTCAGCACTGCGTAGAAAACTTTGCCAATACTCGGCAGTACATGAATCTACAAGATAACCCAATGTAACCATTTCTGAAGTCACGCTTATAATCCCCTCGATTACTGTATCTCTTGCGACAGCTGCTCTTGAAAGCAAAGACGTTACCAAGCAATGATAAACAGCCTGATCAGGCTTCACTCCTTGCCTCTTCATCTCTTCAAATGCTGCCAGAGCTTTTTCCGGATAAGCTGCTGAAGACCATCCGTGAATAAGAGTAGTATAAGTCTGAAGGTTAGGCTCTAGACTCATTCGCTTCATCTCTTCAACAGCTTCCACTGCCCTCTGCATAGAACAAACGAATCAAAGTTATTGAGAAAGTAATAAAAGAAGAAAAACACTGGTCGTCACTTTGCTTTCGACGTCATGGAGACCAACTTATGCAACGAATTGAGCAAACACAACAAACCATCATTTCAGCTTAGTTGTTAATTATAGCACATATTCTTCATAAAAAAGACAAAACGGACCTCGAGGGCGGATCGTGCGAGAAAGAAAGGAACAAAACAGAACTTCCTAATAAACAATCAGAAAGACGGGTAACAGATCCCGAAGACATATACCTAGTGAATCGCTGACGCGCACACAGGAAGGAAAAACTGGGTGAAAACATAAGAGCAGTAATTATTCATTTCTTTCTATTCATAACTGCTCTGATGCGCATTTTAGCCAGCTATCTCAATAATCTATATGATGCAATAGGCAAACCTGGATGCGATTAAAAAGTGACCAGTAGTCTCCAGAGTTCACGATTAACCGATCCAATCAAGATAATCATAAAAGCCGTACCAAGTCCACATAACAATCCCGACAGCGGGCTCAGATTTGTGTATGATATTCACGCCATGAGTTTCCGTTTGATCTAAACAGAAAGACCGGGTAAAGACCTTCTAACTGGAAGACTTTGACCTCCAAGAGTAGAGAGCGAGTAAAAATTTATTAGGGCAGTCGGTTAAAAAATTGCAAACAAATCCTTATCGGGCTCCGGGAAGTAGATGACATCACACAGTCGTGGCGTGTATGACCTAGGTAATACTACCCCATATTAAACGTCTCCATAGGAAACTTCTACCACCAGGAGTAGGGAGCGAGTGCGCCTTACTTTCTACTCCTGGTGGTAGAAACTCCTGCTGCAAAGCTGGTCGCATACAAGAACGCAATGAGTCTAAAATTTCCTTCTGGCCGTGATTGATTTCTATGATCTTGTGTAATTCTCTGGGGATTGAAGGAGAGCCTCTCTAGAAACATATTTTATCAAACAATGAAAGATCTCAATTGCCCGTTGGCCATTACTTGTGCTATATTTTGAAGGGTATGTACTTACCACCATGTCTCCAGCTTTACAGCAGGCATTCACGAAGGACGTGTAGGTGTGAATGTCGGGAGTGAGACCACTCCGCCGCATCTGTTGCATCAGATCTGCTGCTTCCCAAATATCACCCCTTTGAGCCCACCTGGTTGAAAGAAGTATATAACACACAAGGTTCAACAAAGACGCATGGCAATCTCGAGCAGTGTAAATTCAACGAAACGAAAGCTGAACTTGGTATAAGAAATGAATTTATGCATGAATATTGATTGGAAGAAAATGAGACAGAAGGAAAAGCAGCTTTGTAAAGGATCTAAGATTACCATCGTGGATGAGAGTAGAAACAGAAGTAAGACGACAATTCAGGTGAGCAATTTTTTTCAAATTCAACCAACTGTCTTCGAAGTGACGAAGGAAACAGCTGAATGATCGAAATATGATTACTATACGAAACAGAATTGTCTCGACATTCCTATACGAAAGACAATGCTGCCATTCGACTCTTCAAGTAATGGGATACACACCCGTCAAGAAGAATGTTGTAGATGTAAGTGTTGCTTTCTATCCCCGCAGCCTTCATTTCTTGAATCACAGCGAAAGCAGTTTGCATGCGACCAGCTTTGCAGCAAGCTTTCAAGAGAGAACTATAAGCGAAAACGTCGACAATAAATCCCGCTTTCTTGATGCTTTTGAAATACTCAAAAGCTGTGCCAATGTCCCCAAGTTTGGCATATCCTTCAATTAATATAGTGTAGCTTCGCTGGTTGGGTGACACGCCAGCTTTCAGCATATCCTCCAGGATTGCAGCGGCCCTGTCTATCTGTTCAAAGATCAAAGGTCACCCGAGTGCAAAATATATCAGCGGTATTTCAGCAAGAATGATCGACCCAGATTGTAGGAAATGAAAAGAAAAACAGCTCCATCACTTCAAGTAACAGGAGATGGAAGACTAAGGAAAAAGCAACTTTGAGTTGAATCTCATTTACCTGACCCTCATGTACGAGGCCATTTAAAATAGCATTGTAAGTAGCAGCCGATGGTTGGCAACCTGTCTTCATCATTGTCTGTACAGTTTCCAGTGCCATCTCGATATTTCCGTGCCTTGCGTAACCATCTATCAAGATTGTGTAGGTCTGGGTAGTAGGATAATGACCTTCTCGTTGCATTCTCTGCAAAATCTGCACTGCTTCGGGCATCTCGTTGTTCTTTGAGAAGGCACTTACGAGGGCATTGAAGACCATAACATCTGGTTTGATTCCCTCAAAATACATGCTTTCGAAAGTAGCAAAAGCACCAGCACAGTCACCAACCCGCACGTAACCATTCATCAACATTGTGTACGTTTTCTTGTTGTGTAGTACTCCTTCAGCCTTCATTTGCTTGCTTACATCAATAGCTTTCTCCATCTTTCCAAGCTATTCCAACAGACAACCGTGAGACTAATACCGATAACAAATGAAGTACATAATCATTATAAGGCCGTAGCAACATGGCTTCGATGATGGTTTTCCATGAGACTCGAGATTATCTTTCCTTAAAATTTTTCTAGGTGCCAAATGGTGAACCGTCTACCTTGAGACCTCTGTTCCTCCATGTAAGCATCCATTCTATTGATCGCAGAAGTTCCTTGTTTGCGGACAGTTTCTATTCCTAAACGCATCACAAGGCGCTTCACACAGACTAAACTTCAACGCAGAAGCAGTATGAATCATCTCGAAATTTGATACACACCAATTCGAAGGATAACCTTACAGGCATCCAACTAAAAGGCCGAAAGCAACTATGTGAATGGAACTCATTCCACGTTACGAGCAGACAATCAAGAAAAATTTGACCTTGCAAGCAGAACGACTGCGTACCTTCGAATACAGGTTGATGAGGCATCCGTAACTCACTATAGTTGGCTCGTACCCAGCATTCTGACAAAGTAAAACACAAAACTCAATGATTTTAGAGCTTGAAGATTACTGTCAGACCAGCTCGTGTGAACGCATGGCCTTTGAAAAAATGGCTGGATAGAATGATAACGTATTCATGTGACGAACAAATTATCTTTTTTGGTACTCGATTGAAGACTCAAGAAAATTATTCAGAAAGCATCTATGAGAACTAGATCATGACTGATTTCGAACGAGCTTACAAAAATTCACGAAACTACGAACGGGTGAAGATTATAGATCAATTGGGAAGTCAAATATCCCTATTGATATCTTCTTGGTAGCCTGACTTCAAGATTTATTTTTGTTCTTGTCAAGAAAAAGATGGACCTTGATTTGGCTGAAAATGGCTAGGCACTTCTCCTCCTCACCAGCACGGCAGTAACCATCCATAAGAACGTTGAATATTTTCAGGGATGATACCATTCCCTGCTCCTGCATCTCCAACCATAATGCAAGTGCTTTCTCCATGTTTCCAACTTTACTGCAAAATACACAAAGCATGCCTCAGATTTCTAAGACAATCTGGGTCGACCTTTGCAGGTGACAAGACTTTGACAAGCCTCAGACATTGCAAGCTTCAAACCTCCTCCAAGATCTAGTGTAAGCTCTTTTCATAAATCTTCCTCCTTGTGTATCAGAATACAATTTTTGTTTGCCCAGTTGCATGTAATGCAGTTTTGCGATGCTTGGTCGCATTGTCTAGAAAATGTGGGGGACGAATGTTACTCAATCGTCCACCTGGTGACAGCAGTTAACGGGAATCATACAACAACGCCAAGAGAAAACTGAGGCATAGAGAAGAAACATCAAGAGTGCAAGTGGAAGCAACAACACTGAGGATTTAGTCCATAGTCCATGTACCAGTGCGCTTCAATGATGTTGTTGTATATCACAATGTTTGCAGCCAGGCCATCAACTTGTGCCTTTTTGAACCAGTACTCTGCAGCTCTTCCAAAGCAGCATTATGCAATAACGAATTGGTATCAGATGATAATCATAACTTCCTCAACAACTTGTTCAGTAGATACTAAAAACAAAAGTAGAATAACTCTAAAACTGTAAACAACTGGCTGTAGACACTTCGAAGAAATTTTTGACAAGAAACAATATAAGTTTTTGCACCGGTGACGAGAGAAGACCATGTGAATCAAAACGTTGTCTTTCAAGATGCTAGAAGAGATTCGAGCTTTTGTAGCGATCTAAGAGGGCAATCTTGAGTAGTACTTATTAATCAGCAGAAGCTCAGTGCAGGTGAGGGCATACTTAATGTTCTTAGATCTTGCGAACCCGGATATTATAACACTGTATGTAGCTTCATTGGGTTGGATGCCTTCGGCTGACATATCATCAGCACATAGCACTGCTCCCCGCATGTCATTGGCCATCGCATAAGCATGCACCAGGCTGCGCCCATCACAAATTACATTGATTTGAGCAAGGGCAGGAACACTATCCGTTAGCTCCGGCTTAACCATGTCCTACATACTAGGTATAAGAATGAGAGAATCAACGTAAAGCCCACGTGCTTAACAGTCATGTCCTGCAGTAGTGCTTGGTGCAAAGTTGTGATGGACACTTATCACATCTATTCTTACCTCGTATACACATGGACATTTGGAGGTATTCGTGCAGCACGCATCTTCTCAAAAATCGCTCGTGCACTGTGTTTATCACCGCGTTTAGCATAATAAGTCACCAGCATCGAGTAATCACCTCGTTTAGGCTGTGGAGTAAGTTGGCAAAGCACATTCAATTCAGAAACCAATAATAATAGCTGACGTAGCTAATGTGAAGTAACTTCCGCATCAGCATGCCAAAGATCCAACTTCGTGATACCTTCTCAATTCTGTCGAATGCTGACTGTACGCTAACAGCGCTTATCAGTTTCTTGGTCAAAGCCTCTCGGAAAATCTGAGACTGGTGCTCTCTTTCCTGATGCCAGTCAGATCGGGCAACTTTTCCCTCGGCTCCCAGTGCCCATGCGTTTCGCTCCTCTTTCCTAGCTCTTTCCCACCTTCCATCATCCAACTTTACCCTCAAGGGGCGACCATGAAACTGGGCTCCGTCCATCTCTCTGGCTTTCACGGCAGATGAATGTGGACTCGATCCTTCGAAGAACACAAAGCAATATCCTGCATTCTTCTCAGGATTGTTATGATCTCTTATGAGAATGACATCTCTGATGGAACCGAAGACTTGAAAGAAATCTCTGATATCACTTTTTTCGAGGTGAGTTGGCAGATTGCCTACGAAAATCTTGCCAGGATCACCATACAAGTTTCGCTTTGCAGTGTCTCCATCGTACTGTTCCTGATTTTCTACCAGGAGTGATGAAACTGCAGATACAGCAGCTGAATAGGAACTCCTCTCCTGAGAAAAAAAATAAACAAGCAGTTGTTAGAACCTGTCTCGAACAGGAATGGCAATGTGGGGAAAATGTAAGTTGTAAACATTCCATACATAAGAAAACAATCGAAGAGCTACGCGCCGCATCCACCGGGTTGCCCACATGTACATTCACGTGCAAATTGTACTCTCTCGTCGGTGCCTTCACATTTTACCACAGCATCGGTTTTCATCCTGGGAACCGTTCAGATATGTCAAACCAGTTTCGGACCGCCGCCGGAAGGTCGTCTGAGATATCGAATAAAAGTCCTCAAACCAAACAAGCAGACCACAATCAACAAAAACCAAAAATGCTGAATTCTCCAGCTCAGAATGCAATCGCCCTGAGCTCAACTGACCTTCGGAGTGGCGACTGTTGTTGCCAAGCAAATTGGAGCCAGGCGCATGGGGGCCTGAGACGACGCAATTCCGAGAGCAGGAACAGCTCGGAGAATGCTGGGCATGGCGACAGAATTCGGCGACGGGGCGAGGAAAGCCGCCATCGCTCCTTCCATGGCGAGCACGGAATCTGCTCACTCAAAAGAGCAACCGAAGGATCCAATGCTCGAGCATCACTCCCATCACTCTGTTGTCCAGTCACCACACTCGGGACGGGATCGATGCGTGTGCAGACTCGCAGCCCCGTCGAGCAGGGTTCGGGAGATGGGGCCGTGCGAGCGTCGCGCCAATGCGGTGGCAGAATCCGAGCAGGGTCAGGTCTTTTGGCACGCGAGGCTCGTGCCACAGTTCAATTCCATCACCAAGTGGCCAATGAGAACTTCGGATCTGGATGTGCTTCTCCGACCCGTCCTTCCTTCCGACTCAGAATGCGTCTCAGGCAATCCCCTCGATTGACTCTAAATAATCCGTCAATAAACGCTCTATTGTAATTTAGCGTTCTATATCAAAATGCCATGGTATTGGTTTGTAGCGGCATGTTCAGAATTTCATTTTAATTCATATATATATAATTTATGATACAATCTTTCTTGAAATTTGGGAAAATACTTCTTTTCTTCAACCGTACGTATATAATGTAAAACATTTTTATAGATGTTTGAAAAATAATATGAAGTGAAAGTGTTCTAAATCAACCCTTGAACATTTAATATTGCAACACTTGTTAGAAATGATGTGTTAATATCATAAACAAGTAAACGATCCGTGATAGAATTTAACTATTAAACATATTACCATATTATTAGATCAAAGATACCACTAGCTAGATATTTTACACGTTTGATGAGGTTACATATTGGCTTGGTACATATATCTTTGCTCATTTGTGAATGTTATATGTTATTTATAACATATTTACATGTTACAACATTGAAATAGATGACAATTTGGATACTAGTGTTATAAAGATTAATAAAAAAATAATGATCAATAATGATGTGTCATTTGCAATGAAAAGAACAAGATAAACATATCATGTGAGTAGATGCAACATTGATAATTAGGAAATGCACTCTTACTCAAGCATAATCTAAATCTTTGATATGTCTTGAAGTAACTTTGTACACTTGGCTCTTAGCATGAATTTCTTTAGTTGAAAAAAAAAAATTCGTAGTTTGTGCTACAAAATCATTGTTTAGATATTAATTAGATTGCATGCTATAACAACCCCGACCATATGACTGTGGACTAATGGCATATGATCATCGTCGTGACGATCTCTCTTTTGTCACCGTCGCGTCAAGAAATCACCTGTCGAGCACGCACCCGCTAGTATTCAAACTCGATATGGACAACAAATGTGAAACATGTGTCGTCACAATAGAATAGTGTGCGCGACAAGAATCTTCGTGTTGGATTCATATTGTTAGATCTTCGATTGGTAAATTGGCCCACAAGCTACATACGGTGTGTAATTGCAATCAAAATATAAACCAAAGTAGTTCATTTTCCAGATAACCATCACACAAGTTAACACACACATTGAAGTTTCTCTTGGCTTGCGCTATTTTTTATTTCTCTGGTGTTTTCGAATGGTTAGTTCATGGATTGAATGAATCTGAGACTCAGATGTTTGTACTTGCTGGGATTTTGATGATAGATTTAGACTACCATTTTGGCTAGATATATAGATTGCTATTGATACATTTAAAAATAAGACGACTCATATAAGGAAATTGTATGAATGGACAAAAACCATTGTCATGCTATAGGTTTTGTTGCTCAGAATTCTTACGACCACGCTGGTTTACTTCGTGGGATTGATTACGACAAAAACTATTTTGACTATGTACACACTTACAGATATTCCAATGCCAAAATGACTATGACAAATATTTTGTGTAACTCAACTCTGCGAACGCGCGATACTTTTTTGCTTAAAAAGATGTCGTCGATTGATTGGAAGGTTTTATTTTCTTTGGTGCTCACGGCTCACTGACTAGTGAGATCTTTTCTCATCGTTTTGTAATTTGCTCGAAGGAGTTGAAGGTTTAATTTTGACTTGAATTTTTTGGTATTGAGTGATGGACCTAGTTATTTTCCAATCACAATTTTTCCTATATATTTGGGAGGTAAATTGCGTGATGAACATGTTTTAGTATGACATCTCTAGGATGGAGGAACAATGATCAATCAATTTTAAACTTAGAAAAAACTTTTGCGCGCATGTCATGATTCGCTTTTGTTCATCAAGACTTAGTAAATTCATAGTAAAACCAAAAATATTTTGCAATCTAATGTAAATTTTGCTTTTGAAAATATGTATTTCAAGTACAATGTACACTTTGATGAGAGATTCTACATATTATGATCATGATGAACATTTTTGGTTTAACTATGGTTCTTTCATTTTTCTTGCAATTGCACTCAATTTTTTGTCATGTATGTTATCTTATACATCTTTATTCTTTTGATAGATGTATTGCTTGTTTGAAAAATCTTTCTCAATTTTAATAAATATCGATCCAAATCCTTTGTATAAGAATGCTTATTAACATATTGTTACTTTGTGGCATAAAAAGTCACAAGCTCATGATGGAGTGTAAAAATATATTGCAAGCAACAAATTGTTCATAATATACAAGATAACCAAGACCAAGTGGTTGATCAGATGAAAATAGTACATCTGGTCAAAAAAAACGTTCCCATCAAGGGAAAAAAAGTACTTTGGAGAGAACTATGTTGAGATCGTTTGCAAGCTTTGTACATTTTTTAGCCATGCATTTTGTGCGAAAGATCTAAAAACTTGGTTCAAAAATTATTCAAATAAGAATTGCATTAAAAAAATATTGCATGCAAACAAAAATAAAAAAGCGACAATGCTATTGAGAGGGAAAGATGATAGTTAGATGTTAAACAATTGTGAAAATAGCTGGCATGTAATTGTATGTGTCTGATAACCTTTGACGCACCCCTGTTATACCAAAGATCAGATAAAAGAACACTCCATGCATTTGCAAGGCTCACTCGACCGAAGATGAAATCTAGCGAGTGTTTCACAACTGCACTCCAAACTGTAACAAACCAAATATACTATATATTTCAAGAGTCAAACTAACAATCTTTGTTGTTGAACTAGCAAGATAGAAAATAGGTTGACATAGACCTGATCAAAGTTGAGTCACGTTTCATATTTTTTGTGGAACAATCATACTAGAAATCATCAATTATAATACATGAGCTCATGACAGTGAAGACAAAAATTGGAAAACTGAATTTTCAGTATTTGAAGATAGTAAAGATCGCTCTTGCAGAACAAAACTTGTTCCCAAAACCATGAAAACTTAGGCTTAAATGAATAAAACTTATCTCTAAAAACTCTGATATTTTATATAAAGAATTAAAATATCGTAAATAAATTGACTAAACTTGATATAACAAGGAATATAAATTATGAGAATGAGACTTAATCAATCGATATCTCAATAAAATTACTACGTAATTTTAAGTGAAATAAAAACTTTCCACCATTGAGGTAGTCTAGCATAATGAAATATAATTATCAATCAATTGACTTTATCCGATCATCATTTAGATGAATCATATTTGCGTTAGCAGAAAGTTCTCTACTTAGAGTTTTGACATAAAAAATTAATCGTTGGCAAAAATATTTAATTCAAATCATTACGAGGTTTACTACTCTTACGTTCTTCACACAATTAAATGCTACGCTTAAACAATTCCTCCCTGTTTGTTTGTTTGTTTTTTTTCAAATTTATGAAACAACATTAAGAAAACCATTGTCATCATTAATAACACCTCTAATATTTGATATAACACTTAGCACAACTTGACTATGATTACTAACATTTAGATAACTATTATTATCACTATTAACATTTTGAAGACTCAATCTTCAAATCTTATAGATTTTCACAATTGATGACATATTAGTTGCAATAGAATTAATAATAAATTCAAATATCAAATTAATACATACATTTGATTCTATTATAAACAATCAAATTTAATGCATGTTAAGATCAATTATCAAAAAATCTCTCGATTGTATTATATTAGTTTTTTTTTAGATAATTTTTCACAATTTAAAATCTTTTTTTATTGCACCATGATATTTGTAAACAATCTCCAACTTTCTTTTCAATGCCAAATCATTTGACTTATTAAACATGTCGACTGTTTTGACCGTGTACTTTTCTATTTCTTATTGACATTGCTCATGAACTTTCAAGTCATGCAAAAATCTATTCCTCACAGTTAGTATGATATGCGTTATGCTATCACTATTAGATGTCATTTTTTCTATTTGTGTCAAAACTTCTCTTCATTTTTCAGCACAAATGTTTCTGTCATCAAACTTCAATTTTAACTTTAAATCTCGTTCATCTTGATTCAGATGTAACTCTCCACAATCTTTTTTTGCTTGTAGTCTTTCACCATATACTACTAACAACTGAGAATTATTTCTTAATAACTCTAGATAATTATTATATATCAAACCTTCATATTTTGAAGTTCAATGCTCTTGAATAATGAATACTCTTTGGTGCACTTTGCATATCAAAGTTCTGCATTGATGTTTGCACATGTTTCTTTTCACAACCCACAAATAATCACACGAAGGCATCATAGAATAATAATCACCAACAATATACTTAATTGTTTGATTTTGGATATATTATCTTAGCCAAATTTTGAATTGATGGATCTAGAATCGCCACTTGAATATAACATAAAGAATATATTATTATTTATGGTCAAAACACAATTTATGTAAAGTCATAATGACTTATGTAATAAAAGCAAAATTAAATGAATAGAAATGCACAATCATATAAAATTTCACCTTGACATATTTCATTTTATTTTTTGTTTTTCACACACTAGAAGTAACAACTTTTTTCTTTCTTCAATTGATTACTAATCCCATTGTATATCTAAAAATGTTATAAAGAAAGATTGTTAGCATGCTTTCAAAAATTATGTATAATTATTTGTCCAAACAACGAGTTTTCAATCCATTTATTATTTTTTGAATCATTTTTTTCATAATAGATGTCAAGATTATGTTGTTCCATTTGTCATTTGGTTTGCATGATCAAAATTCCAACAAATCAGCAATCATTTCTCTTTGAAAGCAACACACAAAACATATGTTAAATATTATAATTAAAATCAATAAAAACATGACTTCTAAAAGTAGCGTAAACATCAAAAATCCAAAAAATCATCAATCATTTGTCTTTGAAAGCAACACACAAAACATATGTTAACTATTGTAATTAAAATCAATAAAAACATGACTTCTAAAAGTAACGTAAAGTTATCGTATGTGTATTAAATTAAGTAACTCTGTGCACATATCAATTGTATTGCAATTTACTACTTCACCGTAGAATAACCCAAAGAACAAATTAATAGAAATATAATAGAATTATTATAATTATTTTTTGATTCATGTTTGTTTGAAATAATTTAAAAACCTATTTTTTGAAAAAAAATATAATTTGAATTTTTATTTAACGTTTTCACATCAAAATTTCACTATCTGCATACATCATTTATCCAAAAGCATATGATATTTCCAATATAAGTTTTTGATTTTTTCACTTTTTGAAACAAATTTTACTTTCATACTTTGGAAACATATAAAACGTGGTTTCGATTTCAATATGTATATAAAACTAAAATATATCTCTATGATACTTTAAACATCGCCGATTATGTATGAGTGAAAACAAATGATAAATTTGTGACTTATTGATGGATCATCTCACCCTAAAAGTACATCTAATCCAAATCGACATGGTGAAATGATTCTGTCGATTTGGATTCGTTGTATTTTAGCTTTTAAATTAAAACGTGGTAATATTTTGAAAATTAATAATCAAATCTCCAACTATCTGTTCAATTTAAACGAGTAGAATACTAGTTTATAAATCCATGCTTTATTGTAACTCCCAAAGCCGTATTGCGAGCCCGTTAAGGTGAAATTCCCTTGAGTGTGACGTGACTAACCCTCCCTCTTGTTGATTACAGATTTCATAACTTTTTTAAGATATTCTTTATGATTCTGCCGGTGATTATAAGTCATTTTGGTGAGTCATTTGATTCTATACATTAAAGAAGTCCGGATTTGGCATTTACTAGATTAATGAATAATTCATTTTGCATTTTGTAACCGTTGTTGTTATTTCGATAACTTCAGATGATTGGACAGAAGTTGATATGTGATTTGTTGTGAATTTTTCTTCCTTGCCATGAAAGCTCTCATTGTGGATCCTAATTCTGCTTCCTGCCATCATTTATCCGTCCATCTGACACTTAAAGTAATTAAATGAAGTACGGCCGTAACTTTTGCTTTATCATCATCTCTTAAACCCCTACTCCATCTCTCATTCTACAAAGCTCTTTTTGTAATCCGTGATTTTTGTCTTTGAAATATTCCTTTCATCATTTTGTCAAGCAATTGCGCTTGTCGGAAATGATCAAAGAGTATAGAGTTTGCATTACTATACTAGATAGTGATCACAAAAATCTTAACGATATATTGTTTTTGTGAATACTCAATGTGAGAATACAAAGCAGCTGGCAATGAATATTGTACAAATCAACGAGATGTGCAAATATGAAAAATAGATACACCTTTGTATAGAAACAAAGAACAAATTTTAATCATGAATCCAAGCTGAAAAAAATCTCGCAAAAGTATTTGAATATCAAGATTTCACAAAAAAACCTCTCGTTACTCTGTTTGAGCAATAAAGTCAGGAGCTATTACTGTGAATAGATCGATGAAGTTTGAACCCGGGAATTTCAAAGTACGATTCAAGATCTCGTTCACAAGGAATTTTTTTTAAAAAAACAAATCTTATGTGAATAGATACAAATGTTGAATGATATTAAACAAATAACATTTCAAAATTATTTTGAATGTGAAATATGTAAGAGATGGTTGAAACTTCTAGAATTACAAATTTCAATGTAGTCACTTTTTGAGTAGCACAATTAATTATAAAACAATTTGGTTTTCAATCAGTCTCCATCTCTAATGTTATCGTTTTAATTATTTTTCAAAAATTCACTATCAATTGTGTAATTTCGTTCTCTTGAATGCTCCATGCAAATTGCATTTCCATTTGATAGCGATCAAATGCAATAAGTGTAAAAAAAAACTACATTATAACAACACACAACATATCATTAGCTATAAGGTTTAAATAATATGTGGATAATATATAAATGTAGAATTTAGAACAAAATGAATTGTAAAAATGGCATCTTCATGGCTAATTTCACTATATAGTGTCATAAAAAAATCAACAGCTCAAGATACAACTGAATCAAGACTTATGTCATTATTAGTTGTCGCAAATGTGTTATCTAACGCCAGAGATGTATTATAAAAATAATGAATCATCATCTCTAATTTTCATTTAGATTCAAAAATAAACATGAAATTTTGAGACAAATCTATAAATTGATACGATTAATGTAAAAGCACAAAATGAGAATGCGCATTGATCCAAATCTACACAGACTATTGGTCATTTTCATGAAACATAGAGTTTATATTGTCACTTTTGTTTTAATGTTATGTAAATTTTTTAGATGAATTAAATCATTTTTAGTTACTCTAATGAATTATGGAAGCGTATTAGACAATGAAAGTACAATTTAAAATTCATATTAGAATTTTCAATTTTGAATGCATATAAAACATTTGTGGAATAGTCCAAGTCCATCTAAACAATTGTTCTATATTCAGTCTGATCTCATTTGTAATTTGTGGAGTATATGTACAATTGCGACTACAATTACAATTTCTGTAATTTTTTTTGACATTTTTTGTTTTTATCATTTCAATGATTAACTCAAAATTAGTACATATATATGAAATAAAAATTGCACAATGATAATATATATATCCACAAATTTCACTGGTAAAAACATTCGGACAAATTATACATACATTTATATGTAATATATGACTACAATATCAAATTTGAATTTACAATATATAATAATAAAGTTACGAACACATACATAGAAGATAATTGAATTTTATTTTTCTTGATCTAGTAGTCTCACCTATAACCAAGAGTGGATAGATGTATTTCTTAGATATTTTGTTTGAAATCCAATAAATATGATTAAATTGTTCCAAAGCACACCAATAAGTTATAATTTAGAACATGATTTGTCATTTTTTAAATATTGTCTCAAAATCTATATTTCTTCTTCCTTCGCCCTATACAAAATCATGTATACTTTTACTTGGAATACTAATTTTGTCCACAAAAGAGCAATGTATTTTTCCAATCTATTACAAATTATCTATTATGACAAAAAAATTTTAAGTACAAACTCAATCTTTAATTACAAAATTGAATATTTTTATTTAAAAATTTTTTGGTTAATAATCTTTATAAATAATGATGAAACAATCAGATTAATTTGCACCATGAAAGATACAAACTTGTTGAAGTTGAATATAACACACATACACCACGTCGTACAAGGTTAACAGATTAACAATGAAAATTACTTCAAACTATCACCAATTCACCTTGTCTTATTAAAGATTTTACCTTTCAATTAATTTATAAATAATTTGAACCAAATTACATATAATGTATGAAAATAATATTAGTGTTTTCGTCATCTGTTTATTTATTCTACATAAAAACATAGTTCTATAAAAAATTTTGCTCTTTGATATTAATATAGTGCAATGAATTAATGCTCGATCTTTCAAATCAATTCGTTAAGCTTCTTTCCAATCCCGTACCATTATTTACAAATTCATGTATAGTTGAAGGTTTATATTATACTTTTACTGGAATTATCACTATTTACATTGCAATTTGAACTAATGATACGATAAAATCCATTCATAATGTCACATTCAGACAATTTTAAATGTTCTTAACGTGATGAATCCATTCAAATTCAGATACAACTCCGCAATTAATGTGATTACCAAGCAATCAATTTTAAAGAGGTTTTAGTGCAGTATTGAAGGGAGTGCCCAAGCTTGGGGGCGAGAGATATGACTCCGGTAAGTTGTAATGTATAACCGGTGCCTGCCCGGTTGCCGGTGGTTTCCGAGGTGTCTTATTCGCACTGTTGGACATGGTGCTATGCGAGTGACGGTATTGCCGTGGACAATGCGGTACGCGTTAAAGTGAACTCGGGTCTGACGTGGCGATGCTGGCGTGGCCGGGAACTCGTGCTTCCCGCCATTTTTTTACGAAGAAGGAGAACACAATCGTCGATGCCATCGGTCGATAGAGAAAATCGTACGAATGATTGGGACGAGCAAGAGGATCACGCAGAGCTCAGACATTTTGCCACTCTTGGAATTCCGTATGGCGAGTATCGAGTAAGAGAAAATTTGGGCTTCTAATTGCTCCCGCTACCTGCAACTTCTGATCAGAAGTTGCATCTCCATCCCACTTCCTGCGCGGTTCCTCAACAGACACGAAAATTGCTCGCGGCTCGTACTGCGTTTATGGAGGTGGACGAGGGTTCTGCAGCCACCTCTACCGCGGGTAGGTTCCATGGCATGGGTCGGTAGGTTTTCCGAATCTATCTTCTGAGTGATGTACTCTGAACTTCTGCGTCACAGACTCCGTCCTTTGAATAATTTGCTTGTATTTCCATCTTGGAGTTTCGATTGCATGCTTCATCCTTGATAGTGTGGTTGACACTCCCCGCAGAATCTGTCGCTGAATATGGCTGTGAAATTGTCGTGAACAAGCCGCTTTATAGAAATATTATATGGTTATCAATTGGCATGTTTTGAAATCCGATTTCTCTGTCTTAAGTCACTACGGAGCGTTTTCCAGGCCAACCGATGGAGGTCGATGGGAATCCAAACCCTGCTCCACCTGCTCAACAGAACGAGTTCAGTCCTGACTACCTAAAGTTGTACTACGGTGAGCTTGAAAGATTTCTGTCTACAAGCTTGGATATATGTGTTTTGCACCTTCGTTGTTCCTGTAGCTTTGTATTGTGTACAAAAAATTTGGGGACAGTATAGATGTAACTCATAACCGCCCTTCCTGTCTCTGATGATGGAGCCAGTTCCCACTTATCTTACATGGCCCATTTTTTTGATTCAGGAAGGCTGTTTCCATACGCTGACATGCACAAATGGCTCTCTTACGGTCATGGTAAGCTCACTGCGAATTTGATTTGATTCTCTTGTTCGCTCATTCCCCTCTCGATTTCTTTTCTTTCGGACGTTTTTCCAATAGAAGTTTCTAGTTACCTGCGGCACACTTCGTACTTATTGGCCTTGAATCAGATGGTAAGCACACTGGGTGTGACGCCTCTTTCTTCAGTCGAAGAGAGTTTTCATTCACTCTCGAACATGACATCTACCTTCGATACCTGTCATTTCATGATGCATCAACAATGGAAGCTGCTATCAGGGAAAAATGTCCTTACAAGATTGATATCGGAGCTGTCTACAACGTTGATGTGAGTTCTGTTGTAGCCTGCTCATAACTCCACGAACTTCTCATTGGACAGGTGCAGCGCAAACATGTCAGCTTAGGAGTTTGAGATATCAGACTTTGAACTGAGTGTAAAAACAATTCAATTATGATCTGTTCAGAGAATCACTCGGGACAATGTATATCCCGATTGAGATTGTGTTGTGTGTACATATATACTCCCCGTAATTTGTTGTACGGTGTGTTTGTTTATCGCAGCCATCCAAACGAACCGCTTACTCAAATGTTGGTGGCGACAAGGTCTTCTCCCCTGCAGAAAGAGAGCTGGTATTTGATGTGGTACGTCTTAAATCTCCTTATCTTAAGGTTACGTTATCTCTCTTGTGATTCTCCGGTTATGTTACTCGGCGAGAAATTAAAACATGTTGGCCATCCTCTTTCGTAATATTTCTCTCGGTTCGTCAAACAACTGTCCACCATATTTCACCTGCTCACTGGAAATGTCATGATTTCTCTTCTTTATCATAGGTGGGAAAGTTTACCACTAGTTATCGACGACGTTATCTTTATTTGGATGCAGGATATGACCGATTACGACGATATACGAAGCTGCTGCAGTGGAGCGGACATTTGCCTGTCATGCTGGCCACTTATGACAGTAGCCATCAAGGTCATCGACACTGCACTGAGAGGTATATGATTGCCCGTAGAGCGGTAAATTATCGTGTGTTGTTTTTGAGGCCGTAGAGAAGATGCCTCGGTTGGACTGCTGTCCGAAGATGTTTTGTTTTGTTTTGTTTTGTTTCGTGGTGTTCTTAGAACCCCGTGCGGATAATTGACTTTGACCCAATATTCTCTAGACTGGGGCTCGTTTAGCCTTCCTCTTGTCAACAATGTCAAGCTTACGTCGTATCACTTCCACGAATCTTGGGTAACAAAGAAGTTTCACTCATTGAGGACAATCATTCCTGCAGATGACTTTGGCTTTGAGCACATACTGTGGGTTTACAGTGGTCGTCGTGGTGTTCATTGCTGGGTCTGTGATCCAAGGGCCCGCAGGTGACACAATCACCTCTTCTAGAATAGTATGCTTTTGTAAGTACGAGTTGTATGAAAGTATTCTTACCTCACCTTGCATTAGAAGTACTGTGAGCAGCGTAGTTGTAAATAATTGTTGTTGTAACTAGTTGTAACTAATGTAACGTAGTTGTAACTAGTTGTAGTTGTGAGGCCGTACATGCCTCACAAACCTGATTAGGACTGACAAGGCTGTACATGCCTTCGGAGCCATCATGGCTATCAGGCAATGGAATCCAGATTAAATTCTGCTTACTTTGGATTCATTGTGTGACGTCTAACAAGGAATTGGCCTTCACCTCGCTGCAGACTGACCAACGAGCAAAGATCTTCGATTGCGGACTACTTTCGCGTGTGTAAGGTTTGTGACCTTCCCTCCCGATTTCGCACCATTCTCTATGTACTGACATTTTTGCACAGTGAAGTCTGTACATTGTACTAACTTAAACTGAATATTGCTCCTGAAGGGAAGCGAGATGAATGGAAAGAAGGTAGCACTCACGGGACCAGCACTTCACCCATCTCTACTGTAAGATATCTAACTCACACGAGGTGATTATTCTTAGTTCAACATTCTGGAAGATGCTATCCTGCACTTGACGCTGATTACTTACCGTTGCCATTTTACATTCATGAAATGGAGCAAAGATATCCTGAAAATTTGGAAACTGTTGCCATTTTACATTCATGAAATGGAGCAAAGACATCCTGAAAATTTGGAAATTGTTGTGAGTGTCACGTGCACATACATCTGCACCTTATATCCTTCATTTCGTTCAAGATGCAATAATGACCCCATGATGTGCCTAAATTCCAGGAGGGCTTATACTGAAGTGCTGAAGCAGTATTTCGAGGAAAAAATACTTCTCAACCAAAGTTTACTGGCTTCAGAACAAAACTTTGGGAAGGTTCTAGACATGGTTCCAGATGAGTGTGAGTTCTTCTTGCTACTATTTTTCTTTGGTCGATGATGATGTCTCCAAAGATGATAAATGTCTTCATCTTCAGCCAGTGAGAACTCTCTATCCTGATTGGAAATAAATTTTACTATCACAATTAAACTGTTTTGTGTTGTTGGCTACAGCTGTGCGTTCGCAAATGCGTAACAAATGGCATTCATCCTTGCCATCCAAAGACGAAGTTAATTCGAAGCGTTGGAAGCAGTTAAAGCAGCTCTTGGAACAGGGTAAATCGAAGGTAAATTTCTTGAGTAGCTTGAAGGCGAAGTTGTAATCCTGCCAAATACGAAGTTAAACGCAGGCATTTGAGAAACAAAGCTACAAATCAAAGTGTTGACTGTTTCTAACAAGAAATGCTGTCATTGAGTCAGGAGGAAATCCATTACTGCATTCGAAATTCGTTGCTAGTCGAGCTCTACTGCGACCTTTGAAGACCGTGTCATCCTTCATGCTAGTAAGCAGCGATTGAATGCGGGTACCTGATATTGTATTGACCTTTGAATAGCAGGGCCAAGTTTTGAGGCGTTGTGTTGAGGAGATTGTCTTCGCTTACACTTATCCAAGACTGGACATGGAGGTATACAACCATATGCAGTATCCAGTAGATTCTGGTTGACTAGTAGTTCTATATGGCCATGGAAGCATAATTGTCGTGCCGAAGTATTTACTTCACCATGTTCCCAATCCAGGTTTCAAAACACATGAATCATCTTCTGAAAGCACCGTTCTGTGTGCATCCAAAAACAGGTGCGACGTCTGTCTGTTCAGTCCATACATCTCTCTTGTTTATATCCATATACGTGCAATTGTGAAGATGCTCGTCTGTCTCTTTATTCCATTTGACGAAGAAGGAAGAACATTCCTCCTTACTGTGGACATTTCTCACCTTTTAGGGCCCAGAAAGAAAGTCTTTGTTCATCGTACAGGACACCGTCCTTCACTCGCAACCTGTTGGCTAGAGTTTTGTCCTGTTGTGCATCAGCTTCCACGATGCCTTGTTCATAATAATTGGAAAACTATCTTCCCTTGCAGGTCGTGTTTGTGTGCCCATTGATCCAAACAACTGTGAAGCATTCAACCCTATGCAAGTTCCAACTTTACCGCAGGTACGCGAGTTAGACTCGTCCGGTCGGATAGTACGCACTACCTACCAGTACAGTTTTTACTGAGCTTCAAGCTTTCACGAATTTGCCTGAAGTAGGATTGCAAAGACCTTCTCTTTTATTTCATTGATCTTGGATGTTTATCTGCTGCTGTTGTGACGTGCAGCTAATGGACGAACTCAACCGAGACGACACTGCATCGGGGCAAAAGCAGAAAGGTGATTTCCACTTAGATCCTAGTTGGGTTTGCCTTGTACTTGGGGGTCCTTGTTTACTCCTCACCACCATCATTATAACAGCATGTGACAAGACAGTGTACCAATTTCACTGATGCTGTAAAAAGTTTTGAATCTTTTTTCTCTCAGACTGGGAAAGAACGTCGCTTGCAAGTTCGATACAGTACTTCAAACAATCTTTTCTGGACCCTCTCGCGCGAACTAACAAGGTGAGTGTTCTCTACCCGAATTTTCTAGAATGTTCCTGAATGGTTCATGCGCTTTCCTGGACGCTGTCATTATACATGGGCTCAAAATTGAACGTCGTGGCCAGGCCGAACTGGAGAGCAGTCATCGAGCGAAACTGCAGGAGATGGCGTCAAGACCCTCGCTTAATTGGTGAGACAGACAGGGTTTACGGAGGAGATGCTCCTAAAAGAAGGAGACGATCCGTATTCAGAGGGTTTCATTGTAACACTCCGAGCTGCAGTTTGTAGCAGGCACTGATCGTTATCACGCTCGGAGACCCAGACCATTATGTACGATAGATTTCTCGATATAACGTAAATATGCATAACTCTCACTAGTATAGGGCGGAAGTGAATTCGTCCATCTTTGAAATTGGACACTGCAACTACGTTCACGACACGCCTTTTCAGCCGGTCTCACTAAGCACTCCATCAGAAATTTGCAGTGATGTGAGGCAGGCCATAGAGGAATTTCGTCACTTGGACCTTCATACAGCCCAACACTGAAGGTGGACAGGATTCTCACTGGTTGACCGAGCACATCTTCCTAAAAGACCCTATAGCTCGAATCCGTTCTGGTGATGACTAGAAGTCTTGCCATCCTGAACGAAGGTTCCGTGTCCTTCCCAACTATAAGATGGTTTCCCCGGACTGACAGATGACTGGGAGTTCGAACAGGGGGATGTCTCGCCCCCACTGGACTGCACGTTTCTCTACACCGTTCTGGACTTGCAAACTGTGGCAGGATTTGCAATATAAACCTCCCCTCATTTCCACCTGATTTCTATTAGAGGGTCTTGTATTCAATGAGATGTAAATGATAATATCTGACTCTTGAAGGACAACCCGCAACATATGTTCACGGATGCGCGAGGCCGTTTCCCACACACTTGAAATTTTCCAATGTGCATTAAAACTTGTCTACCTTCATTCTGTAGCTTTTCCTTGTCCCTAACACTCATTTTATTTCGCCATATACCATATATTGACAGTGATAGATGTCAAAGTCAAAAAGATTATTCTAAAAGTGAATTATAACTAAAGATATTCAATGTATATGTACACGTACTTCGGGCAACATAAGGTCGCTGCTCTAGATATGTGAATTATTGAAAAGGATAATAATATAAATAAATAAATATGAAAACTATATTCATAGTACTCAAACCAACATGTCACAAATAAATAGGATGATAACGATATCATATGTCTTGAACTGAAGCGAATACATTTGTATTTCTCTTAATTACCTTTTAGTTTATACTGTTTGATATATAGTTTTTTTGATTGAAAAATAATATTACAAAATAGCACGCCTTGTAACGTATATATGTTACTTAAACGTTATTTATAGATCACTTGATCTCTAAAGTATGTAAAATTACGGAACGTGTATTTTTTTATGATACTACAGATGATAAAATAACGCTAATTCACAATACTCTTTGTCAAACGTGGGAGAGGACACTACTTGACATGTCCAAATACTGTATAGGCATTCCTGCTCGGCTCGAGGTACCGAAGTATTGCCCTCGGGCAAGGACCGTGAACGATACTCCCTGAACTGGATTCCTTCTAAGACTTCTGGGGCAAGAAATCCATTCATTCGGAAGTGTTGTCATGACAGTGAGGATGAAACATACAACACGATATAAACTCAAGCAAAGTCTTCAGGGGATTCATACAATCAGAGAGCGAGATTTTTAAGAAACCTTGTCAGAGTCATTCCACCGGTCTACGAATACGAACGAACAAAAGGAGAGCGAAGGATTCTTCACAGCTTGTCATCGGAAATGATCTATCGCAAGATTCAAGGATCTATCAGGCAGAACGGAGAATGGAAATCGCCGGAGACTCGCAATGACAAGGGCTGTACAGAGGAACATGAAAACTTCGTAGCTCATTACTGGACGTATGAGAAGAAATGACAAGAGACCGGTCACCGACGATGGCCGGCGACAACGCTCTTGTATACATGGAACGAAAACTCAGATTCTCGACTCGTGATGTGACGTCGTCCTATGATCTTGATTCACGGTCAGTCAGTCGCATACGGGAAGGAATCACTAGTTCCGAGTCTGAGCTCCAGGTCCAGATTCTCGTGCTCCGACGGAACTGATGCTGCCGCTGCCTCTAGGCGAGATCGGCAGGGAGGAGGAGCAGGTGCGAGCGTCTGGTGGTGCCGGAGATGGAGATGGAGAGCCACCTCATTGGCCTCGGCGCATTTGAGGCGATGGACATTCATGTGCCCTCCCAGGGACTGGGCTGTGCAGAACTCCCTTCGGCAAAAGCTGCAAGTGTAAGAGCGCGGCGGCCATTGTCCACTGCAGCAGCAGGTGGACAGCATCCTCGGCGAAAGCTCGGACTTCCCCAGAGGATGACGACTCGTCACCTCCCCAGTTGCTGTCGTTGAACACCACTGCGCCGCCAGGTGCGAGACCTGTTGAACAGCTCCAGCTCGGGCTCGGACCCATGTTTGTCATAGTCCAGTGGCCTCGGCTCAGAGCATTCTCGTGTTGTTGAATCTGCCGAGACATGGTACTGGATCCTTGCTAGTGGTATGGCAGCACGAGATGACTCTCCACGACTGCTCTTCTCCTACTACTCTTCGAAATGACCTCTCCGCTTCTTTCAGATTCTTTGTATCACACGGCCTTCGTAGCCTGTACAAAGGTCTGCAGTTAGCCTGATTCCTGCACTTTCTGAAGAACCTTAGAACACCGATCATACCATCACATACGCCTCCGGCAGTTTCTCCTTCAAATTCAAGTGGTAGTCCCATCTTTGGCAAAATTGGATCCTAAGGGTTGCATGGCAATGACGGCCCAGAAGCTCGCCTCGATTCTGATTGTCGTAAGAAGTCTCGAAGCCCACTGCATTTCCTTCAGCAGCACACACAAGCAAAGCTCAGCTCACACCGTCATCATGCAATCAAATTCCATTTTTCAACCACCTGGACATTTCTTTCAGGTGAGCCGGTCTCTGGAGTGTGACCGGTCAACAAAGCAACAAAACAACAAAGCCTCAGAGGTATGTGATCAAAACCCCGCTCCTTGTGGAAAGACAAATGCAATCCCATCCAGCGAGAGCGTGCTCAGTATTCGAGTCAGGAAAGTCCTCCATTTACTCCCTTGACTGCAGTTCCCTTCGTACCTCGGGCAAGCTCAGTTCTGAACTGGAAACCTCAAACTATTTCCGGCAGTAACATGTTTGTCGCTGGCCATTGCACCAAAATTGACACACGCCCTCGCAATTTGGACCGAGTTTATAGCCTTAAGACAACAGCACCTACGACTAACGAAGCGGAGCTAACTGAGAATATCTTTAAACAAGTGGTGTGGCAATTTTATTGTCATCAAAGGAACGAAGACGAGAACTCTCGATCACTAGCCAGAATTCTTCACTGAGGATCTCTCCCAGACCCTCTCATGAATCGCGGTGGTGCTACTGCCGACGTGGATCACACTCTATGTGCACTGTTGAGTCTCAGATGGCATGGTGACAGAGGTTGCGGTGCAGAGGCACCAACATCTCAGAGGTACGAAGTTTCGGGGTCCGGGTCTCGTGAGAAGTGAGCGTGCAGGGCGAGGATGGTAGTAGCCGGCGAAGCGTTTTGTACCAAGAGGTCTTGGTTCTGTTCGAGCTCATACATTACAAGCTACGATTGGCTAGACTGGAGCTCGTGTTGTGTCGTGTATGGTCACAGGCGCTGCATGGCACAAATGGCGGCGCCAGAAAGCAGGAACCCAAAGCTGGATGCAGAATTCCGAGCTCAGGGTGGCCGCAGAGCGCGCTGGATGGAGACATGCGCTCGCCAGCACTGTCCTCTTGCTCTTCAGCTCCGTGACATGCTTCATCCGATCAGATCGATCGCCCGAGCCTTTGTCCTGTATCCTCGACTCCCCTTCGCATCCATGCTCCGTCGTCTTGCCTACGCCTGATCTCATCATCATCGGAATGCAATTTCGCTTGTCACCCGCAGGGTGCTTCCTTCGACAGTTTCTTCGAATCGGTCACTCCTCGGGTAAATTTTGTTCTTTTAAACCCTGCCTCGTGTTGACATAATGCCTCCTACACGTCACGTTGCTCGAATCTCCCCCACGACATTTGCTCATCGGCCTACTGCCGCTGGAGGGAAGTATGATACCTGGGTCTGGTCTTCTGCTGGGATCCGTGACGACGGTCGGACCTCGCCATCTCTGAATTTCTGATCTTTCCTTGCTCTCGTACCTCGGCTCGTCTTGTCATGGCAGGACAGCTCAGACCGTAGCAGATTATGTGAAGCGCGACTCGCCGACACTTCATCCGGATACAGTTCTTTCTGAGTGGTTAGGCTCTCACGTGTTCCAACCTTCTGATGGATTTTCATGTTGGCAACTTTTGCTGGTAGGTTGTAAGAACTTGGATCACAGATTCAGAAGCAGGACATTGCAATAAAACCTGCTGCACGAGAGAGAGAGAGAGTACTTGACACATACGCCTACGATGATGTGACATTCGAAAGTTAGACGTTCAATTTTACATTATACTCATAAAATTGTTCCAGTGTCACTTTATCAAATTGAAACTTTTATCGTTTGACAGTTTTTTTACCTTTAGACTATTTTTTCCAAGAAAATTCTTGAAATTATGATTTAAATTTCTATGTATTAACACATATAACCAGTCTTATGAATTTGAATAAAGTCATCTTCAATGAAGCATTTGATCTAATCACTTAGACCAAGTTTGTATGTTGGTATACCATTCGGTATTAGACTTATTTAGATGTACACATGTTATCATTGATTACATCAACTCAAAATAATTTGCAATAATATAATCACATGTATTTTTTGCCAAAAATTTTTGTGCTTAGCTAAAAGAGCATCACATACAAGAAGAAGAAGAAGTTAAGACAGTTGGTAGTTTCTTCAGTTGATTTGGGTACTACTCTTCATTGTCTTGCTTTTGCTTGTTGTAGACAGACGTAGACTAATTGTACTCTTGCTTAATCTGTTAGCCTTGTGAATGTAAGAAGACTTCTCAAATTCAGACATGTCTTTCCATTTCTTTCCTCCCGTTTTGCTAACCACGACAACATACTTGGCTTCAATATAATCTTCCTTAATTCATCTACTTAAATCATCAAGAAAGAAAAAATAGTTCGTTGATGGTCTATTGAGCTGGTTCGAATGGTACTCTTCATTGTTTTGCTTTTGCTTGTTGTAATCTTGTTTCTTCTGTTGAAACTTGTCAATGTAGCGAGACTTTTTGAATTCAAACATGTCTTTCCATTTCTCCCCTTTGGCCTTGCTAGCCACAACGACATCTTTAGACTCAATATAATTTTCCTTAAACGAACTCCTTAAACCATAAAGAATGATGAAGAAGTCAGTTGATAGTCCCTTTCGTTCGTTAGCATCTTTCTCTTTTTCGTCCTGGTTTTGCTTGTTGTAAACTGATATAACTTTAGCGTACTCTTGTCTCTTCTGTTGAGTCTTGTCAATATAAATAGCCTCCTCAAATTAATTTTTTTTTTTTCAACTCTGATTTTGACAACGATGAAACCTTGACCTTGAAAAGAACTTACTTAAACGAACTTGTTAACTCATCAAGAAAGATGAAGAAGGGAGTTGATGTCTTATTCCGTTGGTTCAACCCTTCCTTTTCATCGTACTGCTTTTGCTTGTTGTAATCTAACATAGACTTAATGTACTCTTGCTTCTTCTGTTGAATCTTGTTAATGGAGAAAGCCTTATAAAATTCAGATATGTTTTTCAATTTCTCTTCTTTGGCTTTGTCAACCAGAACAATATCCTTGGCCTAGGTATGATCTTACTTAAACAACCTCAACTCATCAAGAAAGATGAAGAAGCTAGTTGGTGGCCTCTTGAGTTGGTTCGGGTTGTACTCTTCACTATTCTGCTTTTGCTTGTTGTAAGCTGACATATACTTATCATACTCTTGCTTCTCACTTTAAATTTATACATATTTTTTCATTTCTCTCCTCTAGCTTTGTCAACCACGACGACATCCTTCGCCTAGAGATGATCTTACTTCAACAGCCTCCTTAGCTCATCAAAAAAGATGAAGAAAGAAGTTGGTGGACTCTTTCATTGATTCAGGTTGTTTTTTTCATCGTCTTAGTTTTGCTTATTGTAAGCTAACAAAGACTTATCGTAATCTTGCTTCTTTTGTTGAATCTTGTAGAAAAAATCCTTGAATTTAGACATGTCTTTCCATTTCTCTCCTTTGGTTTGAACAATCATGACGACACCTTTGGCCTTGAAACAATCTTCCTTAAACGATCTCTTAAGTCATCAATAAAGATGAAGAAGACAATAGATGATATCTTTGAGTTAGTTTGGATGTACTTTCATCGTTCTGCTTTTGCTTGTTGTAAGCTGCCAAAGACTTCTTTTGTTGAGACTTGTAAATGTAGGTAGCATTCTCAAATTCACACATGTCTTTTCATTTCTCTCCTCTATGTTTGCCAATCACAACGACACACTTGGACTTGGGATGATTTTCTTTAAACGATCTACTTAACTTATCAAGAAAGATAAAAATGGTTGCTGATAATCTCTTGGATTGATTTAGGTCATTTTTTTCATCAGATGATTTTCTTTAAACGATCTACTTAACTTATCAAGAAAGATAAAGAAAGTTTGTTGATGATATCTTTGGTTGATTTAGATCATTTTTTTCATCGTCCTACTTTTGTTTGTTGTAAGTTGACAAAGATTTATTGTAGTCTTACTTTTTCTGTCGAGTCTCGTCAATGTATGGAGTTATTTGAACTGAGACATGTCTATCCAATTCTTTCTTTTGACTTTGCCAACCATGACGACACCCTTGGCCTCTAGATGATCTTCCTTAAACGACCTACTTAACTCATCAAGAAAGATGAAGAAGAGAGATGGTGGCCTCTTCTATTGATTCAAGTACTCCCCTTCATCTTACTACTTTTGTTTGTTGTACGAAACCATAGACTTATTGTCTTCTTGCTTCTTCCGTTGAGGCTTGTAAATGCAAAGAGTCTTTTTGAATTGAGACATATCTTTTCATTTCTCTACTCCAGCAGCTATGCCAACCAAGACGCCACCCTTGAAGTTTGGTGATTTTCCTTAAACAACCTCCTTAATTCATGAAGAAAGATGAAGAAGATAGTCGGTGGTCTTTTCCGTGGTTAGGTTTGTACTCTTCATCGAACTGCTTTTGCTTGTTGTAAGGTGACAAAGACTTATCTTACTCTTGCTTCTTCTCTATCACTAAATATAGAGTATGAGTTGCTTTGCTTTGAAGTTCTATAAGAGTTTGAACTAAAAGTGTATAATCTTAGAAAGTTGTTTGAATACTTTCAAAGAAAAGGAAGGTCACTCTAAATGCAAAAAGTCTCCAACCTTGCGTCCAACATGACATGTTGAACTAAATAAAAATGATAACTAAAATAATGGTAATGAAACGGGTGCGCGCTTAAACCGGGAGGCTACACTATTTAGATATTCTTATAAACAGAATATAAACTGAAAGGAAACCTGAATGAAAAATGTACCTGGCTAACTTATGCGGAACGGAATCCAGATAATGTACTTGCACTTCATCTGAAGAACATGAGTAAGCCGCTGCTGTGTACCAGCTCTCAGAGTACGTGGAAGTGGATGAAGAAAGTAAAGTAATGCAATGCCAGTGTTGGGAGGTCCGACATGTTCCAAGTTTCGAGTTGTTTCAAGACAGCGAGTCAGCCAAGGACTGTAAACTGCCTCTGGGCAAGTCAGTTCTCTAGCATCGCATGTGCCTCATTCAAGGAGAGCCAGCCAGCAACCAAACTACAACCGTCAGCTGACATTTCAAACCTATCAACCACAGGAAACATGAGCAAATGATCGCAGCTTTTGCTACCTTTCCCACTAAATGTCTAATTGCTTTACAGCTCTGATCTTCGCGGTCTCCAGTCCAGTCCACTCTTGTTACGCCGAGACATCGTTAGCGTCCGTCGATTCAGCTGCTGTATATCATTTACCGACGTTTCTATTAGTACCAGTCGAGAAGTTGCAATGTTCGGCAGGCTTATCATCGAAGTAGAATTTGCTCAAAATTCGTTCATACCCGATCTAGAAAGTTTCTGAGAAGTCGAATTCCGTTCAATTATATACCTTTCAATCAATCGAGTGCTGGAGATTCGAGGGAAATCAAGTTGCCGGGACCTGGAAACGATACGGATCTACAGCACTGAAATTCAAAGTGATTGGGCAAATTAAAGCTAGTCAGTCCCTTAAGAAGCTTATTGGCGCGATTCGTCACTGAGGGAGGTCCGAGCTCGAGCAGGATTGAGACTGAGACCGGGGTCAAGGAGCTGATGGTTTGTTTGTTGTACTTTGGCTTTATATCTGTGGACTCGGTGTCAGGTACATGACGGTTGACGAAATGATCAGAGTTGATTGTATTGTACTTCACTGACGGTCATGGTTAACTAGGAGCTCGCCTGTAGCTGTATCTACCTACTCGTCCTACGCCACAGCTGAAAGCTCAGGATCCCTTTGTCCAGTAATCCTCACGGACACATATCCATATGCCTCTGCATACGCCTCCATCGAACCTGGAGGCCGAGGCCCTCTCGGCAATGAACCTCGTGCTGGGGAGGATTTTTAATTGGTTTCGCTGTGGCAGTTTGGCAGAGTCATGCACTGCTTTCGCTGCTGCAACTCACTATCGAGACTGACCGTGAGGCGTTGACGATGCTCGCAAAATTGCCATGAAGGAATAAAGAGATGTTCCCCGGTCGCAGTTCTTTCCAGGAAGGTAGCGGCCACTTAGCATCCTTTTCCCCTCGTATTCGCTGATGGGTTTAATCACAAGGTTACAACACTCCGTCGACGAGAGCTTGACTCGAGCGGGGCCACTGGACAGCCGATCGTCGAATTCTTGAGAGGTCCGGGAACTAAGAAGGGCCTATTTCCGTACCACGATGGGAATGAAGTCGATTGAACCCAGAGATGAGCTCATTGAAAAGTGATAGTTTAGAAAGTACGTCAGGCATTAGGCCCACGGAACGAAACAGTTCGAATCCTTCAGCCTCTTGCAGCACCGCACCGGCGGTCGTACGCAATCGAGCTGTGAGGGGATGGGGGAGGGCACAGATTTCACACCCAAAGCAAGTCGACAAGTTCAGTACAAGATGCCCCGAAGTCGAGTGTCCGTGCCTGCACTTCAGCCCCCGGCCGGCTGTTCCTCTTCTCGTGGTCGGTACGATGGTTCTTCCTTGCTCCACTCGAGGGATTAGCACAGATTCGGATCCTACACTCATTTCATGTAGTCACTCAGGTCCGTCCATCTGGCCGCGTGATGAAGCTCGTGAGCCTGAAAACGATTCAGGCATAGACACGGAAATCGAGAATCTGGATAATCGACGATCACCACCCCAACAGATTCGCCAGCACGCTGACGAAAATTGTGTTCTGATGCTCGCTGCTGATGCATCGCAGCATCACGACCATCGGCATCGTAATGGAACGGTACTCGACGTTCGATGCCAAATGCTCCTCCGGGCTTTCTCGCCCGGAGGAGCATTTGCCTCGGAACTGATCGATCCATCCATCCATCCATCGGCTCAGCGCACCTTCCCTCAGCACGATAGCAGCTCGCGAGCTTGCGCTACGAGGCGACGAGACGAGCGTCATTCACTCCTGCGGCCTGGAGATTTCAGTAGTCCACAGAATCGAGACAGAAAGCTCCAGTGGCTCTGCTTCGACTGCCGACCTGCCGACCTGCGCTGTGCGTCTTGCGTTTCTGCTTGTCCGTCTGATTTCGGCACGGGCTCTCGTCCTCGCCGCGCTTCTGCTCTCGATCTCCGAATTCCACTGGAATCCTCCATCTCGGTCGTTCCTCGAGCGCTCGAGTGCTCCACCGACCCTCGGTCCGAGGCACGTAGGCCCTCGGACCGAGCTACGCCCGCAGCGCTGACCTTGAGCAGTAGGAGGAGGTGGTGGATAATGCTGATGCTGATGTGGCAAGCCAGCAGTGCCTTGCCAGTCACGCCCGCAAAGACAGACACGGAAAGGCGGTTGTGCGGGCGGCAGTGCAGTATGCGTTAAACAGAGGCGACGGAACGGCTGGAGAAATCAGCCGGTCAACTCGTCGGCAGATTGGATTCCACCCACAATCGCCGCTAACCGGCGGAGCATGTCGAGGCCGAGTGTCGAGCAAGCTAGCAGGCGCTACAGTAGATACTGCGCCCGCACCCCGGCCGCCCGGCCGCAAAAGCAGCCCGAAACCGAAACTGCGCAGAAGGGGACGCCGCATCTGGGATTCACGTGAACATGCCAGGACTCCGAGACGGCGAGATCCGCGGCACTCGCCGAAGATTGCGGCAAAGTGCAGAAGAGCACGACGTGTCCAGCCGGTCGTGGTTGACTCTCACGAGGCTGAGGCGCCCGAGCGAGGGCCGCGAGGAGGCCGAGAAGTCGATGCTGGCGGGGGAAAGTCGTCAGGCCGGGCAGCGGCGGGGGCGGCGGTTTTCGAGCTTTTCCTATCGTCCAGACAGACTTCAGCTGGAGAGCGATCAGCTCGAAATGCAGTCGAAGCTCGATCTCTTATGACTCCTGACCCGGTCACTGCTTCACCAGCTGCTCCGCAACGAGACGGGGATCCAACACTGTCCCCCGTGCGCACTCTATCTCTCTATCTATCTATCTCTCTCTCTCGCACTCTCACACTCTCACACTCTCTCTCACTCACCGTCTCGCGTAGGATCGCCGAGCCGTTGCCGAGATCTGATCGCCCTGCGCCGGCGACTCCTGGGCCAAGCTGAGGGCCGCTCTCGTGAGAGCAAGCCGTTCCTCGGCTTTAAATCGGGGAACGTCGCTGCTCGGCCGGCCTTCCTCGGCGTGCTCGGATTCGGATCAGCAGCGGACTCACATGGGAGTGGCGTGTCTCTCATCTGCTCCGTTGACGACGAGGCCGGCAGTGACGACTCAATTGTCGCATTTTTTTGGCTCGACTCCAGCAGGAGCACAGCATTCGGAGAGGCTAGTCCAGCGTTTTGTCGCTGCGGTTCAGTTGCTTGCTGCTGAAACGTACCTCCGAGTTTAGCTGTCGAGCATTCGATCCGGGGAGGGGAGGGGAGGGGAGGGGAGGCGTGGATGGGGAACGTGAGGATCAGGTCGCAGCTGTAAAGATATTCGAGTCTGAAGAAGAAGAAGAAGAAGAAGACTCAGTCTGACCGAGCGTTCGTAATGACGTGCTCACAAGATTTGAGGTTGTCATCGTAGATCGAATTCAGCCCGTGAGCTTCCCGTTCGATCGCTCGAAGGTCGTTGCAATGTGTATCTGTGAGCACGGATGTTATGCCAACGCGTTTCTGCTCTTCCTCGGAATCGGGTTCGCTTGCGGACAAGATATCCGCGAATGCACCGTTCCTTGTTTCCGATGGTCTGAATGGCCTGGCATTCGCAGCCGCACTTGCCTTTGCTGCACGAGCACATCCACATGGTCTCCGCATACACCAATCCACGTAAATAGCTGGTGGACTTGTAATTTGTGCCTTTGTGGATTCAGCTTCGGCAACTTTCGTGACACATCCGTGGATGCTAAAGACAGCGTCCCCAAAGAGGTCACAGTTGCTCCAGTTGTTCAAGTGGCCACTAGATGAATAGACAGGTCGTCGATCCATTTAGATTTCCAGCAATGGATTTGTTTGCTCGCGAGTGCCGGCCGGGGATGAAAACCTCAACCATGAGGGAGAGAAAGAAAAGCGGGTGATCACTGATCTGCAATTGTCCCTCTCATTTGGACGACTGGCTGCAGCAGCTGTATATAGAACGTACATATATTTCTGTTTGAAAGCATTAACATCTGTCATCAAAACCACCGAGTCCAGATCCGAGTCGCTGGCTTGGGTGGCAACATTGCGTGTCACTGCACTGTAAATCTCGCGTTCAATAAAACACTTCCCCGGAGTCCGATGGTAGAGTTGGTGTAGTGTTTTGATGAGCTGCATAGTAGAGACCTTCGATTGTTTGAAGATAATGATTTCATTCTCTTGTCGTGTTCTTCTCTTACCTGTGTACTGCTGTTTCTTGCATAACATGAAACTTCTCGTTTGACGACGATCCATGTCTTCAACGATAATCCGCACTTAGATAACCTCAGATAGAATTTGTTCGCCCCGCTGGAGATGAAGAATTCGTAATCTGAAGAACTGCGAATTATTCCGAAGGAAACGTACGAATCCTGAGCATGAATATACTTTATGAATTTATGAGAAATTCGGTTTTGAAGATACATTGATCAAGTTTATAATAATTAAATTTGCTGACAGTATAAATGTATTCTCAAAAACTCTTATTCATTAATGAGATGAGCATCTGAAAAAAGAGTATAGACCAATTATAAAACAATTGATAGATGATGTACTCATTTTCTGATTCTCTACCTGGATACGTCAAGAAACAAACTCAACCTGCGATAGAGTATGTGACTTCAAACGTTCGTACAACAAAGGACAAAATTTTACAAGAATTATTATCAAAATATTCAAGTTGGACCATACAATTTCTTTGTAACGAGAAGAAATATATCATGGAGATTGTTCAAAGACATGAAATTTTTTCCTATTTCAAAACAGAGGAGATAAGGTTAAAGCTTGTGATAGATCATGTGATGAATTTCACTGTGTTGCATGCAACTTGAGACTTGAGGGCTATCCCTGTATCTAGGTTTATTAATATAAACTCATTAAGTGAAGAAAAAGATTAGAATTTAAAGGAAGGATTAGAAATTGAAATTGGAATTCTTATTAGCGTCATCTTTCAGACGGTGGTTTACAGTCACAAGGAAAAATTAATCATTACAATTTTATGATATGCAATCGATGAATAAGATGACTGTCAAAAATATAAGAGTGATCAATTAGTGATGAAAAGCCAAAGCCTTTGCGGAATCAACTATCTACTCAATGAAATTTCTGTATTTTGATTACGATTAGATTAAGCTTATCGAAGAAAACATAGATATCATCAACATGAAGACATCTTTAAGGATCGTAAGCATGACCACTCTATCACAAAAACACTTCAAAGTTAATGACATAAATGACGATCGATATGAATCAAGTTTTAAGATATTTTATTTAAAAAAACTATGCAATTTTACATGATATGTTTATTTAAAGTATGAAAAGTAGAGGAGAAATATTAAACTATGGATCAAGAGAGTTGTCAAAAATTGTGAAATATGACATCAAAGATTGTGAAAATATATTTTCTTGCTTGAAATAAATTTACTTTACATTATCAGAACAAAGTTTAAGCTTGAGTTTGTCATTGTTGGGCGTTTTTGTTTTTAATTAGATTGAAACTAGATTTCATTAGGTAGAATGCGATAAAAAGATTTTGCATCCATGAAGAAAGAAGAAGGTTTTTAGAGGTTATAATATTCTATCACGTTTGGATTCTTCACTTTGCTCATGTTGTAGAGTTTTTATCAATCATTAAGTAAACCTAAAGACGTTTTTTAAGGATAGACATATGAAATCTATAAAAAAATGAATATGTAAGTTTTTATCATCAATTTTGAAAAGTATTAAATTAGTTATAAACAACCAATTGAAATTAAAAACTAATTATTAATTGGAGCACATACACTTATTGAAAAAAAATTTGATGATGTTAAAATCTAACATCAATTGCAACGTACAAGATTCTACAAATTTAAAATGGATATTTTAAATCAAGACACTAAATACACAGTTCAAGCATGTGGCCTGGAAGAAAAAAAACAAAGTAGAGATTTGTGAAGAGCTAGATATGAAGAAAGAAAAGGAGATATGATTGATGATGTAGAGCTAGCATTCTACTCCATAGTTCATAAAAAAAGGAGAATCATGAAATTTGGAGTCATTTTTTGAAGACATGTACGAACAACATTTAGGTGATCATCGAAAGATATCTCAATTTTTTGACAAAAAATAGTGGCTAGAGTGATAAAAAATTTAAAGCGTGCGATGACAAAAGACTGAACCACATACTGGTAGATGAAATTTTATGTATGAGATCAAAACCAAATAATAAAATGTCAAAACATATGTTGTGTAAAAACCAAGCTAAACAAAAATTAATGAAATACTTTTTTGAGAGTTTAAGGTCAAGTTACAAAGATATATATACTATTTTCATTAAGCTAAAGTATAATTATTGATGGAAAAAATATTTAAGAATATGATGAAATTTGTGGAGACTTGTGACATATGTCACTTGTATCCGATAATGGCACATCTTGACGATGTAGATCTCACATATCCATCTACTTTTTATTACAGGTGAATTGTCAATTTGATTTTTATGTCAATGTGAATAAATCATATGATAATTATGACAAGCATTTTAGCAAGGATAAATCTTTCAAATCAAGTGCAAAAAACAAATTTAAAGATCAAAAGCAAGTGAAATTATTTACAAAATTTTATTATATGAGTACGTATGTGGTTATAAATGTGTTGAAAAAATAAACAAGTAATCTAAATAAATTATATTCTTAAAAGATGTAAGATGCTTTGGAAAAATGTGAAATTAGACTATCAATTCTTAAAACTTAAAATTTACAAAAAATGCAAAGTATGACAACTGTAATTTTTGTATTGAAAAAGTTAATGTGAAGTCATGCAGAAGACACATGCACAAAGTTTTTTTACAACAATATTTTATCACGGTTAACACAAGATCAATATTTATCATGCCAATTGAGCAAATCATTTCAACATGGATAAAATATAAAAATTGAGAATGAATTTTTTTGTCTTGTAGAAAATATACAATATACAAAGAAAATATAAAAAATTTGAGACAATCCATTTTTCACAGTGTGTTGTCTTCAAAAAATCATGTAAACAGAAAAAAGATTTTGGCAATATGCATTTAATAATTAAAGAAAATAATAGATCATGTACTTACAAAAAATTAAAAATATATTCGAAAAAATTTGTCTTAGAAAGAAGAATATTTTTGACAAACATCATAATTTGAGATTAATTAAAATAAGTATATGTGATTGCATGTGAATAAATGAACAAAATTTAGAAAATAAACATGACACATTGAAAATTTTTATTAAGTGATATTTTATTTTCATGTAATGACTAACTATAAGAAAAACTCATTATATTTTTTTAAATATCTTCATGATACAAAACTCAAAAAATCTGTTGCCTACACGCATATTTAAAATGAAGACAAATATACTAACTTCAAATATCTTATGATAAAATTTGACATTGAAAAATTATAAGTGATATGGGAAAAAATATTTGAGATGAGTAACATGTTGTCAATAAGTATTATGAAAATTCAGATTTAGACAAGGAATATAATGAATTACTCAAACATTACATATTGTGCAATATAATAAAGATTAATTTTTTTTAAACACCTCTTCTAGCTAAAACACAAATACAAAGATGAGCAAAAGTGCAGATGTGCAATTGCAACAAAGTGATGAAATGCTAGTACAGAAATGTTCAAAGTGGTTTCAAGGTGATGCAAAGAGGTAAAAAATTATGAATAATGAATGATTAGGAGAAAAAAAATGAAATAAAGCAACATATACAAAATGTTCAATTCAAAGTTCAAGTTATCAAACATAACAGATGCATTGAAACAAATTATCAAGAAAAAAAATCGTCCAAACAGCAAAATCAAAACGATAGTTAGAAAAAAAAATGAGCATTGATGATGACACAAGTTTTGATTTATACAAGCTTGACAAGCTACGACAAGTATCAGTTGAGACTTGACGGCAAGAGCAATTGATGGCGATAGCAAATGCTATCACCTTGCTTATAAAACATGGTCTTTTTCATTGATGAACAACTTTTAAACCATAATTGAGTTTTTTCTGAAAATTTGTGCAACAAATATCTGAGATCAAGAAATTAGAAGATTTTTTAAATAGAAGATGATAAAAGAATAATTAAATGTTATCTTTGGAATATTTTTTAAATCAAAAGTCAAGAATGATCTTCAATCTTTGATTATCATTTAAAAAACCTTTGCTTTTTTCAAAAGAATTCAAACAAAAACATTTAGAAAAAAATTTGACAAACCAGTTAAAATTTGCAACCAATATGAGTAAGACAAGAAGTGATGTTTCAATGAAAGCTTAGAGTGGTGATTCAAAAAAAAATCCTTGAGAAAAATTAACCATTAGATTTTTGCGAGAAAACTAACATAGATGCAACAATGCATCCAAATTTATAAATGTATAAAATAGTCATTGAATTTGATGATAGAAGTTATCAAAGTATATAGATAAAATTTCATTCTAATGTGCAGTAATTCAAACCATTAGCAATCTTAAAAAATTGTTCATCAAATTTTTACTAATCTAAACTACATCTTAAAACTAAATTTTGATGAAATTTTCTTCTTAAAAATTCTTTAATTTTTAGTTTTTTATTTTTTTTAATACCAAGAATTTTTATTAGTGATGTTGTTAGACACGTCATTTAAGAAATTATGATAGTATAAATCATAAGTTATAATATGATCAAACTTGTCGAAAACAATTTCAAGTAAAAAAAAACCTTTCAAAATTGCGAATCTTCTTTGTTTGCATTTTCATGGTGAGTTTTTGACCAAGATAAATACATACAGTTATTTCTATTGTTGCAGAATACTAAGTTTGTAATTCATAAAATTTTGTTAAAAGTCTCATGACTTCTAAGAAGTTTTTAATGTGTATGATTTTTTGTCAAAATTCAAAATGATGTGCAAGAAAGCAAAATAGTAAATGTTTTTTTAATTGGTAAATGATGAATGATAAATTTTCATGTTTTAGGTTAAATGATATATATGAATTCACCAACAAAATTTCAATATCAAATCTATATACAAATGCAATGATACAACTTCATTATAAGTTCGATATGTTCACATTTATCCATTTTACAACAATTATTTTCATTAATGTATTTTGTCTTCAATACAACCTCATCAAATTTAAATTAAAAAAATTTAATTGATACGTACTTAATCGTTCAAAAAACATCTAAAATATCTCTACACTTATACCATTTTTCGATTAGTGCGTCTCATCCTTGCGAAGCGCCATGCTAATCTACAACTACACTTAGACTAGCAATTTTGATTATGAAAATCAACAATACCAATATCTAGCTCACTTATGTGACTTTTAGTTCACAAAATAACAAGTTTTGTTTCATGTATATACTGTACTATTTTGTATCACTCATATCTACAATATATTTTTTCATGTGAATATAAATTATCTAAAAATCAAGCCAAAGTAAATCAAACTTTAATTCATCTTCAATACAAGATGAAAATAGTTTTATAGATAAAAAATTTATTTATGCTTTTGAAAAAAATATTTTTTTTTCAAAATTATGCATTAAAATGTAAAAATGCTATCTGTTAAAAAAATTAACACAATATCTTGTGCCAAAAATTACTAATATTTCATTGGATATGAAAAATTATAAATATAAATATATCATTTATTATCATGTTGATTTATTAATTTTTTTATGAGTTATTTTCATACCAAAAATTTTAGTAAAATAATTTTGCGTGAAATTTAATTTTTGGATTTTACACAAAGTTATAATTATCATATTATTTAAAAATAAAGATAAGTAAAAAAAAATTTGTATTTTAACAACTTAAACAGAATTTGCATACAATTTTTTACAACAAAGATGTTAATGTTTTTTTGAATATTTCATCCTGTTAATTTTAATCTGAAATTATTGGTTGCAAATCACTTGCAAACATTATTTTCAGACATGTTTTGCATTATTTGCTTCATGAAAAAAATTGAACATTAAATAATTTATTTTTTGAACCGAGATATAACGTAAAATAAAAAATATAATATCAAAGTTCAAATTCATCCAATTAAATTTAAAAGAAAAATTTTGAATTTTTTAAAAGTGAAGAAATGAATTTTTAACTTTATTCTAAAATATATTTTATGTAACTTATATTTCATAATTTTTATATTTTATTTATTTAATATTTTCAATAATTAAATTTTGAAAGAACTTTTGAAATAAATTTTTTATTTCATTATTTAAGCATAATTTTAATTATTTAAAAAAATTATGTACAGATAGAAAAAGAAGAAAACTGTATATATTTATTATACAATAAAAAATATAACAAAAATTGGATATTTGATACGAAATTTTCGTTATTTATATATAAAAATAAATAAATAAATAAATATATATATATATATATATATAATGAAAAAATATGAATAAAATTTATAAGAATACAATCTGTTGTGATTTCATATGATTTATGCTCACATTCATTGATTTACTTGAACTCAATGATTAGCATCATGTAAGTTGACGTTAAGAAAAATTATTTTCTTCTTTCTTTTCTAATAATTGAAGCATCCATTATATTTATTTCAATATATTTTTGTGCGAGCAAGATACTAAACAGATATATCTATTTTAAAGTAAGAATTTTTAATTATTACAAGCTTTACATGTGATATTTAAAAATTTGGATAAAGTTTCAAATTTTAGAGTAAGTACAATTAGCAGCGAAGAGTAATTAGAATTGCACAAATTTCATTATAAACTACTGAAACTCAATCTTTTATCAGATTAGATTCATCATGATCACATAATTGTAGCTTTTTAGTCTTTTAAAGAAAAGGTCAGACCAGTAAGTACCATTTTGAAATCTACTAACAACATTCTTTATCTTGAAATTCACTTGAAAGTCATCTGCAATGAGATAAAATATTTTATCAACTTTGATTGGTATATCTGCTCTTGCACTGAACGTATTGTTGCATTAGGATGACATACTATTTCACACATTGTTTTCATGATTTTTAGCCAATATATGTTCATACTTGAATGCGTATTTACTTTCACATGATAGTTCTTCCCATTTCATTCATTGAACATAGATACGTATTTTTATATAATTATATATAATTTTTCGTTTTAAGAGTTCGTGTGATTAGTTTGCAGAGGTTTTTCACTTCTTCAGTTTGTCTGTATCAAGGTTGTTGCATATGGAGTTGTGGTACTCAGAAATGTTATTACTGTTATACGTACAAGGAATATTAGAAATTCCGTCCGTTTACGGGACATGCATGAATATATACATCCTTTTGACGCGAACATGCTTTCGATCTAGACAAACGGCATAACTTCTCTTGCGACAACAATACTACAAGTTGGACAATCATGATAGGCCTCATGTTGATATTAACAAGCTAACCACCAGCAAGACATCCATTTCTGATTTACTTGTATCTAATCATTTACACAAAGATTTTTTCCCAGAAGCTACAATTTTTCTGTACAGAATACAATCCAAATGTGGATACACCACGTTTGATATCCAAGCTTATCAGCTTCCTTCCTCTCAACTACTCAATCTATCATCTAGATCTCAAAATCACCCACTTGATAATTCCTTCACTTATCGTGATAAATCTTATGACACACTCTTTCCCTTTATTTGAACGAAGAGCTTATTAGAGGATGAAAATCTCACTTCCTAACCATAAAAACACTGCATATTCCAAAGTCGATAAAACACCAGGTTAAAACCTGGTGATATTTCGATTTTGCTTTCGACGTAATAGCCAACTATGTAACCAATAACTAGAGAGAAAAAATATAGAGAACCAGCTCGGCATCAAGATTCCAAGAGAAAATCAAGAGTTCTTCCAAAACTTCGAACCATGTGGCAATCCGGATCGGTGATAACAAAATTGGCATGGACATGCATTGTCCTTCTGGCCACTTAGAATATGTGCCGTAAATTAGTTGTAAAAATGTATTCTTATTCCGAAAAGATCTCTTGCAAGTAAGAATTAAGGATGCAATGATTCTCCGGGCGGGAAGGGATTTTTTGTCTGTCAGGGGGAGGATCGATAAGAGCGACGAGAAGGCCTTCAGAGGAAGAGGAGGAGGAGGAGGAGGAGGAAATGCGAAGGGGACGAGCCGGTGGTGGGCGACCACAGGACCGGATGACGAATAGGCGAGCGTGATTGGGGAGCAGGGCCGGATGGATGGATGGATGGCCGGAACAGATATGGGTGGTGAGAAACGAGATGAGAAAGTGGCGCTGGCTGGCGCCATCGCCAGCCAGCGAGAGGTGCACATGCGAGCCACACTAGAGCCTGTCGAACCCCTGTCTCACTCTTTAGCAGCCCCCGAAGCGCCCCGGCTCCGCGCACTAGTCGATCTTCCTTCCGTCCTGCTGCAGAATCGTCGACAGTTCGTCGGGATCAGTCAGGTCCGTCCCGCAGCCTCGGCTGTCTGTGTGTGATTTATTGTTTAGTTTTGTTGTGGTGCTGAGGTTTGTGTGCCTTCGAGCAATTCGTGCTTCGGAGGTTGTGATCGATCGATCGAGCGACAGCTGCTGACGTGAGTTGTGATTTCGTCTCGTGCAGATTGCTGCCTCGAGAGCGCCTGCTCGACATGGCAACCGTGGTAGCAGCGGCCACCGGCGTGGCTGCCCGGCTCTCGAGCCCCGTCGCTGCTGCGGCGTCGTGCTCGTCGAGGACCTCATTCTTGAGCGGGCGGAGGATCGCGGTCGCGGCGGGCCTTCCGTGCGTCGAGAGAGTGGCTCGTCTGGCAGTGGAGGCCAAGCAGGGGAATGCGCCCGTGTCGGCCCTTGAGGAGTCTGTGAGCCAGGCCTTCAACACTCTGACCAAGAGCACTGTGGCCCGGAATGCGGCCATCATCGCCACCAATGTGCTGCTGGCTCTGCCCGCCCTCGCCGGCGAGGAGAAGGGTAAGATTTTCGACTTCAACCTCACGCTGCCCATCATCGCCATCGAGTTCCTCACCCTCATGGTGGCGCTCGACAACATCTGGTTCAAGCCCGTGGCCGCCGTCATGGACAAGCGCGACGAGGAGATCAGGAACAAGCTGCTGGGCGTGAGGGACAATTCGGGCGAGATCAAGAAGCTCCAGCAGGAGGCCGAGGCCATAATCAAGGCCGCCCGAGCTGAGACCACCAACGCTCTGAACAACACCAAGAGGGAGACCGCTGCTGCCTTGGAGGTGACGCTGCAGGAGTCGAAGGCCAGGATCGAGTCGGAATTGGCCGAGGCTTTGGCGAATTTGGAGGAGCAAAAGGAGGAGACCTTGAAGGGACTCGACAAGCAGGTGTCGGCCCTGAGCGACGAGATTATCAGCAAGGTCATGCCCTTCAGCGTATGAGCGAATTTAGTCGTAGTTGCGGTTTTTGAGAACATTCACGTCTGCTCCGTCCGGAGCGATAGATGCAATTGTCGTATGAATCCGTTTATCTTAATTTGACGATACATTCCCCGTTAGTAGACATTGCACAATGTAATTTAGACACTGGATGACCGCTCTGATCTCGAACTCACTTCAGGATCAGTCTGGAGACATAGATCTGTCACTGTACAAACAGTTTCATGCAAGTCGCCAATTTATTCTCTCCATGATTCATGTTCATCCTGCGATTCATGTAAAGTACGTAAGGAGAAATCCAAAAGTCGTCCTTTCCTCTTGGAGCCGTTGAGTATCCCAATTTGGTTTTAGCTCTTTGTCGTGATCAGACGGCAAATTTCCTCAGTATTATACATTATAGCTGTACATTTAGTAGTGTACCCACTACACCGCGTATTATCATCAAGACGAATGCTTTAATAATAAATTAAAAAACATTGGAAAGAACAAGGGAAAAAGCAAATGCACGAAATCAAGCTCCAAAAACACTAGAATTATAATATTATTTAGACATGAAACTGACAGTCTACGATCAGTATGAAAATATAACAAAGATATTAACAGAAACAGTAGAAAACAAAATGTGTCACTCTAAATGTCAACGAACTATAAACTGAATATTGCAAATAACAGTAGCACAAACTATATGAGATGGCGAAATTGTGTTCTTAGACAACATCATACTATTTCTTATGATTTCATTTGGAACACCTTCTGCTAAAAGATGCGCCTACTGTGCAACTATGGACATGAAACGAAGAAAAGAAAGATGTGAGAAAACAACACATGGTAATCGCACGATAAAACATCATAACTCTGAACATGCCGACAGGAAGCAATCATAAGCATACAACATACTGCGAGATAAAAATCTGATGAAATTTGACTTCATTCCATGAGGTATGAAAACGAAACAAATCCTTTCACAACGATGAGGTAGTCTTCTACCATATTATCCAGCTTCTACTCCTTCGGAGAAAAGAAATGACTACGTCTTGCAACATCCTCAACTATATTCAGTGTACCATCAGATCATTAAACTGAAACTGTGCTAGTAATGACTCAAGATGCTCCAGGTGTCAGTGTAGAACAGATCGGGTCCTGACATACACTTGTACATCAACCCACGACAATTCCTCCGTGTACCAAGAACGAAGTAAAATTAAGTAAAAGTCAATCCAACTTTCAAGTGTATTCGTGAGGTGCACTGCACAACTTCTTGTGTAACGATGTGCTGGTTTAAATTCTTCAAATGCTGGAAGAGTTTTTTTTGTATCAACCTTGCTCCAAGCTCCTACCTCTACACAACCCGCTCGATACGTATATCAGGTATACTAACATCTGCTAACCTGGCTATCTTCGCGTGTAGATTGATGATTAATAACTGGGCAACGATATCACTGCGTTGCAAGACCATGATTTCATCACCTGACTCGTGCTTCTCGCAACCTTCTTGCGGGATAATCTCATTTAACTGGAGCATAGTTGATGAACAAGCTATCCCATTCAGAGAGAGGATGTGACCTCATGTGGCGTGGTCCCAATGGCGCCTCCACTACTGTGACCATATATGTCATATCTGCGATGCTGTGAGAAGCACACGTCTTGAACATTAAATAGGACTTCTGAGCTATGTTTCCTGTAGTGTTTCAAAACAAAATCAAACAAAATGTTGTGACAGTGGAAAACCATGTGAGATCTCGTTCACTTACTTGACCAATAGGCATGCGTTGTCTAACTGACTCCAAGAACTGGTGATCCAATTCTGCTACAGCTATTCCCGTGGCCTCCTTATCTGCACGACAGTTGGAGAGGAAATGAGCTGTGCAAACGTCACGTCCTCGTGACATACGAGGATCTGGATTAGTCTGAGCCAACTTTCGAAGCTAACTATCAATTCAATAGATGTCAAAGACATGTCGCTCACGACATACGTATCTGAACACATTTCTGGATTCACTACAAGTCCTACGGGATCGGGGGCTTCAGTCCCAATTACCAGCTCGGTTCATGTACAAGGTATGAAGTAGAATCAGAAACTTCGGCCAGATAAGTATTGTAGCTTGCTCGAGGAGAAGAATACGACTAAATCACAAGTTTCTAGTTCAGTATTGTTCTATTTGGATGATCAAAGGGCTAAGTTGCTACTGCTCGCTGAAGCTTGTGTCCCAGAACAGTCAGTCTTGTGAAAGGGGATCTAAGGATACCTGCACATCGTGCGATCACTGTTCCCCACGGATCAATAATCAAGGCATCACCATAACTCTCTCGTTTCTCATTGTGTTTTCCCGCTTGTGCTGCTGCTATAACCTGCAAAATGTACGACAGAGGAGTTATTGATTTCTGAAAAACCAGAATGTGGTGCAGCATATTTTGATACCCAGAGTCAGACCAAAACTGGCCTGAAGTAGTCATACTTGGACCACTCACGTAGCATTGGGTTTCTACGGCTCGTGCTCGAAGCAGAATCTCCCAATGAGCTTCTCCAGTCTTCTTTGTGAATGCTGACGGCACTAACAATATCTGTAAGACCAAAATCTCAGTTGTCTATTAGAAGCCGACTTGTGAGGCAAATTTCAACCATATTCGTTTCAATTTCAGCCTTCCGGACGTATCTGAAATATGCATGTCTGGTGTGATACATATATGATCCTTTTGAGAGAACTGATTCATGTGAACATCATCGAATCTTCATACAACAGCGATCATTTTAGGCACCTTCTTGACACGAGCAAGATGATCCATGCTCTAACATTCATACTACGTTCTCCTTGCTACATCTTTATTGCGGAACACTATCTCAACGGACAAACCTGAGCATTCTCTTGGAATCTCAATTGCTGATACAGCTCCGGAAAACGAAGGTCGTAGCACACGGTGAGGCCCAACTTTCCAATTGGACTATCAACAGCAATGATGTCCGAACCTGTTCATGAAGATGGCAGTCTCACAAGACTGAACTGATAAGCAAGCATTGTATAGCACTAGTTCGTGCTTCAAGATCTAGTCAAATACAAGGACGAAAATGGGGACACAGCACTGTTTCCATCTTGGCAAAACGAACTGTTTAGAAGAATGCGTGAGTCCTGTAACCAACGCACCTGGAGCTGTTGATCTACTCTCCTTCAAGACTGGCCCCCCGGGCACATCTACATCAAATCTGGAAGCGAAGAATTGAGAAATTCGTCAATACGAATTATAGGTAGCAACTTCACTCCTTCGAAAAACCCACAGCAATGACTTCAAATACTAGACCGGATAAGTTTTCTTCTTTGACAAACGTATAAGCAGATCTCGTGTACGCACAGGTGAATTTTCCTGTAGACTCCACGCACACCTCCAGCATCATCCAGCACGACGTGCGTATTGTACAGATGCCCGGCGTCGGGGCCCTTCTCCTGAAATCCACCCAGTGATAGCCACAACCCTGCTTCTCTGTCCTACTCACCGACAATGAGCGAGAGGGAATTGTTAGGTGAGGCAAACCTGATTCGTTTCATCAAAGGCACCTCATGAAATATGAGACATCAAATACAGCGGGTTGGTATGTCAGATGAGACTGGACTTGGAATTCATGGCCCGGGAGGTGCCGGTGAGTCAGAAAATCGAGACGATGACTTGCCTGGCCAAATTCTGGTAGCTTTTCATGATCGGACCATCCAGTGGCTCTGCGATGCTCAACGATTCTCCTTCTTTCGAGCCGATGAAAGAGAAGCACTCAGGTAAACTCAACAGCTTCGCACCGGCAGCAACCGCTTCCTGTTCCCGAATGCCTTGCAACCATCAGCACCTCAAGCCGTGATTTCTCGACAAAGTTTGTTGCTTTTCGTTTTGAAGAGTTTCATCAGTCCAGACATCACAAGCGACGACACACACACCTTTCTAGAATAATCAATTGTCACTCAAAAGTTTGCCCGACACTTGCACAAACTCATCCAGCTCAATTTCACGGTCGACAGTTGTAATGGAAAGTGACAATGGAACGCGGAACATCACAACTCTCGTCCTGCGAAGCTCTGTGTCCAAAAGCTGCTGAGTAGAATTCTAGAAATCAAGTGTCCATTCACCAAGAGAGTTGACAAGACAAGACGGACTGTCCAGCGAGCATTCTCAAATCTCTGGATCTTAGAAGCCCCGCATTTGGAACATGATCGACCATCGGCATGATTCCATCAACTCACGCCGCTTGGAAGAAACGAGCGACTTCCGAGAAATGCCAAGGCTGCAGAAGCCATACCTGCACGAGGCCAGCACAGGTTTGAAAATTGGATTGGATGTCGGCCGAAGCAGTCATCTGACCCACAGCCACCTTCAGCAAATTCGACGGCTTTGCCATCGAAGCTCTTTTCGGTATCTCGGCAGCGACTCCAGCTCTACAGTAAAATCTTGCAAATCCTCCTAATGCCGCAGCAGAAGCCATCCACGAAAAAGCTCGTCCGAAAAGCGGCACATTTGCATCTGTGCACTCGCGTCTGAGACAACACTGAGATTCGTGAACTTCGTCGGTGCACTGGAAATTACGAATCGGCTTAATTACCAAAAGGTTTTGGACGACACGTGAATTTCTCCTCGTCATGAAATTTCATCATTTTATTTGACCAATTGCTTCCAATGTAATATTATTTTAAAAATTTTCCAGCACTCCAATGTGGCATATGGTTCGATACACAATGAAGGTGACTGAATAGATAAAAAGAATAATCGAAAATCCGCCTGAATCAAACAAGGAAAGAGGTGCTCTGATAATTATTAAATCTATCGACAAGGATATCTTCGTTTGTGTAATCAACGTTCATAACCAAAATTAGTATCTAATGTCACGTCATCTATAACGGTTGTACTCCAGTGGTATATGTGGAATAATGAAAATAGCTGAATACAAACTTAGACTAGACTTATCACATAAGACTGAAGAGGCAGATATATTTAAAGTGACAGGCTTTAGAGAATATATTCGCATTTATTTCAACATCTACATTGAGATATACATAAGACTCCAGTACTAAAGGGAAGTGGGGTGACAAAGCATTTAGTTAATGGTCAGGTTAAAACAAAAAAAGGGTTAAATATGTACAAGTAGGGAACTACGCAATTGTAGCAAGCAAAGAAATGCTACTACTTATATGCTGCTGATATATTAATTACCCCTTACTCATAACCGAGGCATAAGAAGGACCATAATCTTATGTGATTGCTTTCATATATCATATGTATTGTAACATCAAGCTAAGATTAGAATTACATTGATGATTGAAAAACTATGATTACGATGTGATCTCTAAAATAGATTTCTAGGAAAATAGAATTACGTGAGACGATATTTCAAATGACCTTGATATCCATTAACAATGTAATGTAATGTAACTGGAGATTCAGGAATATTCGAGTTTACAATGACACAACTGACAAAATCTTGGTGTGGCAATTTCAAAATGGGGTGGACAGAAGAGTTGCATGAAATGGGAACATTGTTAAAACATAATGTTGCAATGTGCATAATGCAAAGAGACATTCCCAAGAGCAATGGGTTGAATGTGCCCCTTGTTCATCTTTGTTGAGAGAATCTGACTTGGACATAGTTATATTATGAAATCTTTCTTCTTGCATTAATGACATCACTAGATCGATCATACCCCGGGTAACAATATCTATTGATGAACACAATTTGAAAAAAAAAGTCAACGAATATAAAGATGTATATTCACAATTGTCCATAGCGTTTCGTTCAGTTGTCAGTGGAATACAAATTACAATGAATTAACCTCATAGAATCGATTACTATTTGATGGGAGATATCTTTCATATGATATAAACCAAGCTGGGCTTCCGTGATGCAGTACAGGCATCATTCCCAGTGGACGTCAAGGGTGTATATGAGGACACCGACCTCCGGGGTCAAACCTTTACAGAAACGAAGATTAGAGTACTTGCATTCTATTCCTAGTTGCTGCAATGTGTACTCCAAAACTTGGATATTGTGTTCTTCCCAGGTTGGCAAGAACAGGCGTTGTGGCGTCGACGGTACATTCTTCCCACTTCACCACGACCAGAAGTCAGTTCTTCTGCCGCGAGTTGAAGTTAACTACAATTTCTTCAAATCTAAAATGCAACTGCAAGTTATTCGTATGAAACGGTGAAGATTTGCAAAACGATAGCTTAAGACTAATATGCGAGCGCGTTGCATCAACAGCTCGAGGCCTTCTAGACTAAAAAGAAGCATCCGTTGGCCCCTGTATAGGACAAGCATCCCAAGTTGTAGATTCATTCCACACATAAGAATCACCACGAGAGTCAACTCCAGCACTAGGTCCAAATTTGAACTGAGCTTGACACGGTCTGATGCATAAAACGAGGAAACATGAACGATGAGGACGTTATCTCTATTTCATCTCAACCGTCTTTGACATTCAGGGTGGAATGCAGGCATAGCACAATCGTCGCACAGAAACACGAGAACAGGTTGGATTCAAAAATGTTCTACTCTACAAAGTCGATGACTTCCGTCGTCGCATGGAGGCTCGCCATAATCATACAACACCTCAGAGATTCCTTCCGAGAAGATATTACATATTCCAGATCAGAGTTTGCTGACTGATTTCTCTAAGCTAGAATTGATAAGAAGCAGCAATTTCTATATGTGTTTAAGGCGTAATTTGACGTATCTATACTTTTAATTCAGCCAGGTAAGTAAGCGGGTAAGGGGCCGTTGACTTGCCGAACAAAGCACACCATGTGGGCAACTTCATCAACACTCTTTCTAGTTCCGGTGTCACGAGATTCACGTCTGTTCTTAACTTTAGGAGAAGATTGTCACCATTTGTTTTCAGTGCATCGGCAATAGGATGCCAATACAAAGTAAGATAGAAATCGTTCGGACCTTGAGTCTCTCCACTTATGAACTGCATATTGTGCCAACCATCCACTCCTTCTATAGCACCTCCAGGTACCAACACTTGTCTATCACCTGCCAAAAGTAAATCACATGTCAGAAACTAAAACAGCACCTTAGGCAAGAGACTGAAAAAACACACCCACCTTGTCACAGAACTATTTACCCGCACAGCAACCATAGGACGCATAAGAAAAGCTTGCATGATGCTTGTGCTAATAAGCTCAAATAAATATCTTCCAATTGAAAACACCAGCAGATGTGTTATATAGCGAGACTTATGTCATGGACACAAGAATGAGGTATAATTGAAAGGTAAGGGTATGAACTTCAGTTCATCCTTCAATCTATGTAGTCCAGTTTTAGTCCAATTATCATTGGACTATAACTGCACCTATAACACAAGGCATGTCGAAAATTGGAGGAGCACGCAGAGCAACAAAAGAAAAAGAGGTGGAAAATGTTGTAGGAACATGATGGACCTCTAACCTCGACTAATACTATGACAACGCTTCAAAATGCAAAGGTGCCATTTACTTGATGTCTCAAGCTTGAAAGCTTGCACTGCTGTTGTGTTGAAAGCAAGATTCCACCGTATGGATGAGCCAGTCGTGTATCTAACCGATGTCACCCTGATTCCTGCCTTGTTCACTTTGTCCTTTTCGATGTTTAACATAGGTTGACCTTTCAAGATAAATTTATCATTTTCCAATTGCTTTTCACATCCAGACTTCACATAGTGAGACACAAAATCGATACTTTTGCCGCAGGTAAAATTTTCTCCCTGAAGAGAATTCAACTCCTGTTCGAATCCACCGGGGGTTCCCGCAGATATGGATATTTTCTGAGATGGAAACCCACCTACACTATCTACGTTTACTGTGTCAACAACATGCACGACCTGCGCAAACAAAAAAAGGAAAAAAGTTCTATCAGACAGAATCTTAATGCCTACTTTCAGTGGTCAGGGATATCCTACTTTGATGATAAATGTACTTGAACCTTCACCTTGACTTACTCTTACACCACAGCAATGGGTGCAGTTGGCTAAACATACCATTTATAACAAAGACTCAAGATTCGTACGGAGTTCCCTCTAGTATCTCTTGCAGTTGTCAAATTAAACTGAACGCTCAAAATGCGGAAAATCAATCATCTGAACTAACAAAGATGAATTTATCAAAAGAACGAAAGATATGGATGAACTGACATTAAGAGCCCTCCCAACATGGTCGTTGAAAGCTGGAACAACTTGTGTAATCACAAGTCCCATCGTCACAACAAAAACACTCATCAATGCAGCGAGTATCCATCCAAGTCCACCTGCACAGTGAATACATTATTGGTTCACTAGCTCATTGTTGCCTTGTGAGATAATTACGGATACATTTCTCACTTTTGTTTGTTTCATTCACTCAGGTGACAATATGTCATCAATGCTTAATATATTAACCTCATGAGTATAATTTGTGCCACTGGCGTTCTGAAACCTTCTCTCACAAATGATGTATGACATGTAAAAGAAGACTGTACGGACTTGACTTCAGTAAATTCACCTGAGCGATGTGCGAAGGGTAACAGATAAACCAACGTAAGACATACGTAAACAGCGATAAGACCTCCAGTGAGGGCATTTCCGGTCCATAGTGGAACACTACCAGGATTCCTGCAGAATTTCATAACCACCACTGAGTAAAATTGAAGACATGAACTCAAGAACTGTCAGCAAAATAACAACAAAATAAAGTCAGAAGAATGCCGTAATTGACTTAGACTGTTCACATGTACCAATATTGAAGAAATTGGGTGCTAGAACTTACCGATCAAATCTGGCTAGATTTCCAATCAAAACCCCACTCAGTCGTATTACTGGAACTGCACTCACTACGACACCAGCTATCATGCTAAGCCAAAGTGTTGCTCGTTGTAAGGCTCTAAGATTCTGCTTCGGTGAGAACTGAGCCTCCATCAGACCATCTGCAAAATCAAATCGAGAAATATTTACTTCAAAGGCCATAATAAGAATCATACGAAAAATTACGAACAAAAGCAATTCATGCAAATGTATCATTTCGCTTCTCTAAGCTTCGGGAATATAACGGCCGCGCCCTGGCTAAGCTGTGCTAGTGATAATAGACTGATGAGAAGACGAGGTTGAATGAAGTAAAGAGGCTGGGCAGAAAAGGAGTACTACTTGCGAAAGGAGACGGTGTATCTTCTATTTTCATGATAACAAAACAATAATGGACACGAAAACATGTACATTTTTGTGTAGATTAAAAAATATGTGAACTTTTTCAGCACATGATGGTAGAATCAACCATTTACAATCTGCTAGAAACTTCCGATACTTTTGGCAGAAGAAGCATGTTATCACAACAAGAATAAAAAATACTTACAAACAACTGCAGGAGGAATTATCCAGAAGAGCGCAATGTATGATGAGCCAGCTCGAATCCACGTTCCTAAGCCAAGAACTACCATCCACTGTAACAAACCAGCTTTAAACAGCCATCTCTCAGCATGCCAATCCACATGCCTTGCAGAGAGTTCTTTACTGAACCGAGTTGATGAGCCTTTGTCGAGATTCTTTGCGATATAAAGTTTAAGAAGAGCCCGACCTAATGAATGACCTATAAGGGCACCCATCACTGCTGGAACTCCAAACAACCCAACAGCTAGCCATGAATGTGTGATGTAAGGTATAGGAAAAGGACTAGCATGGGGTAATATAACGGCCACAAGGAAAACGTGGACAGAAGCTATGGTCCAGGTTAATATTATGGTGAGAATAGCTAATCCAAGCTCGATTAAGGCTGCAATTCCCAGTCCTGATAGATATAGAGAACTAATAAGAAGTATGAAACCCTGAATCAAAATGGAAACATGTAAGGTGTTTGCTGTCCGTAGGGAATATGTAACCATCCAACGGCCCTGAATATAAGACATCAAACATTGATAAGTATAGCAATTTTAAAAGTATTACTTGAATGAGGTTCGGCTCAAACCGCAACAAAGATTTGAGTTTCAAAAGTAACTCTACAAAAAATTATGAAAAATCCCATAGCTTTTAGATGACCTGAGCATACTGAATTCAATTACCTGTACAAAGAATGAAAAGTGAGTTTAAGCTTTTACATCTTGCTACCGGTCAAATCAAACTTGACCTACCAAGATATCGAAATAAACGGTCTCCATCTGTTCAAATCCTGTGGCATTGTTGCTTAAGAAAGGCAAATCATCTGAAAGAGCCACGTTGTCCAACAAAACTAATAAATCTCTTCCAATTGGTTGAAGTGAACCCGGTCGTAAATGTCCAGACCTGTCGTTCTGCTCAAATACCACGTTGTAGAGTACAGATTCAATTTGACGTAACTTCAGTTCATATATGATGATTACAATTCAAATTAAGCATCAAATTGTTACAAGCCTAAGTGGATAAGTTTCAGATGTCAAGTTTGAATAAACTTTTTAGAATCTTTTACAAACATGTAAAGAGGGAAATAAGTAAGTCACTTATAAAGGACGACACTTCTTACCGTAAAGTCAACATACAGTAATCAACTAAACTACTCATTGTAAAATTTAACAGGCTGACATTAAACAGTTAGTATATTCCAATTAAAGCAACATAAAATCAGGAGATGAAGACATCTACCTTAGAACCATATCACTGAATATTGAACTCACTTTCTTGGAGCTAGTGCCCCAATTGATTCCTTCATATCAGTTACCTTAGTGTGATAAATGGCACCATTCTCGACATGGGCAAAATCAAGACCAGAGAGGCCTCCGACCTCAACATAAACTTGAAAATCCGTGGCAGATTTAATCAATCCAAAGTGAAAAACATCCTGCCAAAAAAAGATAATAAAACGGTCAAGTAATCATGGATAATATGAGAAAATTTGCACCTATGACAAAAACTGCTAATAAATTGATCTTCCAGAAGTTTATCCGTTAGCGTATACTGCTAGTACAACATGTAGAGCTTTAAGGTGATAAAAGAAACATCATGTTCAAACAAGATACCAGTTGTTTGTGACTGTCTAGGAAACTGAGCCTATCAATTTAGCCTTTTGCCGATATATGCTACTTCATAGAAGAAACTGTGAACAATGATCTTTTTATCTTGAAGAAAACCATTTTGTCTTTCATATAGAATCCATCGTCAAGAAACACAGATGGTAAACTGCAACTTATCACGTCCAGTTTCTCACCTGGGCTAAGATTTGAGCCGATGGGTACTTTGCAACTTTTTTGTACATCTCTAGCAGCCATTTGTCTGGTCCTGCCTGTCAAAAAACCACAAATAAGATTGACTCTGCCATTCGATATCTGTATCACTACAAAACGATAAGCCTAGTGTCAATGCTTGACTCAGGTATGGCAACGTTTCCCGACAAGTCTAGCGTTGATAAGCAGGCTTTGGCAGATATAGCAATACCTGAAAAAGGAGAGACTTTCCTCCAATTCCCATAGCCTCGATATCAATTGCAGCACGTATGCTATAGGTCCAAGGATGCTGAACAATGCGGGATATCAGTAACTTTTGCGCTTACCTCACATCTTCCATCGATCAAAGACAAACTATTGGGAAATAATCTTTTACCATCCAGGTAAACATAGACCACGTTGCAACAACAATGAACTCGGTATCAAGATTACTTTTCCATACATGAAAAGATACATGAACTTTAAGTTGCACCTGTGTTATAAAGCTGTGAGCACCGACAAGACCCTCCTCTTCTCCTGTGTTAAACAGAAAGATGACGGAATGTTTGAAGCGATGTGCTCGATGAGACAAAGCCCGCACCAATTCGAGCATTACACCGACACATGAACTACAATCACCAGCTCCTGGCCTGTAGAGTACATCATTTGTAAGTGCTGGAGACTAGATTCAAGACTAATAGATTTTCAACCAAAGAAATAACGGATAAGAAACTGTTAGATCATGCCGATCCTCGGTTCACATTTTTCATATTTATAATGTGAAAAATGTGAACAATAATACACTCTTCAAAAGATAAATCAGGTGCTTCACATCAGGTGTTGCCTCTGAAGACAAATCCAATATGCAAAGATCTGCATTTAGCACCGCAATCTTGGCAGGAGATGCAATCCATAGAGTATACAACACTCTCCAGCTAGAATCAGACAAGAGAAAAATATTTCCTACATTATTTCCTACAAATTGATCCAGTAACATTTTTCAACTTCTCCGCATGACCTGAAGAAAAAATTAGAAATAAAAAAATCAGACTTTATGGACCTGCAGGAAATTGATGGGCATGAACTTGAAATGAAGACAATCTACAGAGGACTAAGAGGAGAATTTCCGAAATTCGGAAAGGTCAATTTTGAAACAAGAGCAAATGATCCACGAGATTTGAACTGAAATTCTTGATAATGACTTACGAGGTGATCACAGTGTCAATGTGGGAAGATACCAGGATTGCATTTTCCTTGGCTTCCATGAAATCCGAAGGGCTTATTCGAACGACAAGATGCTTCAGATTGGTATACACCAACGACTTCCCGAAAAACACTCCCCCTGTCATGCGCTCCAGCCCAGGATTTGGGGAAAAAACTTCTACCTCCACATCGACGTAGTCATGTGCTGACTCTTTGATTTGCATCAGTTCGGAGTAGACATACTGAAAGAAGTCAGCTCCAATTGATGTGAATGAGTAAATTTGCATCTTGCAATCATGTCTTTATCAAGCATATTCCTGCTTCTGCTCACCCGTAAATTCGATTCTTTCGATTCTTTCTTCGACCTTGCAGCTGCACTCATGGCAACTGCAAGCGACTGAGAAATTTAACATGAATTACATGGATGATTGTAGAAAAGAACCCGCACTGAGAAACAGGTCTATTCAATAATTGCAACATAATACCAGCCATTTTCTCAGTACCTGAATGGCATCATCTAGAGCTGATGTGCCGACTGGATGAGGTCCGAGGTTCGACAGAGCAAATACATGTTCGTAAGCCCTCTCTTCAGCAAATCCTGGAATTCCAGCCCCAATTCCAGAAAGTGGCGGCGGCAACTGCTCCACCTGGAAATAATACGTAACCCATGCAGCGTATCCCACGAGCACGAGCATCAGCAACCATTCAAAAGCAGCTCCGCGCGTATTTTTCTCCGACACATCTCTGAGACTGGGACCTTTATCATCGTGGTCTTCATCAAATGTTCTAGGACCAGGTACTCTGGTCCTGACAGTCAGCCTTTGCCTCACCATTCTATTACTCTACTTCTTTTTTCCTTTTTCTTTCTTTCCTAATTCCTGTCACTCCCTCGCCCTGCCGCAGTCTTCCCGTATAAAAAACGGCTTATCACATTTCTGGTCGTCTGCCGCAAGACCATGAATTCCTCCCTCCCTCGAAAAACCCTTCTCTGAAAGAAAGACCTCTCCCGGCCAAAATCTCGCGTTCGAAGAAGAGATCACGCGTTTCGGGTCCTGCTTCCGATTGCAGCAGAGGCAAAAAAACGACAACTACCTCGTTCGCTGGAACCACAGTGTCCTGCAACACCTGTAGGCTTAAAAACACGTTTTGCAACATGTAAAGCACCGAACTCCCTGCTGGACGAGACGGCGACACACGGGGAATGATGCCAGAGCAGGTCGAGGAAAGGTGTCAGCAAGTCTGTCAGTCAAGTCAGTCAGTCAGTGAGTAAGAAATCGAGTTTGTGTCAATAATTTTGGCCCCCTATTATCGTCCTTATGGAACTGGGCAGGAATTTCTGTTCGCCCACGAACATCTCGTTAGCGAGCACTCGACGTCTTCTCGACAACAAATTGCAACTCACTGGATCTGAAATGTTGTTAGTCCTCGGGAGCTGACTGACTCTGACTCTGTCCTCGATCTGCCTCGAGGTTTCCTCCTCCTGACAGCCCCTGCCTCCCCCTCGCTCCGCTCCTCTGCCCTGGTGTTGATGCCACGTGTCGCCTCGTTGTCCTTCTGTGCACACTCAAGCGAGCGAGCAGACGTCTGGGCAGGACCTCTGGGCACTTTCCGTCGCCCATTGGCTATTGGCCTCTTTCCTGAATTTTCTCAAATTAAAACGAGTGGGCAATAAAAGGATGGAAAGGATGGAAAGACCCCGTCAATTGTTAGAGGAACCGTGCTAGACCCCAACAGCATCGCAAGCCAAGCTAGTGTCTTGTAACTCGCGTGATTCGCACATGATCCCACGTTTGATAGCATGGAGACTTCCGAGATATTTGAACATACGGCTTAGAACATTATTTTCTATATACATATGTTGATTCTGTGTATTGCACCACACATTGTTATGTGTGAAACAAGTCATAGACATATCTGGACTAATTGAACTAGATATGTATATATACTTATATACTCTTGACATTCCATCTCATGTAGACTGATATCTCTTTCACTTTCTGCCACCAACGTGTAATAGTCATCAAAAAACAGAGAAGAAGAATAACATCTTTGCACAAAGTATATTAATTATATTAAGTATGGAGATACGTATGCTGATTACGTGTATTGCACCACACATTTTTATGTGTAAAAAAAGTTATAGATATATGGTGACTTATATAAACTACATATTAAAAAAAATTTGACATTCCATTTTACCTATACTGATATCTCTTTCACTTTCTATCACCAAAGTGTGAAAGTCATCTCACTTATCTCCATATAAATCCCAAAAACAGAGGGAAAAATAACATCTTTGCACAATTCTAATTGCATATAACTTATTCTGTAAATCCTTCAATCGATAATGATAATAAACATTATAAAAAGTGTGCCAGTTCTAAATTTATAGATCACCATGAGAAACCAAACATATCTCAAATTTATTGTGAGATTTAGCAACACTCTTTCAATATGATATATCCACTTCTCAAGTCATTACAAACACCACATACTTATTGCCATTATAAATATATATATATATATATATACACCCCAAATGTGCCATGGTAATATGCATCTTTCTGTACTAAGATGCATCACACTTACATGTGAATAAAAAAGATGCAAATAGATTAATCACACCAAATCTGAACTTCATTATCATAAAGTCAATTTGTTGATGCATGTTTGTTCCCTAACGCATGTGTTTCAACTAAATTTAACTCTAAGATCTAAAAACGTTGTTTTCTTTATTTCATGCTAGAAAAAATTAAGAGAAAAATTTGAACTTATTATGCTGATATGTTTAGTGACGAGAAGCTTTAATATGATTCACAACATGAATTATAAAAAAATTATATAGATGAAAGCTTTTATATTAGAATCATATATCATGAATAATACATTTTTTCTTAAAATAGATATGCTATTTGCATCAAGTAAGTATTAACTTATACTTATATTTCAACATTTGTAAATTAGAAACATGCTTTTAAATAGAAAGAAATTAATCATTTTACAGAAAATAGTTTTTTATATGCAGTCTTATTGATTGATAAGAAATTACATGATTTTATAGATTAAATTCAAGGTAAATAAAATTATGTACTTCTGAAAAATCAGAATTTTAAAATTCAAATGATACTTCTTTGAAATGTTATATTTTATCATAAGAAATATAGGTTTATAATTTTGAAAAAAACCAATTCATCATTCAAATTTGATTAAATCATATAAAACTTGCATTGACGACTTACAATGAGATGTTTTAAAAACTCACACAAAATTTGCACTTCCAACAAATGTAATCTTATTATTTGATATATATACATCAATCTAATAACTAGTATGTTGACACACTCTTCATATTAGTTTGCATACACAACTTACGTCGTGATAGTTAAATTTGATCTATATTTAATTCAATATTCTTAGATACTTTTTTAACATGAAATATCATGTTCTGATTTACTTTGTAAGTTTATGTTTCTTTGATAAAAAAATATAGCTTGAACATTTATTTTAACAAAAGAAAAAAATTATAAAAAAGAAGAAATATTTTTAAGATACTTGCAGAAAATAGCTTTTTATAAAGAAGAAATCGTTTAAATTTTTTCATAATGAAAAAAAACGTAGCACAAAAACTTAACTATAGAATCTCAAAAAAATGAAAAATGAAAAATTTAAAAATAAATTTTAATTACACACCATTTAAGTTAACTTTGACATGAATTAGAATTTATTTTAACGAGAAAAGATAATTTTTTTGAATAGTTTCAAAATCACAATTTTTTCATCATTTTTTCTTGATAAGTTATTTTTTAATATATAAAATAATTTTATTAAAGAAAAAAATCATTAAAGCTTTAAATCACTAATAATATGAATATAAAAATTGATGATTTAGATTTTTACTATTAAATTAGAATTATAATAACGTAAATCAACAAACTAAAAAGTCAAAGATTGTAATGTTTATTCATAAGAAAGTGAAGAATACTAACATCATATTCAAAAAATAAAGCTAGGTATTTTTTTTTTTGCACTCTAGTCATTTGCAATAATAATTGAGTGAAAGTTGATTGATTCAATATGATCAAATCATAAAATCAACAAATTTAAATCAATATGTCATAAACTTTACATACAATTGAATTGATTTTTTTATGATTAAATGATATTTTAGTTTTATAAGTAAAATAAAACAAGATTTATCTTCAGGTTATCATGTTAAGTAATAATAACACTTGATTCTCTCAAAATCATAAAGTCAACTTCTTATATATATTGATTAGGGTAGCAATTGAGAATAATTTGATTAATGATTGGTTTCATTTTTTTAAAGCTTTTGATTTAACAATAAAAAACCTAAAAAGTAAAAAATACATAATTTTTCAATTAGTTTTGTTTCATTTTTTTATCCTAACATATTTAATAGCATTTACAAAGATAGTTATTTACAACACAAAGCTATGCTCGACACCAACTTGTGCCCTTATTGCCCTTAATGCAAATAGTTTGTACAGATTTCACTTTTTGTAAGTCTTTAAACATTTTTTTACACTGATTGAGAATCATGTACATACATATCAGATCTCTGAGTTTCTTATACATATCTGAATTGTGCATAACAAACACATCTTGAATTTGAATCAAAATCTCCATATTAGAGTTCTTACACTCATGTAGTTGGAGCAATTTTCATTCAATACTTCGTTCAATCCTATACTCATTCATATGGTTTTGAAAAGTTTCAAATTGTGATTGCAAAAGCTATATTTCCATATAAGTCTTCCAATCTCCTAATCCTTGTTGGTTGAAAAATCTCTCAACTTGAACTCTCACTCACTTTTGCTTTTCGACAACTCTTTGCTACTTTAGATCTACTACTATTGCAACTACTGACGCTTCTGACTTTAATATTACTAACATTTGACTTCTTTTTGCATGGCACAACGAAAGCTTCATATATACTTCTTGCAAAGTTTCCAATCCGGGAACATACATTTGTGTTATCTTGTCTACTTTCAATAAAACAGAGATGACAATGATATTGAAAACTAGGTGGGTCGCTACCATGCTACCTTATTTTTCAAAAGAGATGTCACATGTTATGATTCAGGTGGTTATGCTACATTGCCAAGAAGAATCAACAGTATGATAAATCTAGGTTAGTTTCAAAGATCCAAACTAATCAAAGAGTCCATCAACAAACTTCTTCATCTTTCTTGATTGGTTCAAAAAGTCATATAAGGAAGATTATTTTGAGGTCAAGGTTGACACCGTGGTTGGCAAAGCCGAAGGAGAAAAATGGAAAGACATGTTTAAATTTGATAAGTCTTCCTACATTGCCAAGACTCAATAGAAAAAGGAAGAGTTCAATAAGTCTATATCAGCTTATAAGATTCAAACAAATCAAAGAGTTCATCAAATGACTTCTTCATCTTTCTTGATGAGTTCAAGAAGTCGTTTAAAGATCATCACAAGACCAAGGATGTCTTTGTGATTGGCAAAGTCGAAGAAGAGAAATGAAAAGACATATTTAAATTTGAGAAAATTCCTACATTGAATTTTTAAATTTGAGAAGATTATTTACATTAAAAAGTCTTAATCAAAGAAGCAAGAGTACGATTAGTCTACGTTAGCTTACAAGATCCAAATCAATTGAGGAGTACACCGATTGCCTTCTTTATATTTCTTGATGAGTTCAAGAAGTCGTTTAAGAAAGATCATACCAAAACTAAAATTGTTGTTGTGGTTGGCAAGATCATCAACTGTCTTCTTCATCTTTCATAATGGCCTCAAGAAGTCGTCTAAGGAAAATTATTTCAAGATCAAGGATGTTGCCGTGGTTGGCAATATCAAAGTAGAGAAATGAAAAGAGATGTTTGAATTTGAGAAGTTTCCATTCATTGCAAAGACCCAACATAAGAAGTAAGAGTGTACGTCAAATTACAAATTCAAATCAATTGAAAAAGCCACCAGCTTACTTCTTCATCTTTATTGATGAGTTAAAAAAGGTGTTTAAGAAAAATCATCCCAAGATCAAGGTTGTTGTCGTGGTGGGCAAAGCCAAAGGAGAAAAATGAAAAGAAATGTCTAAATTTGAAAAGGCTCTCTACATTGCCAATGCTCAATAGAAAAACCAAGAGTACAATAAGTTTATGTTAGCTTACAAAATCCAAATCAAACGAAAGAGGTAACCAACGTTTTTCTTCATCTTTATTGACGAGTTCAAGAAGTCATTCAAGGAAGATCATGCGACACCAAGGTTGTTGCCAGGCCTCGACAAGGTAAGGTAACCTTTGAAGGTTACCTGGTAAAAGGGTAAAAGGTAAGGGTAAAGCTAGAGGTTTGGCTATAGGGTAGGGTAAAGGTAACGTAAAGGGTTAATCGATAATTATCGGGTAACACTCTTAACCGCAAAAAATAAAAATGTGTATATTCTCAAAATTATTCAAAATACAATTCTGCACATTCTACTGAAACAATCCAGGTAAACTGTACTAAATA